TATATATATATATATATATATATTTTTTTTTTTTTTTTTTTAAACAAGAATGCCAAAGTAACTTGAAACAACAACACATAATATTATTTAAAAAAAAAAAAAAAACATGTTGGACTAACTCCCTAGCTCCAAAAGTAAATCTAGGTAAATTTTCCTATTGACATTTGATTCTCCATCTCAGGCATAAGTGAACCTAAGCTCATTATATATAAATATCACACTTCATTATAGTGTTTTTCAGAAACAACAGTAAAAGAGAAAATAAAAAATACATGTATGATCTGACTTGCATATTTTTTTTAAATCAGAAGGTCTGGACTTCTATTCATGAAAAGATTTGTTTGGAACAAGTAACTAAAGAAGTGCTTTTGGTCCCAATATTAAGCAGTTTGGTGCTACTGTTTATCTGGTTAGGATCTATGTTAAAGTGACCCCTGTTTCCAAAGAGCCTCTAGTTCAGTAATTTTTTTTTTCAATGCTAACTCAGAAATGTCAGATACAAAGAGTTGCCAGTAAATAAGAGCTTGAGTGTTTGTGCTCTTTTTGGAAATCAACTTCAAAAGTCCCAGCAATAACAGTGTACAGCATTAGACTCAAATGGTGAGTAAAAAAAAAATCTGTAAAACAGAAGGATTCAGTTGGTAAGATTTTAAAAGAGAGTTTGTTAAATAGATTGTTGTTAAAGGGACAAGTAGTGAGAAATTTGTTTTATAGAAATTATTTTTTTAATATGGAGTTAAAGGAACTTTCTCCCAAATACCGAGCTAAAATTTTCTTGATTGCGTTTGACTCGCTCCATCTCAGGAGTGACAGGTATGGGAGTCCCCTTGCTCAAGTTCTCTTTGTACAATATCTGTGTGCACAAAACCAACAATCAAATCAGCCTGGACCCATCTTTTAGGTAAACTTGAATTTAAAAAGTATCAAAAAAATTTTTTTGTTTTAATAATGAAGAAAAATATACCTAACTTTAAGAGAGCAACATAGTCACACAGTACAATATCTGTCTTTGAGTGGCACTGATGCATACACAGCTGCTAGGCTGCAGGCAGTACTAGCTTGACTTGCATATGCCTTCCTCAAAGACAGAAGGATTACGCTTCATCAAAAAGCATTTAATGAGTTGCTGGTAACAATTAGAAAACCAAAAAAAAAAAAAGGCTTGGGGAAACTAAACATTAATTAATATTAAAAGCTAAATAAATATTAGCTTAGCTTTCATTATACTGAATATATTCCAAAGTAAAGCTCATTTATATCTTGTATCATATATATTAAAATAGATGAGACAAGTAAATTTGTATTTCTGAGTTACTGTGAGTTGACGATATGTTGTCTTTGAATGAAAATATTTAAGAATGATAATCTTAAGAAAGGCTGCAAACACAAATAATACATCAAATAACCACAATAAATACAAATAAAATTCTAGTTAGCATTGCATTTTGAAGTAGTGTTAGATTTTACTTTTCACTTGTGTCACACCAGTTAGAAATACCTACTGTTATTAGAGGAGCACTGGAGGAAGGAAATACTGAGTATTATGGGTTTTTAAGGAAAGTGATAAATATCTGTGTTTTAGAGAAAACAGTTAAAATTTCACACCAGAACTAGAGTAATATTAAATTAAACTTGGGATGAAAACTGAGGTAATATTTGGTATCATTCCTTTCATAATATGAACTTAGTAATTTTATATTTGTAATGTGTTAAAATATTTTAATAAGAATTAAGGGTTTTGTGGGTTTTTTTCCCCCCTAAGAAATACCGAGCTAAAGTTCTCTTGATTGCGTTTGACTCTCTCCATCTCTGGAGTTTTAGCTGTGGGTGTTCCTTTCCCCAAATTTTCTTTGTACAAAACCTGTGAGATACAAGAAAGTACCCAAAAGATATTCAAAACAAGCACAAAGACCGAGGAAGGGAGTTGGGTGTAGGTGAGAAGGGAGTTATTTTAGTGAGTAATATTTAGTAAGAATAATGCTTTTTATTTTTGTACTTCACAGTTTTAAAGATGAACTCTCTAAAACTAATTTTGGAATGGAAAAGTACAATGGAAAGCATCAATTTATAGGATATGAGTATCATAATGATGTTAATGCTACTTGCAGTATTTCCGACTTAAATACCCACACTAGTCAGGTGCTGAAAATGTTAAAGTAGAATCACAAGAGTAGTAATTCTGTATTAAGTCAGATGGTTTTGGTCAGGTAGTACACACACAGACATACACACGGAATTTGTTGTTATGATGTTACTTTTTAAAAAAAGGATTATAGGTTATTCTGGTAGTTTTGTTGTTTTTTTAATGGGAAATAGTTTCTTATTTGGTAAATTGGTAAATACCGAGCTAAAGTTCTCTTGATTGCGTTTGACTCTCTCAATCTCTGGAGTGACAGTGGTTGGAATGCCTGTTCCCAAGTTTTCTTTGTACATAACCTGTAGAAAATAATTAGAATACCCCAAAAGGTAAAATAACCATAAATTCTTTAGACTACAGCAATATGTGGGCTATTTGGTGAGAATTTATTAATACAATCTAGTTTTCAACTGATACTCAAGGGCTAAGGAAAACAAATTCCATAAATATTTATGTTCTCTTTTTAAAGTAGTAATTGTACTGCCTTAACAATTGGGTACTGAATTGCATTTTCTATAGCCAACACTCAGTGCATTCCTAAAATGTATTAAATAGTGATAATAAATTATACAATGAGAAAAATCTAAACATTTTACTGTATCCAATATTAATGCCTGGAATAAAGTAGGTCTATATCAGATCTGTACTCAATAAATAGGTTGCTTGTTTTATAATTTACTAATCATATGATATTCTATTCCTTCAGGATCACTGAAAATTTTCTCAATGAAAATTATTACTCATATTTTCTAATGGAAATTCTTAGGTGGCTTCTAATCTGTAGGTATCCGTGATAAGAAGAGACTTAATTTATTTTTCAAGAAGAGCATTTTTTTCTGAAATTTTTATTGATGATTGCTGGATCAAGTAGACACAGGGTCTTTCTAAGTTGCTCAGGCTGGCCTTGAACTTATGACCCTTCTGCCTCCTGAGTGGGTATCACAGGTTTGTGTGACCATATTCTAAACTAGTGTTTTTTGAGTGGGAAGAAATCCATATTTTTTAGGGGTAGTATCAAAGGACTATAAATTTTAATAAAGAGAGTAAGGAGACTCTTGACTTTTTTCTTCTTAATGTTAAGAATTTCAACCTAAAGCCTGAATTCTTTTGAAATAGATGGATTTTATGGTATACTAGTGCATGGACTGGGGAGCAGCATGAAAAAACCTACAGGTGTGTGTCATGGATTAATTGGCAGACTCAGTGACAAGTTAGCAGTGACATCTTTGTTTTGCCAAGAAACTTTTCAAAATCTTAGAAAATCTACATCTTGGTAACAAAGTTATGTCTTTAACACTTTACTTAGGAAGGTGGGACATATCATGGACAATAAAACTAGAGAAATTGCAATCCAAAGCAGGACAGGAGCCATGATCTAGTTTTAAAATGAAGTTTGTACCAAAAGGAATCCAGCCTATATACAGGGGATGAGAGCTAAATGATATGACTGCAAGGTTTCTTATCTTCTTTTGCAATCTGTAGGCCCCCTTCAGGACCTAGGAAGGATGCATAATATCACCAAGACATGGGAGGCCCTGGGTAAAAGGAAGAAGGGAGGAGTAGAACTAGGGTAACAGTGTAAAGATGGTTGGTCACACAAATGCATGCTGAGAGTATAGGTCATTACCGAGCTAATGTGCTTCTGGGTCTCTTTGACACGTTTCACTTCAGGTAGGTCAGGAATGGGAGTTCCTTGTCCAATTGTTTCTTTATACTTCACCTATAGAAAAACGGGAAAATAAGGGTATTATTATATACTGGACAGTCTATGTCTAATTAGTAGTCCAATGTTTTGTTTGTATGTGCTGGGAATTGAACTCAGGGGCTTGGGTATGCTAAGTATATACTCTTATCACTGAGCTGCAACCCCACTATAGTTTTTCTTTTTTTTTTCCCCTTTTTATTGTTGCATTATAATTTTACATAATAGTGGACCTGGTTGTTACTTATTTATACATGCACATTATACATGGGGATTTCAGGGGTATTTGTATCTAAAGTGAATATATATGATTCAGCAGCAACAATTGTGGGTTTGCTTATAGAAAAGAATCCTGGGCTCTCTATTACCATGGGACCATAGTTTACCACCTGTCCTGAGTTGGGTCACTAATGGACATCAGAAGGCAATTCAATTCCACTACAGTTTTTCAAATAACCATTTAAATAATACAAGCTCTGTACTTAGTTTGGATAGAGCCACATTCTGGTACTGGGTCAGAGGAGAACAATTCTGAAGAGGGGACACTTGCATTTTGATCTCTCTGTTGTGTCTTTGGGGGTAGAGGTCCCTACTTAGATGTAACCCTTTAACTTTCTTGTATTCAGTAGTCTCCCATATCCATGGGGGTTGTTTTAAATCCCCAGTGGATATCTAAAATCGTGGCTAGAAATGAACCCTATATGTATTATGTTTTTCTCCCTATATATACATATGCAAATTGAGTGCCTTTTTCATCTTAACTAAGCATTTACCATGAACTATGGGTATATCTTTTGCAATCTGATATGTCACAATATGGAAAGATTGTTTCTACTGTAGATATTGGCAACCTCAACATATAGGTGTAAGAGAACTTACACCTTTAGGAAGCACTTTATGATTCCCTTTTGATAACATATCCAAATTGCCAGCATCACTGATGTTGCACTTTGGGGTATTTATTAAGTAAATAAGGGTTACTTGAACACAAATGCTGGATACCAAGGCAGTTGATCTGATAATGGAGACAGCTGTTGAACTAGGGAAGGTAGCAAATGCAGTGCAAATACTCTGGATAAAGGGATGAATTCATGTCCCAGGTAGGAAAGAGCAGAAAGCCAAGAGGTTTCATCATGCTATTCAGTATGGTTACAACTTAAATATATGAACTATTTCTGGATTGTTTCCATTTAATATTTTTGAATCAAGGTTGACTGAGGGGTAACTGAAGCCACAGAAAGTGAAAAAGAGGACTAATCCAGAGGTTTTATATGCAACAATTCATTTGACTAGGACAGTTACATTCATATACAGGTCTTTGGGAAGGCTGATTCTTTGACTCTAACATACACTACTTTCTCACAAGCCTGTTTTCCATGTCTAACTGTTCCTTCATGAAAACCACCACAGAACTGCACTGACCACTGGCACACACCACGTGGTGATGGCAGTACACAGGCACCTGTTTTAGAATGTAAACTTTTTAAGGAGACAGAGATTTCCAATGCAACTCAGAGGTCATTGTGAACAATCAGAGGGGTGGAAAATATTGAAAATGAGTCTACTGTGTCTTTACCGAACTAATGTGGTCCTGTGTTTGCTTCACTCTCATCATCTCAGGTGTTTTTCCAATTGCCGTTCCTGGTGAGACATCCTCTTTATATAAAACCTGGACATTCAGAATGAAGAGATTGTTACTCAGAAGAAAAGGAGACCCCAGCAATTCCTGGAGAAAGCCTAGAATACATGGCTTCTGTGAAAACAAAAGACACCAGAGACAGTCTTCCCAGGCAAGAGCCGGGGTGTTGCATCTGACAGCTTCTTTGTCAGTATATGACTCAGACCACATGTACAACACCACTCACTTTCCAGATCTTGAGATTTCTTTTAAGATTATCATATTATATGAATACAGGATGAGATAAAACAGAAAATACTGATTAAAGACAACAGAATTCCTCTAACATGAAATACAAAATCCATTAAAGAAGTGCGATGTCAGTTATTTTAGGAAGGATTATAAAAGAAATCAAAATATCAAAAATAAATTCACCTTTGTGAAACAAACAACACACATTACTGCTCTGGGATTACTGAGGCAGGAGGATTGCAAGTTCAAGGCTAACCTGGGCAATTTAGTGAGACCCTACTCAAAACATTAGAAGGGCTGGGGATCTAGCTCAGTGGTAGAGCACCCCAGGTTCAATCCCCAGTATTTAAAAAAAAAAATCTAGAACAGTTACTTTGAAGTTTATTTCAATGGTCTCTGAAATGATGATTTTTGGAGCAAAGTACAGGGAATTTTAACAACCACTAGTATTAACTGTAATGGTTAGATGTTAATTGTATCAAGGTGAGACTAGTATGTTTTTTAGAAGAGGAGAATGGAATTATTAGGTTAGCATTAAATGGAAAATAAATAGTAAATATACCGAGCTGAAATTCTTTTGGTTTTCTTTAACACGCAGTATTTCTGGTGTGTCTTGAACAACTGTAATTTTTCCTTTACTGTTTTTAAGGTCACACTGGTATTGGAGCTATGAAGAAAGAGTAAATATCCTGTTAAGATTTCAACATTGTTCTACATATTTTTAATTTTCCTAAATTATAGTCACAAGGAAGTTAAAATTCTATATTTTAAAAAGTCCATGCTACAATAATAATAATCTGAGATCTAAAGAAAAATTCTTTAATAAAAAATGTATGAAGAAACTCATTTGGGGTAGGGGTATTAGGGATTACAGTCCCAGAAACTGATTTTTAAAAACTGAAATCGTTAAAATTAAGGCTTATTTATCAAAGTATCCCTTCCCTAGATTTAACTTTGAGGAAGACATGTCACCAATAATGGAAGATAGTGATAGTTCATATTCAGTAACAAGAAGCCACCCACCAAGTAACAAGATTTACTTTCAGACTCTGATTTGGGGTTGAAGTATAAGGGGAGCCAGGAAAGAATCAAACACACATTTCTGAGGGCAAGAACAGAGTAGTGGAGGGCTACTCAACAGCCATGTTTCAGTGGCAGGATGCCCAAGTGCTTAGCCTGCATGATCCCAGATATCAGTAGGTTATGCTTTAGAGTCAATAAAAAACTTACAAGGCTGAAGTTCTTTTGGTTCTCCCGTACTCTTTGCATCTCTGGAGTGTCCAAAACAGTCTCATAATATGACATGGATTTCTCTGCATCTTCTTTGTACTTTTTCTAGGAATAGATTCCAAGAAACGAGTGAACACCATAGGAATATGGGCCAAATGGAACCTGAAATAGCTGTTCTGGTTCAGCAGAAGGAAAGTCCTTTACATCTTGATTATACAAGTATGTTAGAGAGTAATAAAACAGTCCTCTTGGTCAGTAAGGGCCATATCTTTTCTTTCCAGAATGAAGACCAAGCATTTAATAGGACCCACTGTCATGACAAAGCTGGCAGAGAAAGGCCCACAAGAGGGAAGTCACTGCTAATGAGGCTCTTGGGGTGGGGAGGGGCGGGGGGCGATGGAGTTGCCTCCAGTGGTGTCAGTCATCTCTGAGTTAGACCAAGTCACTTAACCAGGAGCCAGGCAGGAAGAGAAGAACAGGAAGATTAGAACTTTCACTCTCCTGAAAGCCAGCCTCAGTGGTGACTGGGAAATTTCTGCTGAACTTGAAGCAGTTACATTCTGGGCTCCTAACTGCTTGCTTAATTGAGCAAGCAGATACTTCCAGAACATGGCTCTCATGCTGCAGAAACTAGCCTGCTGTTACTGGAGGTCCTACTAAATAGGAAGACCTAGGGCTGCAACCCTGGGTAACTTAACTTACCAAGGGCTGCTCTGAGTCACCCATCACTTTTCTTTTGGCCTCCCTGGCCTGCACTAGACTTTGGCCAGAGAAGTACCTGTAAGGGATACACTTCCTGGACATACACAGCCAGTCCCAGCACCAGACTGATATTTTTAGTTATTTTCTGTAGCAGAACTCTTACTCTGCCTTAGAGCTTTATTATCTTTTATCATTTGTCAGTATGTCCTTTCACTTTTCTCTCTAGCTTTATTGAACTCTAGTTTCTTCTATAGTTCAGGGAAGTTTGGGGTGTATAGGGATATAGACTGAGGAAAGACACTAGTCACTTTTGTATGTGGATAAAACTGTTCTATCTAGATTGCAGTATATATGCATTATTATTAGTATTGAAAATTTTAATCTTCTCAAAGACAAATAGTTTTAGGCAATCAGAGATTTAGGCCTATATTTTGTTTAATGTGGGTTTCTAGAAGAACAGGAACAGATTATTTGTCCAAGAAGTAGTTACTTGAATGCCTCTTTTTAGTTATACAAGTATAAGGGAAAAGTTCTCATTTTCCTGGGAAAAGAATATAAGCAGGCTTTATTTTTTAAAATTAGTAAAAACTGCCTCTACGGGTTTTACAAAGCTAACTTAGGTAGCAATCCTTGTGATTCTGTCATCCCTGAGAGAGGTAATCAGTTTACACATGGAACCTGATGGTATTTGGGAGGGAAAGGTCTATATTCAGTCCAGTGTCAGAACTTGTGAATGAGCTCACAAGGTTGTCATTAATCCCCAAAAGGCTTAGATATTATAAAATACATACTCCCCAAATAGAAATGGAGAAGCAGTTTTGTGAAAAATACTAGCACAATTCCATCATTCAAATTTTTTAATACTGGTCTAAATTGTTGAGGAAGTAACGTGCCTGTCATATTTTAGGCCTGAGGAACCAGCCACAGAGAACCCAAGGAGAGGAAACACCAGCAAAGTAAGTGATCCAGGCCTCCCTGGAATAGGCCTGCATGCTGTGGTTCTCCTCAAAGGTCAGCAATATTGAAAGCAGAATGTCTTATAGCTGCCATGTGCCTCACAGCCCAAGGAACCCTGGGCTCTCGGGCTCTCCCAGTAAACATAGCAGGGTAGTTTGGGATTCACATAATTTTGGTAAATTTGAAAAGTTGCTTTTCCCAAATAAAAGTTCTGCCCCCAAATAAAAGGTTAATTTCTCCCAATTGAATATGTATGTTTCCCGATTAAACTACTTTTCTAATGAGAGTTCTTTTCTTTTTAATTTGTTTTTGCTGTGCTAGGGATTGAACTTAAGACCTCACGTGTGCTAAGCAAGTGCTCTACAGAGCCACATCCCCAGGGTAATAGCTTCTTTTCATGTCTAACTTTACAATAGAGAATTATACATTAGTAATAAAGGGTTTAAATCAATAGTTCTCAATCTGATAGGCTATTAAAGAGATCCTCTATGAAGATTTAAACAAAAACAGATCTCTAAGCACCTACCTCAGATTTACAAGCTTCAGAATTCCAGGTACAACCAAGAAATCTACATTACCAGGTTTTTTTTTTTTTTTTTAAAGCAGCCAGGTCAGGTTATAACTACTGCTTTGGAACTCATGGCTCAGAAGACAAGCAAAAGTTCTAACTTGGGACTACTCAGTTCTGATTATCATTGAAGAGTATTTACACAAATGAATATATCCTGTTGTACGAAGTGATCTTGCTCATCTATTGGTAGGAAGATGGAAGTTACCCATGATGGGAGGACTCAGGGTTAGATCATGTAGTTAGAATTGATGATACAATCTCACTCATTATAGATTGGTAATCCAAATGTGGGCTGTTCACATGATGTCTTCTAGATTTGTACACAAATTTTATATCCATATTAAAAGTTACATATTAAATTATTAATTGTGAATTGTACCTTGTAAGAGTTCTTTAGTATCTTAAAATTCTGTCTAATTTTTTTCTCCAGTGCTGGAGATCAAACCCAGGACCTCATACTCTTACTGAAGTATAGCCCCAGCTCTTCTTAACATCTATTTTATTTATTTTCTTGTGGTGCTGGGGATCAAACCCAGACCTTTGAGCAAGCTAGGCAAACACTCTACCACTGGATTACATCCTTGTTATCTATCATTTTTTAAAAATCTGATACAGAACTTTCAACTCTGACTTAAATTTGTATCATATGTAAATCCCATTTGTTTTATTGGGGGAAATTGTGATTTTAAAAATCCTCCTTAGGTATAAGCAGTGGGACTTTTTTTCTCCATGACTGGAACTTTGTGAGATGTATTCTAATTAATGACCTTACCTGACTTGAAAGGTTCTTGACTTGTTGGGCATGAATGATCTCTGGAGTATCAACCACAGAAGTGAAATTGGCTTTTTCCATTTCTGCTGATTGCTTATATTTAATCTGTAAAAGAAGGACACCCAACAGTTGGGTAAATGTTTGCAATGTGCACAACATTTGTTGGCTTAGTTTCCTTAAGAAGTGAACAATATTTCTTTTCCAAGAGAGACTCATCCATTTGATATTCAACAGACATTCCTTCCCATTGTGTTTACAGCTTTATGTTAAAGAGTGATGTTCAGAAAGATCATCTTAGCTGTTGGAAGACTATCCAGTTAGGTACGGGATTCAGTATAAGGACACAGATGATCAACAGGTAGTAAGGACCCACATAAATTAGCATTAAACAACATTGGATGCCTAAAAGATGTGTTTTAAATTTAGGCCTTGATGGTGAAAGAAAGCCTGGAATTCTTGGTGCCAAATGAGAAGGAGACTAAGAAGCAAGGTCAAGAGTCAGAGTCTACCCCAGCTCCAACAGTGGTTTGGTTATCCAGCTTCTGCTGTTTACTCTGAATGTGTGCAGTGGCTATAAACTCTGGAAGGCAGAACAACCTAACAGGGGGTCCCTGATCATTTGGAACAGATTTCATCAGGCAGATGTTCAAGAATGCCACTGTTTGCATTTGACTGTCACTAATGAACAAGTAAGATATAAAGGAAGCCAGGTGCTGTGGTGCATGCCTGAAATCCCAGTAGCTAGGAGAGGCTGAGGCAGGAGGATCTCAAGTTCAAAGCCAGCCTCAGCAAAAGTAAGGCGCTAAGAAACTCAGTGAGACCCTGTCTCTAAATAAAATACAAAATAGGGTTGGGGATGTGACTCAATGGTGCAGTGCCCTGGAGTTCAATCCCAGGTACCCCCCCCCCCCCCAAAAAAAAAAAATGTACAGAGGAAAGACAATATGTCATTAAAATTGCAACTACTTTCTTGAAAGATTGACATGGAATAGAAATACTGACCTGACTAGCAATATCAGTAGCATTCCTGGCCCGCATAAAGTCCGGAGTTTCGTTGGCCATGGCATTCAGGCCTCTTCCTTTGACTTCCAGCTCCAGGTCTCTCTTATATTCTTTCTGAAGGAGCATTATTAAAACAGAGAAACAACAAACAAAAAGTCACCTAACTTCTGCATGTAGATGATAAGCATACAGAGTGTATATAAATCCATACAACATGCTACCACAGTTGTCACAGTGTTCTTGCTAGTTTACCTTCACTGTTGCATGTGACAGGATGGAGTGGGGTCTATAGAAGCTCCTATAGGAAACTATTCTGTGCATGTTAATGTAAGTCCTTGTTTTGAATGCTTTACCATTTTCTAATTAGAGAAAGTTAAAATAAAAATCTTTAAATCTGGTTTGGTACATAACTAGGATAAAATTTAGGTGCATACTACTCCTGTATGGTATTTTAATTTAAATGAGCACAATGAATGTATCAAAGTTAAATAACATTAAATAACTGGTTATGACAACCACTATAGAAACATGTTATAATATCCACTCATTGGAAATTGACATATTTTACTTAATCGTTACTAATTATGTTAGATTTAGAACTTGAAATTTAAAAACTCTATCTTTGCCTGTCTTTTTGGTGTAACTGGGGTAGGAAGATGCTCTGTTACACATTGGTGGTTGACTGTGGTCTCACCTCATTGAGAATCTGAGTGGCATTCTTTGCACGTAGCATGTCGGGAGTATCTTCCATTTCAGTGAGACCCTTTCCACGAATGCTTTCTTCTAGATCTTTCCTGTACTCTTTCTAGATCACAAAATAAAAATAACAACACTGACAAGAAAGCCTAGATTGTTCTCTTTGGTGAAAAACCAAAAAAAAATTTTTTGAAGGATTTACACTTCGAGTTTTTAACAGTTTATGGTTAAGTAAAGATCTGAAAAAAGGCAGGGTATAAGCTTCATCAGTTAATAGTCAATATAAAATGAAAGACTAGAAATTAATAGAATGCTAAGGTAAGCACATTTTAAAATAAGTACTCCAGTAAAAAATTAGAACAATTAACAGGGGTAATAGATTAGGTAGTAGTGCCAACACATGGGAACTCAACCTGAAACCCGCAGTTAGATGGTACTGAGAAGGGCAGGAGGAACACATTGATGAGTGTCATTAGTGCAATTATTTGGATAACAAGGGAAAGAAAAGACCAAGTGGCTACTACCTCGCTTGCTATTTTGGTTGCATATTTGACATGTAATAAAGCTGGTGTAACCTCCAGGCCAGTCAGGTTTCTGCCTTTAATGGACTCTTCATAATCTTTCCTATATTCTTTCTAATATAAGTAGGAAGGAAAGACATGTTAAAAAAAAAGAATCTTTGTTATATTTTCTCTCTCAGCCCTAGGAAGAAAAAAAATTACAACATTTTATTTCTATGTATGGCCTCTTAACTGGATTGTGGTTCTGCCAATGATCAGAGATTTTAAGCATATCTGATTGTTCTGGAAATATTGTGCCTATGGCTAATGGCTCCAGGGAAATTCAGGGTGTGGGAAACTTTGATGGGTCCCTTGCTCACATGAGGTTGTAACTGGGCCTGGCCCTCTGCCAGAGTAGAAGGATGGATGAACTATCAACTCTGAATTCACTGTCTCTCTTAAAACTGTCCTACATTTTTAAGGTGACAAAAGATTTTATTTCAGAATTTGAAGTAAGTGACTCAAGGAGGATAAGTAGGAAAAGGCCACTGCAAACTTGGCCTTTAGCATAATCATGACCTATTTTCTGAATCACTGAATAGATGAGTGGGTAACTGGCACAGAGAAACTGTGGTTTTGCTACAGTTGAAACTCCACCCGTGTCCACCTCATCTCCTCTTCCACCCCTGGACAAGGGTATCTAACCGAGAGGACCGAAAACAGATGTTTAACTCCACTTTTATGATTAAAAAAAAAAATTAGTGGATTTTAAATTTACAGAAAAATTGTAAGAAAATACAAGGAATTCCATAGATTCTTTATTTAGCTCCACCAATTGTCTGATAACTATTTTAAACTCCATGAGCTAGCATTCTATACACAAGAAAACTCTACAAACTGTTAATTTTTAAAAAATTATCTTTATAGTTGGAGGAGAGGCAAACAAATTCCAAATAGGACTTTTCCCAATGAAACAGATTTAAGATTCAAAATAAAATTCCATTCTTCTCATGGTTAACAACAACAACAACAAAAAGTGACAAAGATTTTTAAAAATATCTACACTTAAAATTTCAGAATAGGAAATACGGGACCTTGACTTTTTATTTTTTGGGGGCCTTGGTATACATCTTGATCACAGATCCCCTTTAGACATGGCACATCCTACTTAGTAGTCCAAAACCAATGGTGTATCTGTGTGGAGGGAACTTGCCATTCATCAAATAAAATATCAAATTAAATTCAGTATGATTTGTTTCAGTATTAGGAACAGTTTTCTACTTTTACAAAAGTAGTCATTGAAATAAAATATATATGGTAAATATCTACTAGTTAGAGTATTAAAAAAGAAAACTATAGACTTTCTGTAATGAAAAATATTTTAGTGATCATTTATTAAGAAATTCTCCCATCTACCACTTTGGGGTAACAGGAGGCTGGACAGAGCTTGTGTTCTTTAGCTTATCTATACCTTTGTTTATAGTGTGGTTTTGTACAACTTACCCCACTCTGCATCTGCTGAGATTCTTTGGCAGTGATGTATGTTGGTGTCTCAAAGTCCAACATGGGCTTTCCTCGCTCTTTTTCATATTTTTCTTTGTATTTTACCTAGTGATTAAGAGCCTTGTTAGATCTCGATGTTGCTCAGTTCCTAAACAGAGACCAGTTCAAAGACAGTACTTTCTGATTGATACATTATGTCTAATTCAGTCATTTCATTGCCTCTCAAAACAAGTTTCCTGTTGTGTTCAGAGGCAGTATCTTTTTATTGTTACCTGGGTGTAGAAGGGATATCATAGCAGTTTGAAAGGCATAGTCAAGATTCAGATTCAATTCAAGGTGACAAAAAAAAAACCGAGAAGAATCAGCTGAGAGAAATGTTGATGGAGAAAATTGCCCACAAATAAGTTTGGCCAAGATTCAGTGTGTAGATGTGAACACCTTAACAGCATTAGTAACTATTTCTGATAAAGTCTCCAGTTTCTTAAGAACTTTATTGGAGACCTGGGGTCTTGATTGAATTAGTCAATGCAACCTTACTTACAAGTAAACAACTCTCTCTGGTCGTAACTGGTCATATATTTAATACAGCCAATATATATAGAACTGAGAACCTGGGCATGGTGGCACAGGCCTGCAATCCTAGGGACTTAGGAGACTGAGGCAGGGGAATTGCAAGTTTGAAGCCAGCCTGGGCAATTTAGCAAAACCCTGTTCCAAAATAAAAATACAAAGGTCTGGAGATGTAGCTTAGTGGAAAAGTGCCCCTGGGTTCAATCACCAGTGTCAAAAAAAAAAAAAAGAATATTAGTTTGCAGGGCTGGGATTGTGGTTCAGCGGTAGAGCGCTTGCCTAGCATGGGTGGGACCCGGGTTCGATCCTCAGCACCACATAAAAATAAAGGCATTGTGTTGTGTCCATCTACACCAAAAAAATAAATATTGAAAAAAATACATAAATTAACTTATACTATGTATATAAAAACTAGTTTGCATGTTGAATGAATTATTAATAAGCTTAACATTATCAAAAGAATTGTAAGGCTGTTTTTTTAATATTTATTTTTTAGTTGTAGTTGGACACAATACCTTCACTTTATTGATTATTATGTGGTGCTGAGAATCAACCCAGGACCTTGCCTGTGCTAGGGGGATGCTCTATTGCTGAGCCACAACCCCAGCCCCTCATAAGGCTATTTTACAAGTTAAATTTCCTCATCCTTATAACACGTTATTAGGAATGGGGGAGCCACATAAATATTCATATTTCATAGAGAAGTTGAAAGACAGAGGCAAAAGCCCTTGTTCACACAACACCTTAATGGCATTGCTCAATCTCAGCTCTGGGTTATAACAAGACATTAGATAGTGGTCTAGGGGCATATGCTACTTTACACAGGACTTGAGGACATAGTTCTCTGATTAAAATCCAAGGGGGACCTAAATAGTAATGAATTTATTATATAGAGGTCATGGGATAACAAGTTCTTTCCTCTGAAATCTTCAGTTATTTTATAAATTTAGCAATCTCTTAAAAATCCAGACATTCCTTCAAGGTAGAATGATCATGTCACTTCCCTGATTAAAATCCTCCCAAGACTCCCTACCATCCATTAATGTATCCTAACCTGGGAACAGACATACGGGTTGCTGTGAGGGGTTGTCACCCTTGCAACACAATCATTGTTCTCCCAGCTCTGAAAGTAGTCTGAATAACACATACCACGTACATATTTCTCTACTATATGCAATTGCTATTATAATTTTAACAAAAATGTATTTCAAACTATTACTAAATTCAAAGATTCTTTATCTTTGTACATTTATTTTCAAACAATGGCAATTAAAAGCATCACTCCCATCCTGAGGGGAATTCAGGAAGTTTTTGACATTGAGACAAAGGCCCAGCAGGTGAGAAGCCAGTCTTGATTGACTTACTATACTCTGTAACTCTGTGGCCTCCTTTAGGTGAAGCTGCTCCAGGTTATCAGGGATTGTGTGGTAGTGGCCTTTACTCTTCTCGTAGTTCTTCTTGTACTGGTACTGAGAGGGAGGGGACAAAAAGGCACCTCAGTGGAAAAGCTGCTTAGTTTCCTAATTTTCCTCTTTCGCTTAGACATTTGCACAGCAGCATTGTCAAGACCAAGCTAAAATTTGCAGACATTAAATGGAGAAGAGGGGTAAAAAAATATTTTAAAAGATAGAAGACCCCAGTTTATTATTGTCATTTATTACCAGATGTAAACACTACTTCAGCTTCTTCAAAGTAGGTGTTATAAGTTCAAAGTTCAAAATGAAAGAACTATTTCATATGATAGTTCTATGTCCTTGGAAAGGAGAAAAGGGAATGGTTAATTGGGGAGAAAAGAAGATTGAAATATTCTAAAAACAGAAGCACTTTTACATCCTGAGAGGTGTTATAGTCAGTGGAGAATTGATAGGTTAATGCAATTTGGGAGAATACACTCAAATAGAAGATCAGCTTTGCAATAAATGCAATATATCAGTAGCAGAGATGGAGATACAGGTGAGCTCAGAGAAGGACTGGAGTTGCAGATGGGTGAAATAAGTTATTTCTGGAACAAATGGTTGAACTTACAGAACTAGCAAGTTGACTTGTATTTAGAACATGATTCATTATCAGAGATTCCTTCATGTCAGTCACAGGTTTGTGAAGTTTCTTCAGGTCAGCCTTATACTTAACCTACATATTAAGGGAGAGAAAAAGGAAATTATAGAAAATGGAAAATGGCACTCATGGAAATCCCAGTAAAATATCCCATTATGAAACAAATGTTAGAGGTGTTATGAAAAACCATACCATGTTCACAGTAGTCAAAAGGTACAAACAACCCAAGTGATCAACAGATCAAGGGCAAAAAAAGTGATGTGTACACACAATGGAATATTATTCAGCCATAAAATGGGATGAAGTTCTGATACATGCTACAATATGGACGAACCTTGAAAATGTTATACTAAAATAGGCCAGACATAAAAAGACATATTATATGATTCCATTTATTTAAAAATTATAAATTAAGCAAATATGTAGAGATAGAGAGTAGAGGTTTCCAAGAGCTAAGTAGAAGAGGGGTTGCTTAATAGAGACTTTTTGTTTGGAGTGATGAAAGGGTTTTGGAAGTAGTGGGTGGTAGTTGAACAACATTGTAAATGTAATTTATGCTCCTGAATTATATATTGAAATATAATTAAAAGGGCAAATATTATGTTACATATTTACCACAATTAATGCTAAGTGAAATAAGCCAATCCCCCCAAAACAAAGGCTGAATGTTCCCTCTGATATATGGATGCTAACACACAATAAGAGGTGGGAGTGGGGGAATAGAAGTTCATTGGATTAAGCAAAGTGAAATGAAGAGGGGGGGATGGGAATAAGAAGGACAGTAGAATGAATTGGACATAACTTTCCTATGTTCACATATGAATACACAACCAGTGAAACTCTACATCATGTACAACCACAAGAATGGGGTGTTAATTAGAGTAAGTTATACTCCATGTATGTAAAATACATCAAAATACACTCTACTGTCATGTATATCTAAAAAGAACAAATTTTAAAAATTAAACAAAAATTTTAAAAATCAAACAAACAAACAAAAAACCCCATACCTCACTTGCGAGATTATTGGCATCTTTCATGACTTTGTAGAGCTGGCTGTCTTTTGGATTATATTTTGGAGTCTTGCCCTTCTCTTTGTCGAAATTTTCTCGGTATTTAACCTAACGGCAAATGCAAACATCCAAATTATTCCTGAACATCAACAAATTTGGGAACTAAAGAATAGTGGAAACATAAATGCCAAAGAATATTCATATTATACATAAAGAGATCATATAACTTATCATCCAATTTGAGACCTTTTTAAGAGAAAAAGAAGGCACTGTTAATAATTATTAATCTTGTTGGGGCAACAATGAAGCAAGTACAAGATCCAGTGATTTAATATTGGCCTTGCTCATTTTTATATTATCTAGAGGTATGAAAAATATGAAAGGACTTCAGGCTAATTTCAGAGAAGCAATCTAATGTACTTATTTTGGAGTGGTGCGGCTCTCCTAACTAAGGCAAAACAAAAAAACTCTTTAGGCCTACTGTAAGGACTTGGAAGAGGGGTTGTAAATGAGCAGGAAGGTCAAGAAGTAAAAAAAAAAATCTATTAAGTTAAAGAACTTATTTTAAAATAGTACTTTGACTATATCATTTTAAATTTTTTAGACTTGGCCAAAGATGGCATAACTTCTGAGTAAAAAAAAAGAACAGATTCTGAGTGTTAATGGCTTCAATTATTATTTCAGGTTTGAAGTAAGGAAAAAGTAAGATACTTTAGCATAAGGAGAAAACATTAAATGTACTTTTAGGATACACAAAAGGATATGCAGAGGATTAAATATCCTCAATTTTAAAGATCAGTACAACGCCTACACTGATAGTTGCTCAACAAATATTTGCACAGAAGGAAGAGACAGTCATTATGCCTACATAAAATACGTAAAGATGATTTACTTATCAGGAGAATTTAACTGAATAACTGACAGAAACTCTTCCTTATTGAAAAACAGATGGGTACCTTAGTCCATAATATAGGAGGATTAAGTTCAGAAGTAGAATGCCATCAGTTACATACTCTAGGAAGATTCAAAATGAATTATTTCTAGATATGAGCCAACTGAAAGGGCAATATTTGACTCTTGGGAAACCTAGAGTTGCTGTTACTGGTGAGATGAATGTCTCATTCAATAGGAAGTCAGCATACCAGGATCCAGTCACCAGGATATTTCACTGTGGGCTTTTAAAACCAGTATCTTTCATGCTCCATCACTGTACTTCCATTCTCTACAACTTGATGTATCCAGCAAAACAGACACAAAGAGAAACCACTCAAATGCTAAAAACAGGGATAAAAAGCATCCACAGTGCTGAGACTCATTCACTTTGAACACATCCATAATAAGAATGCAGAGAAAAATCAAGCACACACAACAGTACAGGGGAAGGCAGGCACACTCAGAGGGGAAGCAGAAACCCCACGTCACAGCAAAACAAAATGTGAAGAATACTACAGTGGTTCTTCTCTGAAAGAAATTCACTCTTAAAATGAAGAAATAGAATAATCTGTAAAGGAAAGCCAGAGGTGGGGAGCTGGTGTCTAGACCAAAAGACAACTTCTCCTCAGGGATATAGGAACCCAGAACATAAGAGATATTCCTCCAAAGCAGCAAAACACCAAAGAGAAAGTAAAACAGATGCAAAAGAGCTAGACTGAGGTGTAAGAGCAGCAGAGGACTGTCTGGGGGGAGAAGAAAAGCTGATGCTTCTAGAAATATGCTAAAAGTCCTCTTTCTTTTATGAAACAACTTGTTTTGAAGACATTTATTTTGAAGAGCAGCAGTTCTATTGGTTTTACTTTAGTTTATTTAATTAATTTCAACTTAATTTTCCAACTTTTTAATAAAAAAAAAAAGTTGATGCCTCTCCTCTCCAACAAGAGAGCTGCAAGCAAATACAGCGTAGCATAACTGCTAACATGAATCTGCAGCACTTTGAACCTTCCGTTTTGACTGGGTCTTCTTAAGAATTACTACCTCTTGAAAGATTAGGACACACATCAGATTCAGGAGTTTAGTATTTGTAGAATGGGGTTGGACTAGATGATAAGCATGGTAATACTGCATACATGTGGCATTATGGAACAGTAAAGCCTTCTAGAATGTTAACCATGGAAGCCTGGGAGGTAACTACACCATGCCACAGACCAACAAGTAGCACCACCAGTGTTCTGTCATCCCTCAGGCTCAGATACTGGGCCTATTATGGATGTGGTACAGGAAGGTGATTATGAATTAATTTCCTTTCCAAAGCTTAATTGTATTTAATAGTCTAACATCTAATTATTCAGCTCTTTTTCAGGGAATTATGTATTAGTATTTGTAAAGATGGAAGAACAGGCCTAAATTATTAAATTGCTTACTGTGAAGACTGTAAAGCACGAAGAAGCTGTGAATGAAAACATTTTAAGTAGTTCATTCTGTTGATTCATAGTATATCTAAACTGAGAGTCTCTACTGAGTACCAGCCTTAAATACCTGAAATATTAGCAAGGGTAATTAACTTCAGAAGAAGAGGAAGTTTTCTGTTTGTTTTAATTTTTGTGGTGCTGGGGATCAAACCCAGGCCATCACGCATGCCAGGCCAGTGCTCAGTGACTGAGCTAATTTCCATTCCTTGAGGTTTCCTTTGTGTGGTTGGAGATGAGATCCTCAATTTGTTTTTATTTCATCTTTTAATTTGATAAAGGACAAGCAACCTAAAGTTGCTGAGAGGAGACCATTTCCACATCTGCTCTTTCTGTTCCAGGGGATAAGTTTCATGCAGGAAAAGAGGGGTGTGTGCAAAAGTATATCCTTCAACAAATTTCCACAGCATTCTACACGTTCCAACATGAAATCAACAGAGAAAAGTAGAACTTGGTCAGTCCTCTGACAGAGACCAAGAAAAGAAGACAAGAAAAAGAGAAAGACAGAGATATTGGCTTGCTGATGTCAATCTTACATCACTGATGAGTACATTAATTTTCTTAAGATGCCTCATCATAGGGGTGTCAAAAGATGCAGCGCCGTGCCCGGGCCCTCTCTTTTGGTCTTTGAGGTATTCCGCCTAGAGTATGTAGTGAGATAGTAAAGTCAGAATGGGGAGGTCCCTTTGGGTCAGGGGCCACACCATGAAGCTGTCAAAACCAGATGCAAACCTTTTTCATAGGAAGTGAACACAGAAAGATGAGCTCATAAAAGGATCTGATTGTTCCCCCCCCCCCCCCCCGCCCCTTATTATTTTTTTGTACAGGGGATTGAACCCAGGGGCACTTAACCATTGAGCCATATCCTCAGCCATTTTTTCTTTTTCGAAACAAGGTCTCACTAAGTTGCTGAGACTGGCTTTGAACTTGAGATCCTCCTGCCTCAGCCTCCCAAGTTGCTGGGATTATAGTTGTATACCAGCTGGGTCCCATTCTTTTTAACATAGGATTCCCTTAGGATTAGAAATATGAGCCTCTTAACCTTCAAAAACTGAAGTTTTCAAAATTTCAACATCAAAGTTGTTTTGAATTTGATAAGGGTATGACTGGAAATTTTAAAACATTTAAACATTTTTATATTGTTATTATATTTCATTAATCTTAACAATTCTGTTTTATTAGTAATTTTAAATTTTATCTCAGATACAATTCCATTAATTTGTAATAAAAATATTTCATAGGATTTTTAAGTATAGCTATAGAAAATCATATTTGCTTGTTATCAGTCATCTGAACATTTTATCTTTTCATAATTCCAACTTGTTTGTCACTTGCAGTAATACTTTATAGCTTTCTAGAGAGTCAGATCCTATGTTTGGTATTGCTGAAAGTCAGCACATACAACCACCAAATGTATCCCAAACCTATTTCTTCAATCAAATATTTGAAGAGAATGGACCATGAAAAAGAGGGAATTGGTATCTCCAAATTGGAGGGAAAATAAGATTGTTAAGCTCAAGTACTGTGACCAAAATTTCTTCTCTGCAAGGTCATGGGGTCTCTGAGCTTAAGTCCGAAAATCTGTAATAACTTGGGGGTGCTCTAGGTAATTGGTTTCACAAGGGAGATTAGGCAATGTGGCAATCAGCTTTGGGTGACACATTTCTGAGTCCCATCTTCTCAATAACATGAAATCTGCTAGAAAGCAGCATCTTCTTGAACACCCTATGCGTACATACCTTGATGAACACTCATCACACCAAATTGTAATTATTTATCCACTTACAAGTAGTCTGAGGACATTTGCTCATCCCTAGTTCTTAGTCCAGGCATTCAATGATTATATGGTTAAGGAAAGAAAAAAGTTTCCTTCATCTGGTTAGGTGTTAGAAGTTAGAATGTCACGGCTCTTGCACATTAACAAATCTCTCCCAGGTGACTGAAGTATGAATCAGACCCTTAGAAAATAACTCTCACTGCCTGGGGTGATGTGCCCTTTGTCACATGATGGTCATTAAGTACACAGACACCTACCTAGGTGTGCACATCCGTACATGGAGGAGTGGAGAGTGAGAAAGGCCTAAGCTGGTTAGAGGAAAATGAGATAAGGTCCTCAGCATTCTTGCCATGATGTGACTTTTCAAAGCTCTGCAGTGTGATTAAAGATCCAAAATCTATTTTGGTTGTTAATATTGCACTTTCATTCTGGAAATCACTTCGTTCTGCAAGGTTTCTAAAATCTCTTCATACTAGAGTCGCCACTTCACCATCTACCTTACCTGGCTGCTCAGCTTGGCTGCCTTCTTAGCCATCTCAATGTCTGGGCGACCCAGCATGCTTAACCCATGGCTGCCTTCTTTGCGGTGCTTGGCTCTGTATTCCACCTGAATCGAAGAGAGCCAAAATAGGCAAAGCATTCTTGCTGATGAGTGCCTTTTACTACTTGTTGGCAGTAGCCACAGGACCAGGGACATTTTAACTACACCCTTACCTCACTGGCCTGTTTGGCTGCCTGCGTGGCCTTCTTGATGTCTGGCCTATCAGCCACTGTGGTATAATGCAGGTTCTCTTTGGCATCTTTTTTGTAAGCAACCTTTATTTAGGGAAGTAAATATTTACTCACTTGAGATACGTTGTCTTCCCAAAAGTCCCCATTAAGCATGAACAACCTTTTTATTTAAAACCAAACAAATTCCCATCACCTTATTTATTTATTTATTTATTTATTTTGACTACTAGGTATGAAAGTTCTGGTGAGCACATGCTGGAACAAGAGCATGCACCAGTTTGGGGTCCACTGCCTCAAGTGGGCCCTGAGGATGTCAGGAGGGGAAACATACGTCACTCTGCTTCTTGGCCACTTCCATGGCATGTTTCACCTCGGGAGGTTCCTGCATGATGGAGTAATTGGATTTTCCCTTCTCCTTGACAAACTTCTTTTTGTAATTTGTCTAAACAGAGTGAGACATTACTCATGTTAGTGGAGGAAGCTGGGAGCAGAATTGTTTTATGTGAGGAACTCTCAAAACTCTCCAAGAAAATCCATGGCTCCCCATTTTGGCATTCTGGCCCATATTCTGGTTCTTCCCTGTCATTTCTGACCTGGAACCCAACAATGGAACCATCTAGCAATCTTTGGAGAACTGAATAAAGTAGATTAAACCTTTTTTCCCATTGTTTCTACCTTTTATAAATATAAAACGATACAAAGCTCATAATTCCATGATTATACATTATAAGGATACAGTGGCCAGAGATTTACCTCTTAAGAAATGTGTCAAGTTTAAAAATAGGAGAGGCCACTCTTAATTGACAATGTTTTCTTCCACTATTAACATTAATATTAGTTACATCTTATATTCTAGATAATGTGGCAAAACCCACATCTGCCATAATTATCATAATTGGAAAACCAATAAATACTGGATCATTTTAAAACTAGAGTTGAGGATTCACACAGGTGTTGATGGTAAGAGTTAAGCTACATAAAGGAGAGCACTTGTATGCAAAAGGGTATCAGAAAGTCTTTCACCGGTTCCTCAGGTGAAGTGGCATTGCTGCTTCTAAGAGTCCTGTGGCTAGCCACTTACGTCACTGACATGCTTGGTCACTTTCTTGACATGAACTGTGTCCAGGGTCTCTGGCAGTGTAGTATATGAGCCCTGGGCCAAGTGCTTCTTGACATGGTCCTTGTACTTGTTCTGGGGGAATCCAGAAAGATGGTGTTAAGGTATCTGCCCGGGACCTTAGCCCATGATGGAAGCAGAGCATATTGCTGTTGGAGGATTACCTCGGACACCAGATGGCTGACAGTCTTTGCCAGGAGGATCTGAGGAGTGTCAGGCACAGCATGGCAGGTTCCTCTTTCCTTGACATGTTTCTCTTTGTATTTCAACTATGGGAGTGAAAAAATATTTTTCTTAAGCTTCTCTGAATAACTTGTATATTTTTATTAAACCCCCAAATCTTATAGCTGGGGAATGGCATCAGTGACAAACTAGGAACACTAAACCCTAGTTTATAAAAGATTTGACACTTGGAAATCCTGAGAAATATTCAAAAGGGTGTTTTCCTTATTGCTTGCAAGTTGAGGGTCTCAGGATGGATCTTCAACCGACAAACATTAGTTGAGAGCATTCTCTTCTCAAATACATCTCTCCGCCCTTCCATCAGCCCAGGGAGGCATTGTTATTCCCCCCTTACAAATGAGGATCCTATAGAAAAGAAATGACTGTTTCTACATAGAATCAAGCCAGGTCTTCAGATTCCTAATTTGTGTAGTGTGAACTGCCTCATGGTACAGTATAAACCAAAACTGTCACCTGGGTTTAATAGCCTTGTCATGGCTGCACCTGACCCAATCACATCACTGGTGTCCACTGAGTGCATGGCTATGTTTTAGGACCACACCTGAATTCCTACAGAACAGATCTCCTCTGCCTCTTCCTGGGTGTCCCTGGAGACGGTGCCACAGAAGATGATCCAGGGTGAGGTTAGGCATCATGGAAGGGACTGAATACTTACATCACTTTCTATTATAGAATTCCTGAGGGCCAGCACCATGTCTTTGTCATCAGTGACAGAAAGCTTGCAGCCCTTGAGGAACTCTCGGTCCAGCTTATATTCAAACTGTGACAGAAGAAAGGAAGACGAAGTGGGTCACAGGCACAGATGGAAGCTGAGCATCTGATGAAACCTATGGGGAGCCTTTTTTAGGAGACGATGTGGATGTGTTCACAGAGTGAGGGGAGGGCTGCCTGGCCCCCTTCTGCATGCTGGATTCCTTCCCAATCCAGCAGCCAGGGCCAGGACCAGGACTGTGCTCTCCCATCCCACCTTCCCCCAGACCCTCCCCAGCCTCAGTCAGGAGTCTGTGTCCTTGGTGTCTGGGCCCAGAAGAGCTAGCTCAAAGGCCAGGTGGCTCCTTGAGGCTGCCATTCCCTCCTTACATCACTTTGTTGCAGGGATGACTTGGCGGCCTGAATGAAGTCTGGTCGGTCAGGGGTCCACTTCCAGTAGGCTTTGTTGGCTTCATATTGCTTCTTGTAGTCCAGCTGTTTTTAATACCACAGAAAGAAATCACTCAGTAAGCTGAACTCATAAACATCCAAAGCTCATGTTGACATTGACCTGCCATTGTGATAATATTACCATGTGGGATTTTTTTTTTTTTTTTCTGGTACCGGGGATTGAACTCAGGGGCACTCCACCATGGAGCCACATCCCCAGCCCTATTTTGTATTATATTTAGAGACAGGGTCTCACTGAGTTGCTTAGCCCCTATCTTTTGCTGAGGCTGGCTTTGAACTTGCAACCCTGCTGTCTCAGGCATGAGCCATTCTGCTAGGCACAATGTGGGATTTTAAGCGGTGATTAGGTCATGAGGGTTCAGCCCTCCTGAATGCTGTTATTATTGGAGTGGGGGTAATTATCTGGGTAATTACCCAGTCTCAGTTTCTGTCATCATAGCAGCAGAAAACAGACTAAGACAGGCCTGGAAGTTCATGGAACTTACGTTGGTGTTGACTTTATAGGCATCTTTGGCTGCTTTGATATGAACCGCATCTGGTTTAATGGTGCAGTTAGATTTATTTCTTTGGTAAACTTCTTTATATTTTAGCTGTGGGAAAAAATGGAGTGACAAGGTTAATTTTTTATGGCATCTTACCAAGCATTTTAAAAACTAAGAAATTCGAACTGTGATTATAGTACACAAAACTTTCTAAGATAGAATATTTTAAAAAGAATATTCTGTGAAGAAAGGATTCAACTATGCAGAGGCACAGCTTTCTATCTGAAATCTTAACACCAACACCAGTGCACATTGAAAGTGGTCATCAGTGTTACCCCAGGATTTACTTCCATGAGCTTGTGCTGAGAGGGCCGATGGACAGCTCTCCATGAATGTTTTCCCTTCCCCAACTCAGAAAATCCTGAGTTCAGAACATCTTGAGAATAGCTATTAGAGAAGATTTCCCCACATCAGCCCACCTTGTTAGAATTTTAGTCTTGCTCCCACAATTCTTGCTGTTGTTGAGTCACGTTGTAATTATTTATCTGTCTACTCTACTAGCTGGACCATCTAAGGGTAAAGGTTCGGGGTCATTCATTATGTCATTCCTAGTGTACAACACAAAGAAACTCAGTAAACATTTGAAGAATGAATGAACTGATGGATGAAGTCATCACCATTGTCATTGCTAGAGTGTGTCTACCACATTTGGGTACCTGGAGGTTGGGAGGAATGGGTGGGGCGCAGGGAAGGCTTGGAGTGTCTGCAGGCCCAATACACAGCTTCTAGCTTCATCCATATTTCATGGCCTCCTAAATTTCATGGTCCTGGGGCCCAATCTAGGCTTTCTCATTAAATTATTGGGGATGGATCCCAGGTTTTAATGTGATTAAAGCCAAAATAAACTGATCTAAAGGAGCCATTATAGGATTTACTAAATGAATCATAAGAATTACAATTTGGGGGGGGGCTTTACCACAGACCTAATTTGCTAATCAATATTTTTGAGGAAAAGGCCTATAAATTAATAGTTTAGATCAGGCCCCCAAGATCTTATAATCATGAAGTTTGAGGAAATTAATATAGAAATTCTTCATTTTTCTTCAGTGTTAGGGAATGGGCTGTCCCACATTAAGGGATCTACTTGATAGATGTTTATGAATACCTAATGTTCATGTTTATAGCACCAAAACCTATGTTTTCATATATCTCAGCTTTCTTAACCAGTGCACTGAATGCATTTGTTGTTTCGCATGGTGACTCAGGATCATATTTATTCATCTATTGAATAGATGAGTCTCTGGCTATAGTTAAGACTTTGGGATAGGGATGAGCAATTCCACAACTGCCTTGACTCTTCTTCCTAGTGCCCAGGCACTTATGTAACCATGGAATTCTTTAAAATGTTGAAATATTTTTTCAACCAAAATGACGGTTTTCAACCACAGAATCAAGCCAAATATCTGAAACTCAGGAATACAACTTCTCTTCCAATTCAGAATATTAGGATAACAACAACTAGTTTGTTCCTCTTAGTCAAGATGAAGCTTAGAGTACTAACAGCATTTATGGCACATTGCATATTTTAGAATGGCTTCAACAATATCTCCTGTTCCACATGCTTTTCTGCAATGTGGCTCTGCCAGTTGTTCAGAGATGGCATGTTTCGCTGTACCTCTTGCTATAGTTTGGATCTGGAATGTCCCCGAAAGGCCCATGTGTTACAGTCCTGTCCTCAGTCCATGGTGTTACAGGGAAGTAGTGAAATCTTTAAGAAGGGAGGCCTGGCCGTGGGGGGTGGTCTTCTGCATTGAGGGCATGTCCTTGAAAAGGACAGTTAAAACCCCAGCCCCTTCCTCTTTCTCTCTTTTGTGTCCTGGCCATGAGGTTAGCAGTGTGCTGCCTTGCAACAGGACCAATCAATCAGGGACTGAAGCCTCCATAACTGAGGGCCAAAAATCAACCTTTTTTTTCTTCATAAGTTAACATATCTCAGACATTTTTTATAGGGAGAGAAAGCTAACTAACGTACTTCTTGATTCTGAGAGTATAAAAGATGGAAAAAAAAATGATGCAGTGTCAGTTCTAGGAGGAGCCCTAACTGACCCGGAAGCTTTTACTTCCTGCCTCTTGGACCCGACTACTATACTGTGTGTGAGATGTGCAGGCACATGGAGAGGCCATATGCATAGGTCCTCACTTATTCAAGAGCCAAGCTTCCAGCCCATAGCAGTCATCAATTGCAGCTGTGTGAGCGAGTTACTGTATGGATTCAGTTGACTGCCACCATCTTGAGTGTCCCAGAGTAACCCTAGTCAGTTTTCTCTGCATGGTTTCCCAGTATGTAAATAGACAAAACCATGGTATATCTATTTCTTCAATCGGACTCTAACACCAGGAATGTTCCTGACTCTTTGACATTATCTTAGGATAAACCAGGGACATTCAAATTGAATAAAGTCTCTTTATCCTGACTAATATATATATATATATACACTCTTCCTCCTGACCCAAATCACAGGGATCTACTTGGTCTTGCTGCTACCCAGGCCCAGCTTCTGTCAATAAGTCCTAATAAACTGCACTCTATGCAACCGTGGATCTGCTTGCCTTTTTTCTTTATTTTTACTGCAATTATATGCTGGGACTGGATTGTTCTGGAATATCTGCCTTGGATGTCCTGGACTAATTGAGCCTCAGAGTTCTGCCCACAATATGTAGAAAGAACTACTCAGCTATGCCCAGTCAACTCACAGAGTCATAAGCAAAATAGAAGACTGCTATTTTTAAGCCACTAAGTTTTAAGGTGGTTGTTTCACAGAAACAACACAGGAAACTGAGCCAGGGTTTGTTATATCACATCAGGAGGAGGCCAAGATGAGAGGGACTGAGAGGCCACTGCAGTACTTACATCGCTGACTTCATCCTTGACCTTGCGGACATGCAGCAGCATGGGTGTGTCATGGATTGTGGTATAGCCCCGAGGCTTGGCCTTGTTGTATTCCAACTTATAAAGTATCTAAAAGAGTTTTAAAAGGAGATGGACACAATGTTATGCTTCTTTTACAATGTACAAATATAAATGCAATTTTTTTTTTTTTTTTAGTAAACACAGGAAAGAAAATTTAATAAATTCAATGGGTGGGTTAGTGCTCTCTGCTAAGGCCTCTGTGTTTCTCAACTGGTGAGTTGGTCAATTTGGTTAGAGCAATTCTTCACTGTGAAAGAAGAGTCCTATGCATAGCAGACACGCAGCATCCCTGCCTTCCTCCCACCAAATAGCAGTAGCCTTTCAGACACATGACAATCCAAAATGGCCCTCCACATTTGTGAATGCCCGAGTTTGTGAATCTCTTCAGTGTTCCCTGTACTTACATCGCTGATTTGTTTGTTGACTTTTGTGGTACGCAGGTGTTCTGGAGTGTCCACGACCGAGGTGAATTTGTCCTTTGTCTTTTCATAATTTTTCCTGTACTTGATCTAAATTGTTGAAGAGAAGAATTAGTTCACTCTAAGAAGTAGAATAGAGAACTTTAAAAATATAATGAAACACCAGAGTGGGATATAGTGTCACACAACTTTCACTTTAAATTCTAATTAGAATTGTTGAAGATAAATTTGCACTTGATAGCAATTGTATAGTAGAGTGAACAGATAATAATCTATTTTCTACACATGGAGTCCCTGAGAGGTTAGGACACTGAGTCAATGGAACCTGTAGAATGAATCTCAGAGCAACTTGTTCTTCAGACTCTGAAAAGTACCATTGCACTTACAATGTACTGTGTTAAGTGTTTACAGTCTCTTAAAGGATTTTTCCATATCAAAGATAAAATAGATATAAAATAGGAAATGAGTGTATACAGTTTGAAAAGTATTTATCATTTAAAAAATAATTTGTTTTTATAATTTTCAAATCACATGCACACAAGCTGTTTTAAGCAGGACAGATACAGACAGCTTAACAAAATCTCATGCACAACTATTTGATGATCATATATTAAGGCCAACGAGAAAGTTTAGGCAAACAGGATCTTTATGGAGAGAGTCTTCCTCCTCATTGTGTGTGTTGAGTTGATGGCAAACTAAAATGATAAAACATCTTGCTAATTCAAAAGATTAAAATTTGGGGATGGGGAGGATCTGAGAAAGTGGCATTTTATTAACATTATATCTGTAGTTAAACATTACCACTCTTTATTGCTGCTCCATATTTACCTTTCAGCCTGTGATGGAAAGGTGGTCGCATGTGTTTCCACTGGCAATTTTAGAAAGGCAATTTTATCAGCAACACTGCTAACAAGTGTGTGAAAACAAAAATGCTGGCAATAATATAGCAATTCAGCATCACACTCAAAAGGCACCGTGAATATAAATAATATTCAAAGAGCTGCATGGAAATCCTCATCTCTCCCAAATGGGACAGTTGCAGTGATAATTGAACAATGGGAAAATTAGATGAAAACATTAAATATTCAGACCTTTAAATGCTGTTGACTAATTCTATATCCACAGTCTCTAAGGAATCTATTTCTTTGAAGCAAATACTGAAAAAATATAAATTGATATTATACTAATTTGGAAATAGCATTTGAAGGAAGCTCAGATAATTTTTCTAGGACTTTCTAAAGCATCAGGTCCATATAGATGATGGCTCTTCCATCACTACCTTCAGCCACGTTGAGTTCATTTATAAGGAATGAATATTTATGCAGCTTTATCATGTGAAGCCAGCATGGGTAGGGAGCAGAGACCAAAGAAAGCATAAAAGGGAACGCACCTAAGAATCTAACCTCCTCCCTCACACCCTTCAGACATTACCTGGCTCCACATGTGTGAATTGTAGAGAGCAGTCAACATATCTGGACGCAGAATTTCATTACATCCTTGTTTCAGAAGCATCTTGGCACTAGATTTATATTTTCTCTGTCCATGCAAAGAGCAGTGAAGCACAAAAGAGACTTATGAAGACAGAAAAGGACACGGCTCTATATCCCAGTCACCTCTGAGTGAAGAGATGTAGGCATATATGCTTTGTGCCCTCACATGGCTGTGTGGGTGAAGGGGCCAGATACATGACAGTGATGAGCACAGTGACTGACGTATTGATGGCTGACTGTCCAGAGTCCTTGTCAACAGGAACGACATAGCTAGTCTCACTTATGTTACTACCAAAAGTGTCTTCCAGAGAAGACATCATAGGAACAGAAAAAGACCATCGGGAGTTTGGTTTTTTGTCCTCCATAATTTTTGTCTTATTTTAGTTTTATAGCTTGGTTTGCAACTGACATTTGCAAAGAAATTGTGTAAAAGAAAATAACTTGTGGGAGGACCTAGTCCTCATTTCCATCTTCACCACAGCACAAGTGAGGACACAGAGCACAGACTGGCACACTCAAATAGCTCATGGGCTCTTTGGGTGGCTACACAGATACTTAGAAACAGAACAGCTCAATATCATAGGCAGAACCTATGACATCCTTGCAGCAGACGGGACGACACCTCATGAGAAACCCGGAGCACAATCTGCCTGGACCATCGGCCAGCCCCTTCACAGTACCTGGCTGATCTGGTCGCCTGCGGTCTTAGCCAGCAGATGTCTAGGCTCATCGACTACCAGGTGGTATTTATCTTTCCGCTGCTCATAATCAGCTCTGTATTTTTTCTGCTCAAACATCATATCAAATTATAGCAAGAGTACAACTTCAAGGCCACAGAGAAATGTACCAAGGTAAACACTCCAGAGAGCCAGAAACATATCATTTTTAGAAGTGGCTTCCCAAAGCACCCAGAACAGTAAAAGTGGGGATGGGTATGGAGAGAAGAGAGACAGTAAAGAGCGATTGTCTGGGGATAGCTGGGGCCTGGATAGATCAGATTAATGAAGCTGGAATTGAAGTTTCTTATCTACCTTTTCATATGATGTCATTAGCAATGTTAGGCTTTATGGCATCTTATATTGTATTTAATATAATAAATAATAATATTAAGGGACTAGGGTTGGGGGTGTAATTCAGTGGTACAGCACTTGCTTATCAGGCGCTAAGCCCTGGCCTCTATACCCAGAACCACAAAAAATGAAGTTGCATATGATTTCAATGTGGCTACTGAGGCCTAACTAGCCCAGCCCAAGGGTCTTTAAAATATAAAATAAAATACTGATAAGCTATGGATTTACCATCTAAGGCTGTGAACTCAAAAGCATAACTAATGCTAAAACATTTATGGAAAAATTGTCATAGTCTTCGAACACAAGTTAATTTATTTGATTATAAAAAAGACCTAGAAATCCTTTGCAAAATAGAAAAATAGAAACAAAATATATCAAGACTGCACTGCTAGGAAGCTACTGATAGTAGTTCTTCAGGGTTGTCCAGCCTGGAAATGTCTACTGAAAATGAACTAAATCAAATTAAAAAATAAACATGAACAACATAAAGTCATGAATAAATATATTATTTGCTATGTTTTCATTATTAAATATATTTTACTACATTTCTAGCATTATTTTTAACTTATATATAAGTTTGTGGAAAACCTAAAAATACAGTTAACTACAATTTTAATTATAAAACCATCCAGACATACATAAATTCATATCTTGCTTTTTTCAGCTTTCTTGAATTAAATTCAACTTAAAATTTAACTTAAATTCTCGCAGGATGGTTAACAGGAAAGACTGGGTAAAATACAAAGAAAATTTTTTGTGCAAATAGATTCTTCTGTGTACTAAGATACATGATAGTAACAACAGCAACATATTTGAATACATGAATCACAACTATCCCCTTGGAGTGGGTCTCCTGACCACTGCCAATTTGGTGTCTTTGTAGGGGACACTAAATTAACATTAAACTTATGGATCTCCCAACTTTACATAATATCATATTTAATGGAGTTAAGCTAATAGTCCACAAAGTCCTTGACCTGTGTCAGCACTCACAGAGCTGTGCCTCCCCATGATAGTGCATGCAGAGGGATAGGTGGCTGTAGGGTCCTCACTCCCCTCTGAATGGTCCCTTTGCTTTTCCTTATTCATGGTTTACATAGATCCCATGAGATGGTGACATTATACAGTCTTTCCAAATCTTTAGTTTGAATGAACACTTAGGATGACTGTCCTGTCTTTCTATATATTAGGTTTTCATCAAACAACTCTATAAACTTCTTCAGGGAACTAAATAGGTCTAATTGCATTAGTTCAAACATACCTCATTCATCAACTGAGTTGCATACTTGAAATGCTTGTTGATTGGAGAGTCAGCAACATACTTGAAATTTGACTTTGTCCTTTCAAATACCTCTTTGTACTTATACTAGAGGAAAAGAGCATGATTATTTGCTAGTGAATCTTCAGAATGAGGCATGCTATTTATCTTATCCTTGTGATGATTCATGTACAGAGCTAACAAGTATTCCTTAGGCCTTTACCCACTCCCAATAACAGTGATGGGTACACCTGCCTGGATGTTCTGAAAACTAACCCAAAAGACAGATTAGAAAACACTTTCTTTGAATGGATATCAAATGTTATACACTCTGGGTAAAAGTCTAAATAAATTTTTTCTTTGTTCCTATAAATTATTATTTTACATTGAATGCATTTTCATGTACACTTGATGGTCATTTTTAGTCCATTAACTTGAATATAGTTTCTCAACAACTAATTGGATACTTATGATTATACAGAGTAGGGGTGAATTATGGTCTATCTAGTCACCACATGTTTTGAAACAGCCCCAGGAGTTAAGAATGTTTTTTTTTTTTTTACAATTTAAAGGGGTTGTAACAAAGGAGAATATGAGCTGGAATGAATGTGACTCACAAAGTCTGAAATATCTACTGTCTGGTACTTATCAGAAAGAAAAAAAATAGCTAACTCCTATTTTACAACTCAAAAGAAGACTCTTCAGCTGCTTTATTTTGTAAATAAGAAAATGAGGACATAAAAGACTTGACTTGCCTGGAGTCACACAATGTGGACCGAAACACCCCCACTGTACACCTGCTACCATATCTCTAGTACAGTGAATCATCCTGAGATGTATTAATAGGGAGGAGATTCTGGGAGGGTTGTGAAATGCTACACTGTGGTGACTTTTCATCAAATTCAGATAAATTCAAATAAAATATAGTCATTGAGGTAAAAATAAGTAAATTTCCGCGGGAGAGTGATAGTTCAGTATGTGTTGCAGTTACAGTGTCTAGAAGCAAGGACAGGGACAGACGCAGGAAAGGTTATTTCCTCAGTGCTAATCTGCCTGTGAGTCCAGGTCTGCGTTGAATGCATGTGACCATTCTTGAGGATATACCTTGCTGTAGAGTTTCTTGTTCTGTTCAGCCAGAGTGAAGTCAGGGGTATCATAAGCATAGCATCCAATGCCTTTAAGCCAGGTCAAATCTTCTTTATATTTTACCTGAGATGAGAACATCAGCATCAAAGATTTTTTAAGAACCTACTCCAAACAGCCATAGGTTAGGGTCTATACAAGTGGAACAAATACAAACTCTGATTCCTGAAGTATATGGAATAATAAAATAGTGAAGCTATTATTTAAAGAGGTTTCCAGTAATACTGATTTCTGCTTATTTTATGGTACATGGTTTACAGTATGTAAACATTTTCATTTTTATTACTTATTAAAATAATTCAAATTTAACAAGATATTTTCCTAGTGAGTATATCATTAGTTTGGTAGTTATATTTTCATATAGAGAGGTGAAATTTTTAATCTAAATGAGCATTGCTGTGTGTTTTAATGGCTCCATGAAGTTGTATCATCAGTGGATCAAACAGAGTATTTTCTAGATGAAGTACTGCACTTCCAGTCATGTAATATAATGTCAGACATTTAGAAGAAAAAAAATAGGTACAAACTTGAGCATATTTTTTCCTCTCACACACTGAAGTTTATTCATTTAGCAATTGAATTTTATAATTTAAACATCCATACACAAGATCTTAAAGCTAGGTGTGAGTCTTATCAGTTTTTCCACAGTGGCTGACATCATAACTCATATGAGAATATGAACTTGAAAGTAGATGTCAACACTCACATCACTGACTGCATCTGTGACTGCCCGATGGTGGAAATGTTCTGGGCGGTCAGGAATGGACCTCCAGATGCCCAACTGGCTCATGTAATTCTCTTTGTATTTCACCTGCCACAAAAAAACAAAGACAGCTATAAAGTCTTTCCCAAAATTAACGTACAAAGTCTCCTTTTCCCTGGAGTTTTACAAAAGGGAATTTTCTAAGAAAAGAAAAGAAAGTAATGGTGGGTTAGAGAGTCCAACGTAAGTAGAAATACAAGGACATACTTTACTGATGTCATCCGTGACTCTGCGATGATAAACGATGTCCAGAGCATCCTTCACAGTGTGATATTTCCCTTTGGTTTTTTGAAATGTTTCTTTGTAGCGTAGCTGGAAAGAAAACAAGCACATAGATTATGAGAACCACTACACTGAATAACTGGGCTCTCTTAAACTTGAACTCTTCTCTCTTAGGTTTTCTTGTGAACACATTTAGAAAAAATTAAGAAGATCATTTTAGATCCTGGAAAAGAAGAAGACACTAAGAAAAACTAATGGAACCCAAACATAGTACAGCTTGATGCAAGAATAACATTTTCAACCTTGGTTTATTGGCCATGACAAATGCATGATTGTAATGTAGATTGTTAACAATAGGGGTATATGGGAATTCTCTGTATTATCTTTGCCACTTTTCGGTAACTCTAAGACTATTTAAAATCTTTTTGTAAATGTAAAATGAATAAATCAAACACTCATTTTGGAGGGAAAAAAGCGAACTGAGTACAAGACATACTAACATACATGGAAAGAGGAGAAAGATTTAGCTTCTAATTCCTACTGTTAAAATGACTTCTGCACTAAGCAATATTAAAATTTTATTTTTACTTTTTTTTTGGTATTGGCGATTGAACTCAAGGACACTTGACTGGTGACCCACATCCCCAGCCCTGTTTTGTATTTTATTTTAGAGACAGAGTCTCACTGAGTTGTTTAGCACCTTGCTTTTTGCTAAGGTTGGTTTTGAACGCATGATCCTTCTGCCTCAGCCTCCCAAGCTGCTGGGATTATAGGCATTCCCCACTCTTTATGCTTGTGATATTTTAAGAGAAAACAGCTCTGACTCAAACTTAAGACCATTAAAGAAGACAGCTGACTGTGGTGGTGCTTGCCTGTAATCCCAGCGACTCAGGAGACTAAAGCAGGAGGACCACAAGTTTGAGGCCAGCCTGAGCAACTTAGCAAGACCCTTTTTCAAAAAATTAAAAGGGCAGGGGATATAGCTCAGCAGTAAAGTGCTTCCTAGGTTCAATACTCAGTACTGGAAGAAAAAAAAAGAATATCATAGAAGATTCACCTCATCTACATAAGATAAGTGCTTCTTTGACTAATATGTTTTCAACCTCAAACAGTTCCTTTGTTTTTAGGTAGCTCTGAAAAAACACATATAAAAGATGACTCCTTTGCTAGCTAAGCAATAAAACTTCTTTTTCCATTTTCTAAAAAAAAAAAAAAAAGGCAGACTTGCCTTTAATCACATGCTACAAGAAATGAAAGTCTGTCTCTCCTAATTCCAACTCCTGAGTTGTATGTCATTCACATGATCTACATTTAGGCAATTAGGATAAGAAAGGGAACACATATTTCTTATAGCATGCTAGGAATATTATATACATGTTCTTGTGTAGCTTTACTTCTTTTTCACGATGCTCATCTTCATCTGACATATAGGAAAAGAAATATTAAACAAATTATGGAGTCATAGAGCAAGCATATGACAGTGTCATGACTGAATCCATATTCAGCTCACTCTAAGACCATGATTTTATGGGTAAGTAAATTAGTTGTAAAGTATCCCTAGGAAATGCTGCAAAAGAGTAATACGAAAGGACCACACTTTTGCTCCTGAGAAAAGGGGCAATAGGCTTCTAGCATCTCTTAACACGATTCTCAGCTACGTTGCTTGGTTGATATTGGGTCAGTGTTTTTGTTTTGTTCCTGATCTGTGTTGTGGGCCTTGACTCTGAACTGTGGATGTGACTGAAGAGCTTATGTTCCTTGGTACTGCAACCTCAACTCTCCCTATCACACAGGAAAAAGAAGGGCAGGATACATACGTCACTGGCATTCCAGTAAGCCCTCTTGGCTCTGATGAGGATCGGTGTATCTGGCACCGGAGTGTACTTGTCCTTCATCTTTTCATATTGGATCTTGTACTTATTCTAAGGAAAAAAAAAATAGAAGAGAGAGACAAACTTGAGGTCAGGTGTTTTTACCCTACTCCAATTCATAACCAACTTACAGATCTAGCAGAGGGAGACAATGTATCACACTCTTTGAGAGAATAGCTTTGTTTTCTGTATTTTGATCATGTTGAGTACAACTTAGAATAATGAACTCTCTGAACAGAGGTTAACAGGTGGATGCTGGGGATGTAGCTCAGTGGTAGAGCCTGGTAGACACAAAACCTAGTTTCAATCCCCAGCGACACACACACACTGGGCAGGTGAAGGTTTTGTTTTCTTTAACTCAGTGCAAAATCCCAACTTACCTCACTGACCAAGTCCTTTACATCTTTAGCGTGCTTCAAGGCTGTGGTCTGGTTTCCAGCATGATGATGGGGTCTCTCTTTGGTGGCAAGTTCAACATAGAGATACTTTAAAATAAGAGAATAAGGTGAGATGTCACAAAGATGAAGCATTTAGTATTTAGCCCTCTTCATTCATTTCTAACCCTTCAGTGGGAGGGGAAGGGAGTGCTTCTAGAATCTGTTGTCCTGGTTTGATTGCTTATTTGTGTTTTTGTTATAGGCATTTGTTAATTTTTCTCTGTGTCTCGAATTTGAAAACACATATATGTTCCGTTTGTCTACTATTCCTACTGCTGAGTATGGAAAAGCCAGGTGATCAGGAATGCTAGCAGAGCAGTGAGAGGATTCTGAGAGCGCTCTCAGCATACTTGCCCCTTAATTTTGCCTGAATGCATGAAATATGGTTTCATTTATCTGTGGATAGCAAGTCCAATGGAATGATCCAATAACCATTTTCACAACGTGCAGTCACAGACCACTCATGAAGTGACTAAAGTTACACAGCACTTAGAAAAGAAGGTGTGGCATCCTTGCTCCCGTGAAACCTAGGTGTAATTGTGATGGACTGAAAGGTAGATGCTTCCTAAAGTGAAGTGCAGATGGGCACAAGACTGCAGCAAGAACAGGCAAGGCTAAGGGCCTGCCACTGGTTAGGAGAGGCCAGGCGCGCAGTCCCACCCCAGGCGATGCTACATGGCAGGGTTTGAATATTCATTTACAATTGGTGTTACCTGGCTCTGAAGCTTCTGCCCCCGCTTGGCTCTTAAAAGATCAGGAGTATCGGGAACTGAAGTGAAGACTGACTTCAGCTTCTTGCCTTTGGCTCTGTACACCAGCTGGACATAAAACACGTCATGGCCGTCATCTCTGCTTCATTGACCTGATATATTCTCTGCAGATCCCTTTATTGCTTGCTCATAGGAAAAGTAGACCCCTCCCACTGTAAAAGTTTTATTTTCTTCCTAATAAACCAATGACTTATTAGTACTTTCCTCCTGAGCCTGCCTTCCCTACTCTTTAGCAAAAGAAGAGACATTGCCCACCTACTTGTCCAAGTTTCAAGCGTCCCGCTCTGTTCTTAGTGCCATTCCCACTTGTTTCTTCTGGAACCCTTAACTGACCTTTTGGTCCTCCTATCCTCAGCCCTTCCTGCTTTTTCAGCACTCTCCCTTCATTTGAAAACAGGTCCAAATCTCTCCCTCCATTAAGATTTTTCCAACCTCTAGCCAGTGCTTCCCTCCTTCCTTTTTCAGCCAGATCACCTATTCTTTCACTTTTTGATTAATTTCTCAAGATCCTTGGCTACTACCCAACTGTACCAGTGAAGTCACTCTTGATAAGAGTACCAAATCTTTATTGTATTTGCTTCAATAAAATCTTCAGAGTTCTCTGTAGCAACAGAAACTGTTCTAATTCAATCCTAAAAACGGTCTTGTGTACCTCCCACTCCACCATTCTCTGCTTGGTGGCCTCCTATCTCTCCAGGCCTCCCTCTATGGTCTGTTGTGAGCTAGAGTTAAGTGTTGGCTCCTTTTATCCTATCTATTCTCCTTGGGTGAGCTCATTTGTACCTCATTTGACCTCACTTTGAGATTGATGACTTCCAAATCTTTATATCCATTGTGTCTCCTGAACCCCAGACCCAACTTTCAACAACTTCCTAAATGTGATTTATCACATTTAATGTAGAATTCTTTATGTTACTCCCATCTCTACCTCACATCTGCTTCATGTCTTCTCTATTTTGCTAAATGACTCCTCGATCTCCCAGTCACCCAGAGAGAATCTGGGGAGTCATCCTAGACTCCTAATTCTCAACCCTTCCACTCCTGCCCACCAGCACTACCCTGTTTCAGCTTCTGTCCTGTTTGTTTTCTACACATCTTTAGGAGTCTCCTCAGCTGGGCTCCTTTACTGGACTGCTCCATGTGGCTCACCCATCTTTTGCAAGTCTGAGAGACAGATTTTTACAATACTCGAACTATCCTGTATAGAAATAATTCAATGATTTTTCATAAATCCCAAAGGTCACTAATACAATACCTTTAAGGCATTATGACCTGGCCTTTGGGATTTATGAAAAATCCTAGATGAGGTTTCTAGTCTCATCTCCCAAAATCCTTTTTCATAGTCCTCATGTGCTATTTTAAACTACCCAAGCTGTTAGAACTCATGGCTGCTTTCACATACTATCCTTCCTGCCTACAATGTTCTCCCTTTTATCTGCTGGAAAAACTAGAATCCATGATCTTTTGACTAGTCCTATAAAATGCCTTTTATCACACTGATGTCTATTTCTTCTCCCAGACCAGGAGCCCATGGGATGCAGTGGCTCAGCTGTATAATCTTTCGTCACCTAATTCCTAGACAAGAGGCCTGAAAATCAGTAGTCCCTTAATAAATGTGGAGGGAATTTAATAAGGCAAACTAGAAGGAACAAATGAATTCCAAATAAATTCTAATACAATATAAATACCAGTTGAAGAAATAAAATTAAAATTTTCTTGACATGTACATACATGTATATATATAATATCTAAATTATATAGAACTACACTTAATCTAAAATGTAGCTCATGTGTTTGGAGCTATTGTGATGTCACTTTTGAAAAGAAATTAAATTAAAATTTAATTTCTTCCAGGTTCAGTCTGCCTCTGTCTCTGTCTCCCTCTTCTCCCAGGTAATCAACTTCTCTAGCTTAGGAAATTGAAATGCTGGCATTGTGACTCATATAAGGCCATACAGCTAATTGGAAGTAAACCTGGAACTAAAATTCAGTGTCCCATGCCATTTCTATAGTTCTCTTTCTGATACATTTTTATTGTACTTAGGTGTGCGTTGTTCATGCTTCTGTTTCTTAGTATTACAAACGCTTTATGTCAAGAATCTACACAATGCAAAGACAATTTAAAAGTCGGTAAATTGAACTTCCTTTTTGACAAATTTTTTACCAAGTCAATTTTTCTCAACTTTCCTGATACCAAAAACTCCCGAGGACTTTATTGTAGCCTTTACCCCCAGACTTCAGAGGATGGTCATTCTTATGGAGAGGCAAATATGGTAGAAACTACAGTACTGAAAAAGACCCTTTCTTCTTCCTCAAATGTTGATGCACAGTATACATAAAATCCCAACAGGAATTGAGAAGAAGGGAAACTCAAGTTTTGGATAATTCTGAACCCAGACGTTAAACCAATACCATTAAAACAAAACAAGTATTTACTTTGAAGCACTTTTAAATTACCGAAGCATTTTATTATTATTATTATTATTTGGTAGCTGAAGGAGAGATGTGATGAAGTGGTTTTCAACCCTGGGTAGATCTGAGGATCATCTTTGGGGCATCTAAAAAACATACAGATGGGCCAGGCGTGGTGACACACGCCTGTAATCCTAGTGGCTCAGGAGGATTGCAAATTCAAAGCCAGCCTCAGTGACTTAGCGAGGCCTTAAGCAACTCAATGAGACCATGTTTCTAAATAAAATATAAAAAGGGTTGTGGATGTGGCTCAGTGGCTTAGCAACTCTGGGTTCAATCCTCAGTACAAAAGAAAAAAAAAATACTGATGCCCCAAATCATACTCTAGTGGAACTAGGGGTCAAGTCCATCCAAGGGTAGTTTAAAAACATCCCATTGGTATTCGGCTCCTAAACCAGGGAGAAGCACTTACTGGGATAAAAAGAATGTTAGCATTCTTGTCTGAGTGTGCGCACCAGTTGAAATAACAGAGAGAAGCTTTTAGGAAAGCAAATGGACTCAATTAGCATTTATAAAAGCTAAAGGATTAATCATCCTCTGACTCTGGCTCATAGAGTGTAAGAAGCTATACAACCCCTCCAGGGAGGGCAATATCTGTTGTGATAAGGCATCTGTAAGTCCAAGAGCATGAGATTTCTAGTCAGCAGCCATCAGAGTCATTGAGAATGATGAAGTGCTCTGACAGCCAGTGCTTGGCTCAGCTTGATGAAGCCTGCTAAACTGAGCCACAATATAGCCTGATGGTAGAAGAAGAATGCAAGTTGCTTATAAGAAGAGCAACCAAGAGCTATAGATGTAGCTTAGTGGTAGCTTGCATGAGACCCTGGGTTCAATCCCCAGTACCATTAAAACAAAACAAAACCAAAAAAAGACCAAGCATTTACATTTGTGGAATGCTCTTAGTTTTGCAAAGCACATCCAATCTCTGGCCAACATAGATGTCTACTAACATGGCCAAGGCACTAAGGAGACACACTTGTAAATAAGATAGGAAGATGGGGTTGATACTTCAAGGAACCCACTGTCTAGGTGACAGGATCAAATCTGTATACAAATATTGCAACAGATCATGAGCCTCAATGCCAGATGGGCAGATGAAAATGAAACTAGTTTGGAATTTATTGAGTGGGCAGAAGAAAGGGAGCCATTGAAGACTATCCAAAGGTCACTTTCAGGATTGGGATCCTGATAGCAGGAGAGAAAAATCTGAAATAAGTTCAATTTGGAGACTACAACAATAGTGTATGACAGAAGGACTTTCTATAAAATCATGTAAAACCTCTCATCAGCTCAAGTCACAGGAAGAGTAAGTATTAATATTCTCACTTTACCAAAAGGGGAAAAGTAAGTAAATTGAGCCAAAGTGAGGTCAACTGACTTTCTTAGACATTGTGGCCACTCTGCAGTTAAGGGAAGAAGGGAAATGTTTTACATCTGCAGTTGCCTAAAGAGTGATTGCTAGAGAGAGGTACTAAGAACCTTCCTGAGTAGTGTTATTCATACTGGTCAATTTGGTCTACTTGGAGGCACAGGTAAAGCATCCTTACTTACCTCACTCAGATGGGTCTTCAGTTCCTGCACTTTTCTGTATTCTGGAGTGTCAAGTACCACTTTGTATTTGTCTCGCATCTTTCTTGCATTATCAGTGTACAGGTAATTAGACTAAAACAAAAACACAGCAGATATACAGGTTGATTAATCATTGAAGAGACTGTCATGCTATCTTTCACAGGGTTGGTATGTGCAAATGGTACAGGCCCTCTTGTCTCCTGGGTGTTTTATTAGGTAGAAACAAAAACAACTGTCATTTAAGATCATTACCTTTTATAGGAGGCACAAATCATCTTAAGTAAGTTATAACCTGTCCAAGTGGATTGATGGTAAATTTCTCTTTAAAAGTAGCTGCAGGCTAAGATTTGTTTTTCTTAGTCCTGGAGGCTGGTGATGGGCACTTGGCAGCTGTGCAGGAGTAGCTGTGTCATGAAAAAATGTACTCACCCAGAGCTTCCTCAGGTGTCGGGAGCGGACCATGTCAGGAGTGTCATACAGGAAGCAACCAAGTCCCCTTAAGATCTGCAAGTCTTCTTTGTACTTAATCTGTTGGGGCAAATACAAATAGATGTCTACTCATGAGCAAATGTAAATCAGGAACCAAAAAAGAGAGGGTAGCAGCACTTCTTTGTTGATATACAATAGCACTCCACCCCGCCCCATTCTTTGGTTTCTGTTATTTACTGTCCATCACAGTCTGAAAATATTAAATGGAAAATTCCAAAAATAAACAATTCATGAGTTTAAAATAATTATTATAGCATATTATTATTATTGTGCTGTTTTCTTAGTTATTATTCTTAACCTCTTACTGTGCCTAAGTTATAAATTAAGCTTTATTTTAACTATGTAGGTATAGGAAAAAACTGCATATATGGGGTTTGGTATTATCCACAGTTTTGGGTAACCACTTAGGGTCGTGGAAGGTACCCTCTGCGTATAAGAGGGGGCTACTATATTTTTCACTTTGGTTCAACATATTCATGCTATGCTCTTAGTTTGCTTGCACTTAAATAAATCACAAATCTCTAACCTTGAGCTAAGGAGAGAGCACTGCTATTATTTTATTCTCATATGGATGGGAGAAAAGCACAGATTAAAAGGATTGATCTTTTCGAAGAAAGAAACAGGCAAGAATGTTTTTAAATGGCAATGCAAAGTTGCTAAAGAGGATGGGAACAGGATGAGTAGGAGAAGCTACTAAACATGACCTGGGATACAGAGCACCAAAGAGTGAGGAGTAAGGACCCAGTGTCTAATATATAATTGTGGTCATTGAGTGATAAAGAACAGTGGCAATTCTTTTACATCCCAGAGGTCCTCTTATTAGAGTTTGCATAGCTAGGAAACTGCAGAGTCCTGCTTCTGCACTGTGCCACCTCTAAGTTGTACCAGTAGTTTAGTAGTTCTTAATGGAAAAGGCTGAAAGCAAGGCTGCTTTCCAGAAAGAGCCCTACAGGATGCTTACATCACTGGTGATGTCTCCCACGTAGCGGCAGTGCAACACTTGGGGTGTGTACGGCAGGGAGATCATGTGGCCCTGCATCTTGAAGAAGTCTGATTTGTAGATCAACTAAGGGGGAAAAAGACACGCACATTAAAGGCATGGTCCACTTTCACCCCTGGGGTCCACAGACTGTTCTCTCTATTAAGAAAATACTCACCTCACTGACAGCTTCTTGTGTCTTCTTGACTTGGCGGATTTCAGGTGTGTCAGGAGTTGTGTGAATCTTGTCTTTCAGTTTATGGTACAATTGTCGATATAGTCTCTACATTGGGGAAATAAAACCATTCCAGATATTTAGTATAGGATGACCAGGGCATCTACTGACTAAGAATCAAATATTTTACGTACCAAGTCAACAGAGAAAATAATGGGAATGTTAAAAATTATTAAGATTAGGACAAACATTAAAAAATAATATTTCATTTAGGTGAAGAATTCTGAATACAAAAATAGTAGGATCAGATGTACAAATCAGTAGATGATGTTGAAAACCAAGTTTGTGAGTCTGACTAAAATGCAAACTTATTAAAGATTTTTTTTACTACAAATATCAACAGAAGGAATTGTTTCCTTAGAAAACTACTGCATCATAGGGCTGGGGTTGTGGCTTAGTGGTAGACCACTTGCCTGGCATGTATGAGGCACTGGGTTTGATCCTCAGCACCACATAAAAATAAATAAATTTAAAAAAATATTGTGTCCAGGGCTGGGGATGTGGCTCAAGCGGTAGCGCACTCTCCTGGCATGCGTGCAGCCCGGGTTCGATCCTCAGCACCACATACACACAAAGATGTTGTGTCCGCCGAGAACTAAAAAATAAATATTAAAAAAATTCTCTCTCTCCTTTAAAAAAAAGATATTGTGTCCATTTACATCTAAAAATATTTTAAAAGAGAAAACTATTGCATCATAATATATAGAAATGATATTCTGTGATGCTGTTTCTAAATATACAAAAACACCACCAAGGGATACAATATCAAAATAGTGACAAAGTACTCTAATTCTTTGTTGATATGTAAGTTTGAAATTCAACAAATTCTTCTAATGCATTTCAAACAAAGCCATGGTATTTGAAATTCAATATTCCCCCCAGAGAATTCAGCAGTCACAGTACCTCACTAGTAACATTGTTGACTCTCCGGACATGGACAAATGGAACGTCCTTGGGGCCTAGTGTATACCCATTTGCCTTGATGTGTTCATAGACTTCTTTGTACTTGAACTGTAGAAGCAAAGTCAGAATGAGATCAATGATGGGTACACAAAGCAGCACTGTATTTCTCAGTTAGAAAAGAGATGTCACCTTTGCTTGAGAATTGCTCTTCAAGCCTTAAATACAAGGAAAAGTCATTGACAAAATTTTAATATTGTCCCAAGTCTTGAAAATTATTTGTTGGAGAATAAATCTAGACCCAGAAAGGAATAAATTTTAACCTTTCTGGGTGAAATCTTTTTGTAAGATAGGTCTGCAAAATGCAAGAAAAGCCTACATCTTTTGCACCAATGTGGCTAGGAAATTAGAAATGTGAAGAAGAACAAGAGAATAATTTCAAAATTGATAAACGACTGTAGACTGATTTAAAAATATAACGTGGTAGATTTTCATATCTGTTACTCTCTGCTTTGAAAACACGTAATGGGTCACAATCTTATCTGGCCAGCAGGGTTGCTTTCCAGGAGTCAAAGTCAGCAGGGAGAGGAGAACTAGGTCTGCAGCCAAAGGCTGGGTTATGAGTACAGTCTGTGGCCAGTCACCGGGACGACCAAACTTCTCTAGGACTTGCCCATGGGATAACTGCATCAAGCAGGTACAATCTGGTACTTTTTAAAATGAGGAAGGGTGGTATCAGTGGCAAGAGCTGGGAAAGAAGTCCTTTCTTTTCTAAGAGACACACAGTGACATATCTTCTGTAGGCCTCAGTAGCGTGTGTGCAAAGCTGCATTTCCAGTAAATGGATTGGATGCTTCAGGATGTTTCTGTACTGAGGCTAGCAGAAGTAGAGGGATCATGACAGCCATGAATCCTGAGCCAAAGCTCCCATGAATGTCCCATCCTAACTCACTGGGCTACCCAGACCCTGCCTGACTGCAGACATAGTTGATTCTACAGCACCTGCCCCCAAATGCTGTCCCCTTCTCCCATCATTATATCATGTTGAACATTTAGGTTATTAACTAATAATAGTTCCCTCCCACCCAGCTTCAGATCCCAAATGAACAAGGAGGCCACTCACATAACTGCTCATGTATCGAGTGTCCTTGTTGTGTCTGAAGTGAGGGGTATCAACTGGAAGCCTATACCCAGTAGGCAGGTAGCGCAGGCCAGTTTTGTACAGATTCTGCCAGAATGAAGAATAGGTTAAATGACAGTTGGCATCAAAAACTGATCCCAGTTGAACAAATCACATATAGTTCATATTAGATTTTTAAAATCAGATACTCAATAGACTGATGCTCAATAAATTGATTTAAGGAAGAATTTAAGTAAGTTCTATTTGTTTGTTTGATACTGGGGATTGAACTCAGGGATACTCAACCACTGAGTCACATACCCAGCCCTATTTTGTATTTTATTTAGAGACAGGGTCTCATTGAATTGCTTAGTGCCTCACCATTGCTAAGGCTGGCTCTGAACTCACGATTCTCCTACCTCAGATTCCCGAGATACTGGGATTATAGGTGTGCACCATAATGCCTAGCAAGTAAGTTCTAAGAGCATGAAATGAATCACATTGCTCTGAACCCATTGTTTTGGAAAAAAGAATGCTGAGTGAAAGAAATAGCACATGGAAAGTAATTCTTTTTCTGCTTCCAAATACACACCCAGTTGACTGCAAGCAGAGCATTTAGCAAGAATTTGTGAAATGCAGAGAAGATAGGCAGCCAAAATCCCACCTTCAGGTGATATTCAAACCCTCACCAATCCCTGAGCCAGTCTTAATGATTAGGCACCTCTTTGTGTTGCCCTCCCCAACTTTCCTTCGCCCTGCTCCATAGCACAGTGCCTTGACACAGGCTGGGAAGTGGTAAGGATGCACATACTCATGCCAGGAGTCAGGGGACTTTCTAACTATGACCTTAAGTATTGTGGCTCTCAGGGAACTACAGGATTAAGAATATTGTTTAAAATTAAAAATTAAATTATTCTAATATTCAAGATGGGAAGCTGAAAATATAATTGAGACCAAAACACCTCCACAGAGTAATGCAGAATAAAGAGAATAAATATGCGAGTGGGGCCTAAGTTCTTTTTCTTCTAAATTCCAACAGTCATGTCTACATTTTTCTCTTACTGTTAGAAGTTTTTTTTTTTTTTTTTAATTTAATGCTTTGTCTTTGTTATTGCATTTTTAAGCTTTTGACATATTTTAGCAATATTTGAAAAAAAATTCAACAATATTTTAGAAATATTGCTATTATTTATTTGATTGCTTGATAGGAGGATTCTGTCAGCAAAGAGAAAGACAGGTGATGCTCTGTTTTTGTTTTGCCAACTCATTGAATGGAACAGTATTTATATTTTTGCAAGATCCAACCAAGAAGACGCTCACATTGTGGTCGCTTCCACGGGAGCCAATGGTCTGAATTCCTGGTGGTATGTTCAAGTTCTCACCACTCACCTCACTCTGGAGCTTGTACGCATGAAGTGCTCGGTCCAGATCCACAGTTTTTGTGGTTGGGGCCACTTTGCCTCTGACACTGTGCACGTAGTCATAGTGATAGACGGCCTGGGTGTAGACAGAAGCAGAGTGAGTTGATTCAGACCAAGGCAATCTTATTAGAAAGAAGCAAAGGAAATGGAAACCAAAGTCTCTCTTAAAAAAAAAAAAAATCAGTAGCCTGCTTCCCTTTCCCTAGAGAACTCTGACATGTTCTTGTTTCTTGTAGTAGGATCAGGGCCAGGTTGTGGACACTGGACTGAGAAGTGGAGACACCCCAGATATGAGAGGAGGAAACCTGGGCGTTTCATCACAAGAAGTTCCAAAATAATAGATCTCAACCTCTTAACTCACTGGGGATCGAATATTTATCTACAAGCCTGAGGATTTAATTATTAAGAAGCACTTTGTATTTGCTCTGTACATTTTCCCATTTTATGCATAAGGATGCTGAGGCTCAGGGGACTAAATGCTTTTCACCAGGTCAGATTGTGTGTGGTAGAGGCAGGACTCCACCCACACTTCCAGTTTAGAGCCTGCTGGCTTTTTACTCTGCCCCAGTTGGCCCTAATTATTAGAAGGCCTAGACACTGAGAAAGAAACAGTTGCTCATGACACATAGATACAAGAAGTGGCTTTGGAAGCTCTAAAACACAAAGTATTTCACAAACCAGCTCACTTACAACTCCACCCCAGCGAAGTACTTGACACTTCATGTGTTAGCAAACAAAGTCAGCATCTGAAGTACTGTCCAGGGACCAACTCTGGTTTCCCAGGTAGGAAAGGCTGGTGCTGCCCAGTCTTTGACCAAGTGGTGGCCTCTGTCTTTGTTACTGTCCACTGTAAGTTCCCCAGAAAGTGCTTACATCGCTTAGCTGTTTCCCACTTTTGACAGCCTGGACGTAGACTGGTGTATCAGTGACCAACTTGTAGTCATTCCTCGTTTTCAGCACATGAGCTTTGTATTTGATCTGCCAAGAGGAAAGAAACAGCCTGCATTAGACCATTTATTACACTAGAAACTGCTGGCTTTCACAGAGAGTTCTGTGGCTTTTAACTCATGAGATTCACATTCATCAACACTCATTCGACAGACAACAATGGATTTGAATGTTATAACCATCCGTGTAACTAATGCTTATAGTCCTCTGAGGCTTCTAGAGTCTTTAGAAGACTCGACGGCTGCTTTTCTAGGAAAGTTTAAGTTTTCTTACTGAACTCCTCATTGCAATATAAATTTGCCTGATAAATCTGCTCTTTTTAAGAAGATCCTGCCTATAGTCCATAAACTCCTAGCTGATGATATTTGCCTATAATGACAATTATATTCTTTTTTTAAAATTTTTTATTGTTGGACAATTATATTCTTATTACTGTATTCAAAAAAGTCCAAAAGTCAGAGAGAAGAGCCGGATATCCTTTCTCTACCAAAGGACAATGACACAGCTGGACCACGCTGTTTGACAGGAATGCCAGACACACTGCTGAGAAATGGCTGTTCTGTTCTAGCACCTTTCTCCAGCTCAGCCACCCTCAACATGATTTAATCCACAGTTGGTCTATGACAATGTCCCTACTTTACATACTATCTCCTCAACATCAGATCATATACAGATGGAAATATACCAAAAAAATGAAACAAGGAAACGTACATCATTGCGTAGATCATAAGCGTGTTTTGCATGGAGAATCTCTGGAGTGTCCCAGACGTAGCAACCAATTCCTTTCAGCCAGGTGAGATCATCCTTGTACACAATCTGGAGGGTTTCAGCCAATGCAGGGGATCAGGGAAAAAAAAAAATTGACCATACTATCAACACTAAGAAACAGGCAAACCTGGACCCAGATGACTTTAGGGAGTAAAACCCAAAAGATATTAGTTTTGCAGTGAGGGTAAGGATCCACAGAAACACCCACACAGAGAGCCCTGCCTCCAGGTACTGCTCCCCAACCCAGCCAGACCCATGGATACATAGGAAGCAAACACTTAGGTGAGCCTACATTTTTCATCGGTGTGGGTGAATTGGGTGAAACAGGGGCCCCAACTAGGAAGTGGGCTTACATCACTGATCTGATCTGTGACTTTCCTGACGTGACTGTTGACTTGCAAGTCGGGGTGGCAAATCCATTCATGGAGGTGCAGGCGGTAATCGATCTCACTGACTTTCTTCTGAGAATCCTTGGCAGTAACCATCTCCACCATGTCAGGTATGGTGTGGATTTTCATCTTGTTCTTTTCATAAACTGATCTGTACAGGCGCTGTGAAGTTAAAGTTACATGCTCATTATACAGGACAATTGTGACAAGCCATCATGGAATACATGCCTTGCTTCTGTACAAGAGAAGTCAGTGCAGTCAGCTCACAGCAAACCGTAGGGACAGGATGGGTGTAGTAATTTTTGGACACTTTCCACAAATTAATACTACAAAGAAATTTTTTTTTAAGCAACAAAGGCTGAGATAATGTTTAGCTTCTGTATATATTCATAGTCAGTGCCTCTTGCATGGTTCCGTGGAAAATGTTCTGATAGATAATACATAGTTATTTTTCTTGGCTTGAAGTAAGACCTTAGGAGTTACTTACATCAATGTTAAACTTGCCAACCCGGAGGCACCGCGCTGTGTTGGGATCATCTTCAACACTTTTTGGTAAAGTATAAAGAGCTTTGAATTTTTCATACTCTTCTCGGTACTTGATCTATAGAAAAAAAACCAGAAGGGGTGAAATTGTTAAAGAGAGTAATGGATTTATTTTGTTAAAAAAAAAAGAGACTTAATGGGAAGGACCTGGTCCCAAGATCTGGCTGACTTGGGGACACCATCTCCCTGAACTTATTTCCTTATCTTTATAGAGAGATATAGGAAACAACGCATACCACAGGGTCATTGTGACACTTTATCAGGCCATATCTGGAAGTACTCCTAAATTGCAGAACACTATAAAATTTTAGTTATCATGTTTGCTCTCATTTCTTGTGGTGCTTGGGATTGAACCCAGGGCCTCATGAGTGCTAGGCAAACACTCTTCCACTGAGCTATATTCCCAGCCCCTCATTGTTTTCAAAATATCTATATCAATGGAGGTTTTGCTGCCACTATAACCAACTCATTTTTAAGATTACATGATTTTTAGTATATTACTATATTTTTATTGTTTTGTAGTGCTGAGGATCAAATGCATGGCCTTAACCCCATGCTAGGCAAGTGTTCTACCACTGAGCTGTACCTCTAGCCCCAAATTATGTGATTTTTAAATAATCTCTTTTGTGATAATGGCTTTTTTTCTTACTATTGTAAATAAAAGATTTAAACTCTGCTCAGGAATTCCTGTCTATCTATCTATTTTGTAGTGCTAGGGACCACAGGGCCTTGAGCATGTTAGGCAAGCACTCTACCACTAAGCTACATCCCTCTCTTTGTTTTTAATAATTGAAAAACCCAATGCTAGGGGACACAACCAAATTTCAGTTTCTATAAGGTTTTCAAAAGCACAGTGCTTGGGCTGGGGATGTGGCTCAAGCAGTAGCGTGCTCATCTGGCATGCACGGGGCGCTAAGTTCGATCTTCAGCACCACATAAAAATAAAATAAAGATGTTGTGTCCACCGAAAACTAAAAATAAATAAATAAATAAATAAATAAATATTAAAAAATTCTCTCTCTCTCTTTTTTTTTTTTAAATAAAAAACCACAGTGCAAACAGCTTAGGGAAAACTTTCAGCTCTTATGCTGTGTTACCTATGAATTAATGTTCCATGATCATGTGAATTAGGTATTAGAGCAGAGATAAAGATCCAAACTCCTAAAACATGATAATAAAATAAAAACTCTCATAGAACCCAGAGACCCAATTCTCAGTGGAAAAAGGGAGTTGAGAATTTGTTTCAGAATTCCAACTAACCCCTTCATTGACTGGAGACCAACCAAAATGTCCATCAGAATTTTCCAGAACATTCCAGTTCCTTCTAAAGTATTACTCAGCTATAAAGAGGATAGATAGTATTCAAAAGAACTCTTTTTTTTCTTAAAACTTCTTTTTAATAAACTGAGGTTGGAATCCATTTTTAATTTCCCTGTGCCCACCATGTTCCAAAAACAATTGGCCAAGAATCCTACCTCTGTAACTGTTTTCATGACTAAAAGATAAAGCCCCCACTGGCCTTTGTAAATCCTATCTATAAAACTCCTCTATCCAAGTGAAAAGTCTGCCCCTCTGGCCTGGTCTGTTCTGTTTATTTGGTGATGGTGTGATACCCAGTTATCATAATCATATTTTTGCCCCCAAATGTACATTATTCAATTGACAAGAGCTTATTTTTTTTTGGGGGGGGGATGGTTACCAGGAATTGAACTCAAGGGCACTCAACCACTGAACCATATCCCCAGCCCTATTTTATATATTTGCTGTGGAAGTGCCTGGATACAGGGTCTCACTGAGTTGCATAGTTTTTGCTGAGGCTGGCTTTGAACTCTCCATCCTCCTGTTTCAGCCTCCCAAGCCCCTGGGATTATAGGGATGTGCCACCAAGCTCCGCTAAGAGCCTATTTTATATGGCCTATTATATCTTCTTCTCTCCTCACTTCTGGCTAAAACAGAGACTTTCCATCCATGTCCTCTGCAGACAAGCAGCCTAAAAGGTCACTTCTGCATTCTTGCTGGTGTTTGTGATCCTCCCTGGACCACAAGGCCCTGAGAGGAGGTGGTGAGTGCAGACTCTGGAATATTTGCTGTGGAGGTGCCTGGAATACTTCTGGGCAACCTCTGAACCGGTTTGAAGGATTCTCTACGTGGGGAGCAGGAGCGGGCGGGTGTGTGTGGCTGTCATGTTTGTATTCAACTTACACGGCTGGCCAGGTGCTTCTGGTTCTTGGCGTGTGTCAGGGACAAGGTGCTGGTTGGCAGGATGTAGCTGGTGGCTTTCACTTTATCCCAGGCTTCCTTGTACAGGTTCTGGAGGGGTTACAAATCTTGTGACTATGGGACAGTGCATTCTGGTCAGCTCCTCAAGAGCAGATTTTCCTCATTTCTGGCCTTCTCAGAAATTCCTTGCCAACCCCGAGGACTTCTCTCCAAACTGAGGTTTATTTAATTATACAGATAAGAATTTTATGAGACAAAGTGGGAATTTGAAGGTCCAGAAAAAAACCCTTTGGGGGGATAGGATACTTATCCCCACTTATTATCTTATTATTTTTGAAAGGGAAAGGATGGCTCATATATAAGAGGAAAGAATCCCAACTCACACTGCTGTAAAGACTCTTCAGGTTCTTGGTTCTGTCATAATCCACTGTTTCTAGAACTGTGGTGTATTTGTCCTTAATTTGATGATAATTTTCTTTATATTTCACCTGCAAAGAAAGAATTGCTTATTCACTTCTATTGTTGGGAAAATGTGTAAAGACAAGAAATACCTTGTCCCTGGAAAAAGAAGAAGAAAGACGTACCTCGCTGGCATTGATGCCACTTTGGAGAGCAGTCACGTAAAGTGGAGTATCTGTGACCAGGTTATAGTTTTGTAGATTTTGTTTACCTGCTGCTGTGTATTGGAGCTGTAAAGAAAAACAGAAGTCACCCATAATGATAAGACACCCAACTGTCATCACCTTTAGTTGTCTGTGCCAACTTAGATGTGACTTGACTTAGTTTTGGGTTTCTGCTTTAATCCTAAAAAACAGGCTTTTGCACTATAGTTCTTCAACCCTTGTATGGCAACCCAAAAGAAAAAAAAATCTCCTTTTACCAAGAGTGAGGTCTAGATCTTTACCAAGGACTCTTCTTCACTTTGTGGCCTTCTGTATGCCCATTCTCCACCCTGATAGCAGCCACACAATGTCAACCATCTATTGCACCTGCCCTATCAGAGCTCAACCATATGCTAGAAAATGTTCCAGAATTTATTTTTTCCTTTAACATATACCCTGTGGTCAAAGTATGCTTTTGCTTCCCACTTTCCAAAAGTTAACCTGGTCAAGGTACAGATGCTTCAGAATAGCTCAAGACGTTGAACGTCTCAGATAACTTTCTGTTGTAAATTTGCATAGATTTTAACCCTAGGAGAAACCTACACCAAAAAGATCCAGCACCAAGCACAACACCAGAGACATTTAGTTAGGAGCAGGGGAAGGGAGGCTTGATTCCCTTAGATCATACACTATTCCAGAAGCTTCTCCAACAGAGCATAGACATAGCCTGGTCAGTAGCCCACTGATACCACCATGGATTCCAATGGCCTGTGGACAGCCAGTGCTTCTAGGAAGATTAGCTTACCTGACTTTGGAGGTCGTATGATTTCTTGGCATGGAGGATCTGAGGTGTATCCCAAACATAGCAACCAATGCCTTTTAGCCAATTCAAGTCATCTTTATATACATTCTGCAAGAAAGAACAATGAAATGTGACAGGTGTTCTGAATTTACAATTGAGCATACTGATAATTTTCTATTGGCCCTTGGCTATGCTTACATGGAGACTGGGTAGGCCTCTTGCCAGCTGGAAGGTTTTTAATGTCCTGGTCTACAAAACCCAGGGGCAGCAGCACCTAAGCCTTAGTCTAGTCTTGAACAGATTAACTATTTAACCTAGGTGTCCTAAGGCTCAAAGGGATTCTCACACTAAGAGGTGGTATTATTCATGCCACTCAGTTTAAAGTTGCTGGGTCGATAAGCACAGGGGTAATTGTGCTAACAAAGGATGAGGTGAAGCCTTTAACTAAGTAAAGATACAGAGAGGACATCATACATCACTTAAGATCTCCTGGGCGTTTCGGGCACGAATAACATTGGGTTCTTCCGGAAGAGACGTCCACTGGTGGAAGTAGTGTCGATACTCCAGGTCACTCAGGATGTACTGACACCTTTTAGCCAGCACATGATTCATCATGTCATTGGGAATATGAACATTGGCTTTTGTGTCCTCATAATCTCTTCTGTAATTCAACTAAAGAATAATATTTTTAAAGACAAAAATTAGAAAATAAAATGAAAACTTAAATGATTCAGATCAAATCTCTGTAGAGTCTTATTTCCAATATGGATCAGTACCTCTAGAGTCAATTAATGTTTAAAAGGTGATCTTTTATTATTTTCTTCTCCTTTTTAAGTTTCCTATCCTTCTACAGTGCAAGGTCAATAAAGACCCTGTTGCTTTTTCTTTTTCCCCATGCAGAGCCCTCCACGTGTGTTTTGTAGTGGAGGAGGGAAGGGAAGGGAGGAAGATCATAGTCCTCAGGAAGAGATGGGAAGTCCCAAGATAGATCCCACTACTCCACCCCCAGTTCATCCTGAGTCACAGGGCGGCTATAAACAGGCAGACACAGGGCTTACCGCACTCCTCATTTGCTGGAAATCCAGACAGTGAACCACGCCAGGGAACTCACTGATGTGTTTTCCAGCCAGGTAGTGACCTTTCTGCTTCTCATACGTCTCTTTGTATTTCAGCTGTGAAGCAGGTTCAATGTTGAGAATCAGCAGAGTTTTCTAACCAGTCCCTTTTGTCCCCTCAACAAAGATCCCCAAACCTAATTAAAGGCAAAGGTCATACTGACCTCACTGTTCACCAGGTCAGCATGCTTGGCTCCAACAATGGGAATATAGCGCTCATCCAGGGTATAGCCATATGCCTTGGTTCCCTCCCATGCCCCCTTATATAGAATCTAGAACAAAGAAATATGTGTCAATAAAATCTTGCATTTAACTACTTTCAGATTCCACTAAAACAATTGGTAAACTTAAGGTAAAACATTAATGTTCAAAGCAAGGCTTAAATTTTTATTTTTAGTCATTAGTGTGCCTACCTAGAACACAGCAATCGTTTGATTTATTGAAGATTAGATCTATAGCTTCTGAAGCAGTTTATAACAGAGTTGATTATATTTAAAGTTCCATATAAAGTGATGAGAAATTGCCAAAGAACAAATCACCAAAGACTGTTTCCTACCGGGGCGCATGTACGTATACACACACACACACACACAGGTGCACACACCTCCTCCTTTAAATTAGTTGAACTGAATTTTGGAGTGCAAGTCCTCTGTTTGTTAGCTGGAAATACTTCTGCATGACTGCTGTAGAAAGACAAGCCTTTCCTGCTTTTTCTCTTGGTAGTTGCTCTGTCCTATGTGCTCCTGGAGCCCTTATAGCACTTGTCACATTATTATCAATCTAGTTATGTCTGTTCCTCTCCCTTGTGTGAGCTCATGAAGGGCTCATCTCATTGAGCTCATCACAGAAGCTCAGAAACTACCAGCCAAATACATGCTCTTTGCTTTGAATATTATGCTACTCCTAACAGAAAAGATGAAATGCAATGAAAACAGTAGGTCACCCTACCATTTCAGCTCTTCAAAAAATCAGCTAAGAATATAAATACTGACAAGAACCTATAAATTAGGAACTGAGTAGTTATAACATAAAGTAGGACTTACGGTACTGTAGAGCTTTCCCATGTCTTTGGAGTGGGAGATATACGGTGTATCTGGAGAAAATATATACTTGCCCTTGGCTTTATTAAATGTTTCTTTATATTTTATCTAAGAAGAGAAAATAAAACCTTTTGATTACTATACATGTATATTTAAATTTTTATAGGATCTATCTAGCAACATAATAATCAATCTACATTTAGACATTAAACCTAACTGGTTGAATTTTAGTCCATTTTAACTAATGTAAGAGTATTTTGGATGAGAATATATAGAGATATCTAAAAGTGGTCGGTACAGTATACTACCCACTTGTGAAGTTTCAGACATCTCCCTAAAGATTATCTTATAATTTACCCCTCTTCCAATTTTTTACAAGCAACTATCTAGAGTTAAACCAAATCCACTCAACGATAGACAATCACCTCCTCTGACTATGAATTTCAGTACATTCAGAGCAAACTTACATCACTTTGATTGACTGAATTAATCTTGGCCAAAACAATCTCTGGAGGATCCACCACACTTGTGAAGTTGGGATAGTTGTTAAGAGCATCTTTCTTATATTTTATCTGCAAAGCAATAGATATAATGAAAACAGATCTACGGCCACAGGGCACCTACCCCTACAAGACTGGTAAGGAGCACAGGTATCAGGTTCAAAAGGGAATGAGCTTTGCATACCTGATTCACCATTTCTTGGTTCCTTGTCACTCTCACATGTTCCACAGAATCCAAGGGGATCCAGCCAATGCCGCGGAGCCACTCTAGGTCAGCTTTGTAGACATTCTGAGAGTAGGAAGAGAGATGATGGAAGGACACATGACTCACACAGGAGTACAGACAGAAGATTCTAAACAGGTTTTGCTTTCTTTCTTTCTTTTTGTTTTAGAAAGATTTCTCTCTCATGGCTTTTATCTCCTTCATTAATATTGGTTTCAATGGAGCAACATTTCTTAAGTCTGTGACTGTGCATGAAGCACTATGCACGGTGCTTTAAGATATAAGGTTAAGTGCTTGAAAGCAAGCCCACATGAGTGCTCTTCTAGGTGCAGGGGGCAATATTTTCAGCGGTGGCCATGAAAAAAAAGGTTTACCAGGAAGGAGGCACTCTCAGATTGACTTGGTACATTTAGTTATGCAAAGGTATATAGGGTATTGAGACTAAATGAAGGAAACTACACAAGTAAATGCTAATGTTTTTGTAGGGAAGGAGTAGGCATCTCTCCCAGTCTCATCAAGCTTATCTCTGTCTCTTCAACCACCACCACCTCTCCCCACTCCCAGCTCCTGGATCCTCCTAGACCACCCCATGCCAGATGAGGAGGTGCTGCTACTCTGATTAAAGTTTCACCATAGTCATTCTGGGGCAGTAGCCAGTGAGGAGGGATGTTCAAGTTCAGCATCTATGCTTCAGGCAGGTTTGACTTCCTGTCTATGTTCTGGTAATGATAAGACTCAGGTAGGATTAGTGACTCTGTGTACCAGAGCAAGTAAACTTTATGTATCAGCTTCTGCTCCTCAGCCACCTATGCCTGGGGGCAGGGAGCCATCTTAATTCAGGCTTTGGTGCAAGGTGGACTGCCAGATTCTCTGCTCCAAGCTTTCCCAAAGCTCTCTGTGAGGAATGCTGGGTGCAGCTTAAACAATAATTCGTCTCTTTTACTTTGACTCCTTACAAGGAACTCTTCATAAAGGCCTCAAGGAACTTGGCAAAGCAGGAATGAGGCATCCCTAGGTCCTTGTCTGTATGATCACCTACTATTGTCAAAACCTCAACTCAATCTCCTTTCTCACCCAGGCCAATTACTATTTTAAATTAATGATAATTCTCCATGAGAATATAAATACGGAGTTGAGTGATGGCAGACAGGGTAGAAGAGCAGATTTTTAAAATAATAGAAAGCTATTCAGAAATGTAGTCAACAGGCAAAGCTATCAATCAGCTACTGCTCCTGATCTTTCTCTACTTCATATCTAGCCTCAATTCCTTTCTGGGAACAAATGAAATATTTATGATTTAAAGCTTTAAAGACAGGTGGTTGTGAAATGCTGCTTATCATTCTCAGAGTGTACTATACATTTCTAGATAAAGAAGAAACAAAAATCACTTACATCACTCTGTAGGTCATAGGCCTTCCTTGCCTGAATAACATCATTTTGGTCAGGATGACATATCCATTGGTGCAGGTAATTACGGTAATCAATATCACTGACAAGGTTCTGCCCCTGCTTGGCGGCCAAGACTGACACCATGTCAGCAGGTATATTGATTTTGGCTTTTGTTTTGTGATAGTCCTCTTTGTAGAGTCTGTCATTCTGAATCTGGCCTGCATGCTCAAACCAAACCAGTTTAGGATCATCTCTCATGGTTGGAACACCAACATAGTGACCTCTTTGCTTTATGTGTTCAGCTTTGTATTTCAGCTGTTGGGAAGAAGAATAGAGATCCTGTCAGTGCTGATAAGTACACAAGGCAGAGGGAGCCTGACGATCTTCTAAGGAACATTTGCACATTCAGCCTCCCATTTGACACTCCTTCCCCAAGAACAGATAACCAAAAGCACTGAAATAAATAAATATGAAGAAATTGCTATTTTTTAAAATATTTTTTTTTAGTTGTAGATGGACACAATATCTTTATTTATTTATTTTTATGTGGTGTTGAGGATCAAACCCAGGGCCTCATACATGCAAGGTAGGCGCTCTACCACTGAGCTATGGCCCCAGCCCAAAATTGCTATTTTAAAATAGAAAAAAAAATTCCTATATGCATTCTTTAATTCTGAAAATATATATCTGGAATCCTAGAGATTTTAGAGAGGGAAGAGATTATAGGGAAAATTAAAACTTAAACAATAGTTGTTGAAAAAGCAAAACAAAAAAAAAAAAGATGGGGGGTGGGAAGAAGCAGACCAAACCCCATGGGAAAACATCCAAAGAGGAGCACAAACTGCAGCTCTCAGCAAGCCCACCCAGGTCTGTCAAGCTGAAATGAACATCCCTTAAGGGTGATGCCCAGCACAGTACACTTAGAACAGGATAATTCATTACCTCACTCTGAACGTCACTGGAGTGTTGGGCGTGAACAAATGGCACCGCATCTGGAGGCAAAATGTAACCTGTGGCTTTCTGTTTCTCCCAGCCTTCCTTGTAGAGGTACTAAAAGACAGAGCCACAATAGCAGTTAAGTGAGGTGTCAGAAGAGAGAGGTGAGCCATGTGCATAAACCCCCAATGGTTTCTTTAGGGTTCTGCATCCCCACTGAAGTATCAGGCATCAGAGTAAATCCATACCTGGTCAAGGATCCGAGCAGCCTCCTGAGCAGTGTGCAGCAGTGGGGTTTCTGTGAGGGTGTACTTTGATTTGATGGCATTCCAGTCTTTCCGGTATTTAATCTAAAAATGAAAGGCAAAGGGGCAAGTTACTTGATATTAAGAAAACATTCTTCTGGTGCATGCCTGTAATCCCAGTGGCTCACGAGGCTGAGATAGGAAGATCTCGAGTTCAAAGCCAGCCTCAGCAACAATGAGGTGCTAAGCAATTCAGTGAGACCCTGTCTCTAAAACACAAAATAGGGCTGGGGATGTGGCTCAGTGGTCAAGTGCCCCAGAGTTTAATCCTCAGTTACCCTCCCCGTCCCGCCCCCCCCAAAAAAACTATAATGTCCAAGTAATTGCTAGCAACGATCATTGTGTTACTTAAAATATATTTCTCAGGCAGTTCTTGCACACTGAATGCAAGGAGGCAGAAAAGCTCTGGAAATGATATCTGCAAGGCTGTGTGATTTTATGGGGGATGAGAACAGGAAAGACAGTAGAATGAATAGGACATAGCTTTCCTATGTTCACATGTGAATATACCACCAGTGAAATTCCACATCATGTACAACCACAAGAATGGGATCCTAATAGGAATAAGTTATACTCCATGTATGTATGATATGTCAAAATACACTCTACTGTTGTGTATAACTAAAAATAACAAAAACAACAACAAAAGAACAGCCATATACTTACATCATCGAGGATCTCACCACTTTGTTTCGCTGTCACATAATCAACTCTGTCATCCACAGGAGTAAAGTTGAGAGTTTCTATTTTTGTGCGATATTTTTTCTATGGGAGAAAAAAAATATTAGTCATAGTCCCTGATCTTGGTGAACTGAGATTATCTAAATTTAAGGGCCCTCCTCTATTGAGGCACAGAGTACCATATATGAATAGCATCTTCATGGCAATTTAGTTTTCTTTTTGCCATTTTATTTTTAAATAAATGAGTTGGCTTCTTATTCTTCTTACAGATTATAAAGTAACAAGTCTGCTTATCTCCAAAAGTCACATAATTATGTGTATCATAACAATCTATTTTTTTTCAAGTGGTCAAACTGCTCCCAAAATGTTTCTATTGCTGACCAAAGAATTTTTCCTTTTATACAATTCCAAGCATCAGTGAGTGTGCTGGATATTATATTAGGAATATGGTCCCATAATGTGATAGAAATACTACAGGATTATTTTGGGAAAATATGTCTAGCTTAAGTTATAGCACTTAAAAATGGTTAAAATTGCTGATATGCAATGACTATATTTTGGCTTATGTACTTTTGTTCATTCTCTTGGAAAATGTATTGAATGGCAACATTGTAAAGTACCTCGCTGAAGATATCTGCTGCATGTTTGGCGTGATTGACAGAAACAGAATCATTTGGCATCCAACCAATTCCACGTAACCATTCCAAGTCAGCCTTGTAAATAGCCTGTGAAAACAGGGCCAGAATAAATTCAACACCCCTGGTCCTGTTTAGCCTATCCACAAGACTGATGAAGAAATACAATTTAGACACTCTATAAGGCAAGGATGACATACTCAAGCAGCCAGGGAGGTAAATAAGAAAATTAATTAGGTCAGGTAGTGTGACAAACTCGAGGATATTTTTTTCTACTCAACATGAGTCAACTTCAATTCAGTTCCAGGTATTGTTGCCAAAGGCTAATGCATATCTAGAGCTACAGCTTCTGAATCTTCAGGAGAAATGGTGAATTCTAGATTTCTTAAAAACTTCCTGTTTTAAAAAACCTCAGCAACTTAATTCAAAAATTTTCAACAACGGTGTCAACTGAAAAAAGACATCTGTGCCCAGATACTGTCTATAGGCTACCAATATTTTCCTTGATATAAACCTTAACTTCTACTTAAATTCTACAAAAATAATATATTTTTTTTCACAGCAACTTTCTTTAACCTGATGCATTCACAGGTCATTCACACTACTATTTATTTCATGATACAAAGTCTAGATCCCTTCTGGTCTTGGTGATTTTGATACCACTTTATAAAGGTCAAACTGATATAAAATTCTTGGCTGTATAAAGATATGAAATGACAATAAAAAGATTTAATATCACAAACTTTCTGGGAATCAAGGCAAAATGATAGAAGAGCTCATGGTACATTTTTCACTCACATCGCTTTGTAGTTCATAGGCTTTCTTGGCCTGAATCACATCGTTCTGGTCAGGCAGGCATGTCCACTGGTGCAGGTAATTGCGATAATCAATGTCGCTGACCAGAGTCTGGCATTTCTTAGAATGCAAGATGGAGAGCATGTCTGCAGGGCTTTGGAACTTAGTCTTCCATTTGGCCCAATGCAGCCGGTACTCTCTTTCATTCTGAAGCTTGCCAGCGATGAGGGCCCACCGGATCTTGTTGTCATCCCTGGCTGTGAGGGTGCCCACGTAGTGTCCCTTCTGCTTCTCGTGGTCGAGCTTATATTTATACTGGGGATGGAAAACACAAAGCAGATGGATCACAGCATTCTCTTCCCATGTCCCTGGGGTACCTGCCTAAAAAACTGAGAAGGTAAAAAAGGCCACACTCACGTCACTGGCAATCTCCCTGGAGGCCTTGGCAGCCTGGATAGGGATGGCATCCAGCCGCACATCACAGCTCATCTTCATTTCATCCCAACCCTCACGGTAAATTTTCTAAAGAGGAGAAAAAGTAAGGTATCATTCCAGATTCAAATTTAAAATAACTCCCAGGGCTTAAGTAGAATTAATATTATAGGGGTGCAGATTTGAAGCTCCAGGACCGAAGAACAGTTAAATGATAAGAGATAATAGGTGACAAAAATCATTCTCTGCACCATTGTATTGGGCCATAAAATGATTTGGAGCTCAAATACCTGGGCCTGACAAGATGTCTTTCTTCTTCATTTAATTACATCCTTGATGTAGTTGTTCAAGGTTATAATTGTATGCATAATGTGATTACTTTTTTTTTTTTAACTTATTTTTTCCTTGTTAATGGATTGACAGCATCGGGATAAGTTCAAACATTAAAGGGCTTTTATTGTTATTGTTGAATGTCTTTGATTCAATTCAGTTTTGCAAGGTTAAGAATTAGCCTTTTCACATTTGTGAGTTTTTCTTGGCTCTTTTTGTATGATTAATAGTGCATGTTACTCAGGAATGTTAGATCTGCTAAAGTACAGTTGGATGTGACAGCTATTTGTTTTGCGTTTTAAAAGAATTTAACTAAAGTAGTGACTGATCTACAGATGTTTTAAAAGATGTATTTAAATATATATTCATATTTTAATAGATACATTCTGTATTGACAATGGCGGAAAGACTCAGAAATAACAGTAATTTAAATGTATAATTCAGAAATCAAACTAATCAGTATGGGGCTTCTATTGTGCAGAAAGAGGTGAATTTCAATCATTACAATTTCATAGTATTTGGTTTCTGAAAAGTGAATGCTCAGATTAATTTAATAGTTGTAAGCATGGTCGAGTTTTATATGAATTTTCATTTAAGTTTTTGTTTGAATTTTGGGTGGGCCTATTTTACCAATTGATTTGTTTTATGTACAAAAGAAAAAGTTATTCTCTAAATTTAAATATATATACAAGAGGATATTTAATGTAAAAATGTCATGTTACCTTTTTAATTTTATTTATTATTTTTTAAAATTAATATTTGAAAGGTTAATTTCTTTAAGCAAAGGACAGAGGAAACTTTATTAGATTTTCTCTTTCCTGAAGAATAACAGCATGAGATATTTCAGACCTCACCAAAGTATTTTTTTTTTAAATATGTCTTTAGTTGTTGATGGACTTTTATTTTATTCATTTATTTATATTCAGTGCTGAGAATCGAACCCAGTACCTCACACATGCCAGGCAAGTGTGAGTCACAACCTCTGTCCATTAATTTGATTTTTTTTTTTGCTTTTATCTTATTTTATTACACAGATACTATTTTTTTCCGTATATAATAAATTTTGTTTATGAGGTCAAATAAAAATAATCTGGGCTGGAGAACTAATTTCTTTTTCTACTAACTTCGAGACTTTGAGAACATAGGCAAATTCCTTTTGTATCTCAACTTTCTCATCTAATAAAAGCAAAACAAACCATACCTTACTAACATAGGTAGTATGAAAATTATGAATCAATTTAATATGAATATATTTGGTCACCCATAAAATAATATAAAAATATTCTGTGAAAGTTGTGCTTTCTAAACAATGGAAGCAGTTTTGAATAGCAAATTATGTCAAGATTATAATAACAGCAATACCATGTGTAAAAAAATATACATTTTCATATGCATTCAAATGGGATGTTTGGTTTCCTCTAAAATGTAAGCTATTCTCATTAAAATCTAAAGTTAATGGCTTGATTTTTGGCATAGTTCTGAATACTACGCTAGTCTTGTTCATATCATGATAGCAATGGTAAGGTTCTGGTATTTTCAGCTGAGAAATTTATCATAGGAAAGTAGCAAATGAGACTTTCCAGAACTCTCCTGTCAAAGATGCCTATGGACCTAATTGAAGAACAGTCTATGCTGTAATGAATGAAGAACTGACTGCCTCTCGATTCAATCACTTGACAAGAATTATACTGCACTATGATGTTGATTCTGGCCTCACCTCCCCAAAGCACATCCATGCCCTAAAATTGTATTGCCTTCCAAACACTGGAAAATAATTAGTACCCAAGTAGCTCATTATAGTAGAATTAATGGAGAAGTTGGATACATGGAGAGGAATTTTTACTTGGCAGGCTTCTTTCCTCAGAAAGATTAATTATTCTTCTGAAAGGATGTCATGTTCCAAACTGCTACGTTAAAGTAGTATCCCTTTTTTAAGGTCATACTTATTCCATGCACAAGCAATTTGTGATCCATGAAGATGGTACCTCTCTTGAACCTCCCTGAATTATATAAGAACCATGTAATTGAATTCTACATATTAACACAATTTTTCCCCTGCTGATGCTCTTGTTTTTTTCCAGACCCAAAATGATTTATCCTGAAAATAATGACTTTATTTTTTTATTTCCAATATTTACCTCTTATTGTTACTCTAATTTTAGTGAGAAACTTACTCAGCCAGTTAAATGTTAAATAAATGACATTAGGGGGCATCCTGTTTTGTATTTTTTATTTTTTGGAGGGTGCCCTCCAAAAAATTGAACTCAGGGGATTGAACTCAGGGGCACTCAACCACCGACCACTGAGCCACATACTCAGTCTTATTTTGTATTTTATTTAGAGACAGGGTCTCTCTGAGTTGCTTAGCACCTCGCTTTTGCTGAGCCTGGCTTTGAATTTGCCATCCTCCTGCCTCAGCCTCCGGGGTTGCTGAGATTACAGGTGTGGCATCCTGGGTTTTATCCTGGCTTGAATAAGAAACAGGAGCTTACTTTCAATGGTAGAGATCTTGCCTAGCCTGCACAAGGCCTTGAATTCAACCCCCAAAAGAAAAAAAAAGAAAAGCTTGCATAATGAAAATGAGTTGGCTTTTGATTTAAGATTTATTTTTTAATCGTCTCAAGAAAATATTCATTTATCTTTTTTGTTTAACTAAGATTTTACTAAAAAATAATGGATATTGGATTTTGCCACATGCCTTTTCAAATCTATTAAAACGAGCATATGGTTTTGCTTTTTGTGCTATTAAATGATTAGGTTTCTGAACATAGAGCTCTCTTGGCAATCCTGCATGAGCCTTGGTTGTTTGAATCATATCCTTTGTACTGCAGAATTTATTTTCCCATTATTAATGGTCTACAGTTTTCATTTTTGGAACTACCTTTGATAAGTTTTGGTGATTGTGATGGCTTTCCCTCTTTTATTAGTTTCCAGAGAATGACCTTAGCATTTGAGACAATGAAGGAATGTGTTTAATAACATTTAATTTTTTGCTGTTTTCTGTTTTTTTTCCCCCTAGGAGTTATTTGTCATTTCCTAAAGAAAATTCCCCCATAGACCCGGGTTTTAAAATTCATTTGTATAGTTTTCTAAAGAGTTCTCATAAATATTTCAAGTTGAATTGAATCTGTCATTAATTGTCCTTTCTTCTTCCCTTTTCTCTGTCCTTCACCTCACCCTTTTGACATGTTGACTTGGCTCTCCAGTCACTGCTGTTTTTCTCACTCTGGGCCAAGGGCTGATGTCAAGGAGCCGTCCCCCACCCTTCTCCAAACAAAACCTCGTCTGTTGTGGTACTTACATTGCTCACATTAAGAGCGTTTGCTCTAGCGAGATTGATTTCTGGCGTATCTGGCATGATGTGGATTGAAGTTTTATCTTTGTCCCAGACTTCTCTGTACTTTGGCTATGGAAAGAACCAATAACAAAAATCACTTCACAATCTGTAATTTTGCTAGTTTCAGTGTATAACTTTTAACTTTTCTTTTGAATCGGATCCAAAATCTTCTCATATTAAAGCCAAGTTTCTAGAATCTTTTCAATGAGTAATTCAAATTTGATGTGATAAAAGTCTATATTTATACCTTCAATCAATATATTTTTGTTTAAATTTAATAAGCAAAAAGAAAGCTGTCAACATCCTTTATTAACATTTTTATCATGTTATCTTGATCTTGGGAATTTATTATTTATTTATGGTTCCAATTTGATTTGGATAGATGGAAACAAAAGCGACTTACAATGCTAATATTTTCAGCATTTGCTTTAGCAAGGACCACTTCAGGGGTGTCAACAATGCTTGTATACTTGAGGTTCACCACGGGTGTTCGATAGACACTGTCACATAGGATTTCCTGGGCATTTTTGACTCTCAATACTTCTGGAGACCCTTCTGGCATCCAGCCGATGCCTCGCAGCCACTCCAAGTCAGCCTTGTAAATAGCCTGGGAAAGAAAGCAAAGTTAGGGCAGAGCAGAGTCTTTTGATTTCACTATTGTAATAAAATGAGGAAACAGATTTTTTATAATAAATAATAATTAAAGGCTAGGCACAGTGGTGTGTACTTGCAATCCCAGACACTTAGGGAACTGAGGCAGAGGATGTTCACAAGTTCAAAGCCAGCCCCAGCAACTTAGTGAGGCCCTATGCAAGTTAGCAAGATCCTGTCTCAAAATAAAGAAACAAAGAGGACTAGAGATGTGGCTCAGTGGTAAAGTACCCCTGGGTTCAATCCGTAGTGCCAAAAAAAAAAAAGAAAAAGAAAAAAAGAAAAAGAATTGTCAAATAACAAAATGATTTAAAATAGATCATGGGATGGGTGCAGTGGCACACACCTGTAATCCTGATGAGGCTCAGGCAGGAGAATTGTAAGTTCCAGGCCAGCCTGGACAACTTAGTGAGACCCTGTTTCTAAATAAAATAAAAAGGGTTGGGAATATAGTTCAATGGTAGAGCACTTGCCTAGAAAGTATGAGGCCCTGGGCTTGATCCCCAGTAGTACCCCACCCCCCCCAAAATTATATAGAAACCTAGAGCACTGCCTGACTGATGTAATTCCTCACACACAGCATTGTTTTGTTTTCTGTGCTTATGTATTAGGGTACCTATGCACATTCTGAAAGTTGAAATGACATGGAAGTAGCTCTCCATTTGGGGGTACACATGGTCAATTTTTGACAAATATTTAAGCAATCATTATACCAGCCATTGTGGACTTTTAAAGCAATAATAATGGGCTCTCTGGTAAGTTCTCTACATGACAGTCAGTATGATCTTTTCAAAATTCCTAATATGAATCTGATGTTACAACATTCTGCTTATCTTATAGCTTCCCAGTGTTTAAGGATGAAGATCAAAATCCTTAACATGGACTAGGAGGAGACGGGTGGTCTGACACAGTCCCTACATACAGTCTCAGGTGTCCCTTCACCCTGTGCTTCTGACCACACTGCGATTGTAGTTTGTACCAAGCCTATTGGCATGAATTAATCATCCCATGGGTGTCTACCTTCATCTGCTCCCACCCCACAATAAGCATTTTCTCCAAAGAGCCTTCCCCGACCTCTTTTTTCTTAGGATCATAGAACCCACTCAGCCATTCACCCCGTTGTTCATTCACTGATATTCTCTAATTAACATCTAGTTCTTTGTTATCAATGTGAACTCCTTAATCTCAGGAGCTAGGTCTTACTTTTTCCTTCCCCTATATTCACCACTGTATACTGTGCTAACACAATGTCTGATATTTTTAAAGGGATAATTAAGAATTCATAGCTGGATTTGGTAGCACCTGGCTCTAGTCATAGCTAGTGGGGAGGCTGGACGATAGCTTGATCCCAGGAGTTAGAAGACAGCCTGGGCTATATAGCGAGATGCTCTCTCAGAAAAAAGAATTCAATCAACCATCTCCATAACTGGTTCACAATTGAGCCTTTTTAAAATCTAAGATAGCATTTTACTTTTAATTGGAATTTGCAAATTCTTGGTTATCTACACCTGCTTCCCCACATATAGGTAAAATGTTAAGCAGATATAAATTTTTTATGTTAAACACCAGTTATTAAATTTATTAAAAGCCAGTATGTTGCTTAGAAGTGGTATTATAATAGTTAGTTACGGGATACAAATATCAAGCAAAAATGGTAGGAAAGGGAATGAAAAAATATTAGACCATCTCTATCTCTTAAGGAAGAATGACATTATATGTTTTCGAGTTTATGAATCTCCAAAATTCAGAAGGAATTCTCAAAGAAGATAACATACAAATTCCCCTCTCTGATTTCGTGTAAGAATTTGATTGATATGCATGCCTCATTTACCAGTGTGGTTCATGCTAATGAAGAGACTGCAGTTCTTTAAAAACTGGCCTACCTCTACCACTAGGCAATTCAAGAGATGCGCCTACTTGCCTGCAATAAACTCATTTATTATTAAAAAAATAAATCTCCTGAAGCATGAGGAAACCAAGTTCAGATAATTAAAAGAAGGTGTCCATTCTTCACAAGAAATAAATAACCTTATAAAGTCCATTATTTCTACAAGATTGAATGGGCATAACATATGAAAATGGCTAAATCTAAAAATGGCTTGGTAAATTAATGAAACACCACATTGTGAAGAACATCCAGTTAAGGGAAACAAGTGAATTCAGAGCATGACACTAACCTTTGAAATTAATTTCTGTCCTCCTTTAATACATAGTTGAAGGACCAAGTATTTTTTTTTTAGATTTAATAACCTATAAACCTATACACCTTAAAAACTGAATAGAAAGATTCTGGTAGCAACTTTAATGAAAATGAAAACTTTCTAAATTAATTTAGCAGTAAAGTAGGTAATCAATAAATTTGGTAAAATACTAAAGGGAAGTGCTTAGGTTGGGAGAGATGTTTTCCATAGCATTGGAAGGAGTCGCTGTGCCAAGCCATAGAAGCCTTTCTTCATGAGGGACACACTTACATCACTCTGCAGGTCATAAGCTTTCCTGGCTTGGATCACATCATTCTGATCAGGAAAGCAAGACCACTGGTGCAGGTACTGACGATAGTCCACATTACTTGCTAATGCCTGGCCCTCTTTGGCAGCATTGATGGACACCATGTCCGGTGGGATGGTGATTTTGGCCTTGTGGTCATTGTAGGTTTTCTTGTACAGTCTGTCATTCTGCATCTTCAGCACCTTTGCTGCCCAAACAAGTTTTGGATCTTCCTTGGCATTGCGACATCCAATGTAATGGCCTTTCTGCTTCTCATAAGCAGTCTTGTACAGATACTGGTAAATGAGAACAGAGGAAGGGGTTTTTCAAAATTCGCTTTTCTCTAGATAGTTATTCAATATAATTCCACCTTGCTTAGATTACCTTTTGGACACTGTTCTTTCTTTAAATTCATGCTTTAAGTTTTATACTTTTTGTTACATTGGCTGTCTTCTATATGTACATAATTGAAAATATTGTGAATACCCCTAAGTCAAGAACTGTGCATCTGATCATCTCCTAATAGAGTCTCATTCAGCATTTTCCAAATGTTAGTCACTGTTTACTATCCTTAGATGTTTTGCCACAAACAAATACAACCTGCACTTCATATTCCTTTAAGTCAAAATGATCCTTTGTTTAAATAGATGTAATCCTTAAGTTATAAACTTGTTTTCAAAATTTTATTTAAAATTTAAAACCCAATCTAAATGGAGAATAATCAATATTTTTCTAGCACATATTAAAACAGACATGTAATTATTTAAAATATAGTGCCACATAAAATTATCTCAGGAACCATCAGTAGTAAGCATGGCACACTTTGTGTACCAACAGAATTCTCTGTACCCATGATATTTCCAATTCCTATAAACTGACTTGATACTGAGATTTCTGGGGAAAAATAAACTGTGTTTAAATATAAGAATTGCAGAACCAAGCACAGACGAAGGGATTTCTCAAATTGCTGTATGAGTTGTACTGGAATTTGAGATTTTTAAAATAATATACTAATAATATGTTACTAATATATTAATGATATGATATAAATATACTAATAATAACTTATATTCTATCTAAATATAATTCCTGGGAAATTTAACTCCCTAGGTGTTTACTAGTTAGTATTTGTTAAGGCTTGGCAAGGAAGAGCTCTTACATCACTGGCGATATCTCTGGAAGCCTTGGCGTGCTGGATTCCAATGGCGTCTGCTCTTATGTCATAGCCGGTCATCTTGACATCTTCCCAAGCTTGCTGATACTGTTTCTGTGAATTGAGAGTGCAATGTCGCAATCAGTCTGAAGGGGGAGCTACTGAGTCACCACTACTTGTGTTCAAGAATAGCTATGAACAGGCAGCCCATTAATCTCTCCTTAAGATTCACAAGATAAAACTTGAGTTTGAGTAGATTTTTAATGATATTTAGAAAAGAAATCTCAATATTTGTTTAAAAGACATAAATTTAGAAGACAGCAAATCTAGCTTTTAAAAGGAAAAAGCAATGATGAGCCACTCAAAACCAAAACTAAATATTACTACCCATGCATCTTTAAGTTTTTTTCCAACAAAAATAGCAATGCACACTTCTACATTATAAAAATACACAGAGACCAACATAACTACTTGTTATTAGCTTAAACACTAGGAATAAAGAGACTGGTGGAAAAATGTTTTCATGCCAAACTTTTGATAAAAGGTTTGGCTAGGCAGTGAGCATGCTGTCAAGCAGAGGAACAAGCTGTGTCTTACATTGCTTATCTGGATGGCATTGAGTTTGGACTGCAGCATCAGTGGAGTGTCAGCTGGCACATTCACATTAGCTTTCTCTTTGTCCCAGGCATCACGATACCGTGGCTGGTAAAAATTTTTAAAATGAGGTGTTGATTAGTAATTACTACATGAATAAAATGTTAAATAAAGTTAAAAGTTACCTTTGCATATTTCCTAATTAAAAATGTAGATCATGTTTTGCCTTCATTTTGCTTGTTTTTGTTGTTGTTTTGTATTGGGGGTTGAACCCAGGACACTTACCACCAGGCCACAACCCCAGACATTTTTATTTTGTATTTTGAGACAGGGTGTCACTAAATTTCCCAGGATGGCCTCCAACTTGCAATCCTCCTGCCTCAGCCTCTAAATCACTGGGATTGCAGGTATATGCCACCATCCCTGGCTCATTTTGTGATTTTTATTTAAAGTACCAGAAGTAACTTCAAGAACACATTTATATGTGACACAACATAAATTTATAATGAATCAGAAATACAGTAGTAAAATTATCCTTTTCCATTAATTCACATCTAATGTTCTGGCAGGTAAGCCCACTTTTGCAGAAAACTATGATTATTCACATTGATAGTCAGGACCTTTCTTTCTTATTACAAAGAGCTACAATAATATCTAATATTTATCCCTGGACCTCTCAGGCTATTTCGTGATTGAGTAGTTATTAAAAGGAGGGAATTTTGTGATTATGGTATCATAAAATCATCTGTATTATAGTCTGGATTTCAAAATGTGATTTAAATATATCAGAATCTGGGCCTACATGTGTTGACAAAGACATATCAAAGCAAACGAAATCTAGAGACAGCTAACAGATTGACAGCATGAAGATCTATCTAGATACTTTTATGTTCAAGATCTTAATGCGGGTATTGTCAGTTTGCAGTTCACATTTAGACTTCTGGAGAATTCTTTAAATTGTCTGAGAATGTCATCAACCCAGCTTACCTCACTGATCTGTAGAGCATTGGTCTTTGCCAAGACCACCTCTGGTGTATCAACAATGCTGGTAAATTTGAGGGCCTCAGGTCTTATACGATATAACCTTTCATTCAAGAGATTCTGCGCATTCTTCACTCTCATCACTTCCACAGAACCCTCTGCCAACCATCCGATACCCTTCATCCATTCCAGGTCTGATTTGTATATGTTCTACAGGAAGGAGAGGAACACACAGTAGGGAAGAAACAAATTTACCCACAGAGTTCAATGCTTGCAAACCACCTCTAGATTCTATCAGCTAGGCAACCAATCCATAGAATTCAAGGAAAACATTAAATGTTAGAAGGTGGGTATTATGTCTCTGGCACACATCTCTAGGAGAAGCTCACAATAGCCTACAGCATTGGAGCAGGGCTCACAAGTGGTACACTTGTTAGAATGACAGATAGCAATGGCACATAATTTTTTTTCTATTCTAGGTTGAGCTTCTGGGCTCACTTGAAGTCTGCCTTTTATGTATCACTGGGATACAAAAACATCTGTAGGAATTTTAGAGAAAAAGATCCTTAGATGTATATATAATGAGAAAAAAATCTACCTCTATCTATATTTATCTGTGTGCCAGATAAACTTGAAGTTCAATATTTCCTTATGCTTTTATCTATTTCTGAAATTAGACATCTTATCATGCAAAGGTAATAGATCAGAACAGCTAGGATTGAAATTCTCTACCTAATTACAAAGTATAAGAGACTGGTTTTCATCTTGGTGATAAGGTCCTGCTTCTATAAGAAAGAATTCTTTATAAGAAAGAAAATGTTTGAAAAGACTCTATTACCATGAATTATACAGATTACTTCAGGTTCTATTAAGATTACCATTTAAATTAAGCCTCTAGGGAACAAACACACATCTCCCCAGAATCTGATGACAATATACGCACATCACTCTGCAGTTCATAGGCTTTCTTGGCCTGGATCACATCGTTCTGATCTGGCAGACATATCCACTGGTGCAGATAATTGCGATAATCAATGTCGCTAACCAGGACCTGGCATTTCTTGGCTTGGACAATTGACATCATGTCCAAGGGTGTATTGTAAATTCCCTTAGATTTCTCATAAGCTTTCTTGTACTCTCTGTCACTCTGGATCTTGGCGGCATGTATAGACCATACCAACTTGGGGTCATCTTGCAGGCTGCGGAAACCCACGTGGTGGCCTAGCTGCTTACGGTAGCCTTCTTTGTATTTGTACTAAAGTTGTGAAAAAACAGATTAAACAACAACAATATGAAAATAAGGTAGTGAGGATTTTTCTTTAAATGATTTCAGGATATTTTCTTAACTTTAATGTAAATTAGCTCAACACTGGCAGTTATTATATATTTCAGTTCACTTTAAAGAAAATAGGACAATTTTAGGTAGTTTTTTTTTTTAGAAGAAATGAATAAATCAGGAAGGAAATAGCATGGCAAACAAGAATAAAAAATAATAACTAACTGTTATAGTTTGGATCTGGAATGTTCCCCAAAGTTCTTGTGTTTAAGGCCTTTTCTCCAGTGCAGCAATGTTTATAGAGATGGGACTTGGGAATTGCCAGGATCACGGGGGCTCTCACTTCACAAATGGATTAATTCATGGATGGATTCATAACTGAAGGTGTGGGAAACTGTAGGAGGTGTGACCTAGTTGAAGGTAGTGGGTCCTTAAGGTAAGTCCCTTGGAATATTATTCTTATCCCTGGCCCTTTTCTCTCTGCTTCGCAACCCCCATGAGGTGAGAGTTTTGCTCTACCAAGCTCTCACTGACATGATGTGCTGCCTCACAAACCACAAATATGGGGCCAGCCAAACGTGGACTGAAACCATGAGACCAAATAAATCTTTCCTCCTTTAAGCTGATTTCTCAGGCATTTTGTCACAGTGATAGAAAACAGACTAACACAATCACACTAAGCAGTCACTGTATGTCACACACTATTATGAGAGCTTCAAATGAATTAGGTTGATCCATATGAAACCATGGAAGTGTTTTAGTCGAAAACTGTTGAATAGTGGCAATTATACAATGTCTCTATGAGGTAGATACTATTTTTTTTTTAAGTACTAGGGATTGAATTCAGGAGCCATTTAACACTGAGCTACACACCCAGATCTTTATCTTTTTTCTAAGTTGCCCAGGCTGGCCTTGAACTTGTGGTCCTCTTGCCTAAGCCTTCTATATCGCTGGGATTATAGGCAGGTGCCACTCTGCCCATAATACTATTATTATCCTATATTTAATTGGAAGAAATAAGGCACAGTGAGGGTAACCAAGGTTGCCTGGCAAGTGGAACATAAGGTCAGATGGTTTCCCAAGAGCACTGAGGATACCTCAGGCAGGGAGGTATGATTGGTTTTGGAGCTGGAGAAGAAATACATACATTTTGGGGATGGAAATCAAGATTATTGACTTGAATCAAAAAAATGACAATTAAAGGTCTATGGACTACAGTTTCTATCAGATGAGTTGAGAACAAAAATGATGTCCTTTTCTTTCCTGAATTGGATAAGATGGGGAAGTCTGGACAGAAGGGAGAGAAAACTGGGACTAAGGCAGTTACTGTGAACCAGCTACGGTTATTGGTTATTGAAAGTAAAAATGAGGCATAGAAGGAGGTAACAGCTGGATACATGAGATAAAAAACAAATAAATAGAGAAGAACCTCAGGTGGGGGCGGGGAAGAGTATCTTAAAGATTTAGAGCTGACAGTAGGAGTAGGATTGGTAGGATAATCGTTTTGACTATTAGTTTTAAAATTAGTGTTAAGTGAATTTGAAAACATTACTGAAAGCATTCTACATAAGCCTTCAGTATAAAATGTTTAATATAAAATGTGAGTTCAGTAATAAGTCTTATATGAAACTACCATCTATTTTTTATATTGTGGAAAATGGCAGAAATGTTTGGGGATAAAATACATTATATTTGTTTCTCAATTTTCTCCAAAAATTTCCTAAGGATTTTTCATAATATTTTGTTTCTACTTAGAAACAAAGCAGAAGACTTATCTACCTATCTATTTATCCCTATCTATCTATCTATCTATCTATCTATCTATCTATCTATCTATCTGAAACTACTTTTTAGTAGAGTTTCTTTTGAGGGAAAACATGGAAGGCAGCATAAGAAAAAAGCACCCATTTCTGAATTCTGTTTATGGTTGGCTCGTTTACTCTATCTATCTATATCTATCTGTAGCAATATAGATTAACATTTTTAACTTAAGTTTTTAGCACATGACAAAATGTGATTGTTTGCATGGATTAAAAAAGACAAAATTCTTGACAAATAGTGTCCCCATTTGTTTTATAGAAGAGAAGAATCACAAGAAATTGAGGAAAGTTACCTCACTCGCAATTTCTCTGGAGGCTTTGGCGTGTTTGATTTCAATGGCATCTGCTCTTATGTCGTAGCCTTTCTGCTTGGCTTCGTCCCAGTCTTTTTGGTAGAGTTTCTATTGAGGGAAAACATGGAAAGTGGCATAAGAAAAAAAGCACCTACTTCTGAATTCTTTTTATTGTTGGTTGTTTACTTTATAGAGCATAGGATACTTTTAAAGCTAAACATCTAACTCTATTAATATTTGAATATTTATGCTCATCATAATATGGTATGTACTTGAAAATATTCCACTGCACAGGACACAGAAACTAAGAGTCAACGTAAAACCAGAGAATCTGTATCAAAGTACCAGACAAGACTGGATAAGATTTTTTTTCCTTATTTTGCCCTTTGATGCATCAGACGTGTTTGCTAAAGGTATAAGACATAGATATCATATGGACCCTGCTCTTCAAATATGACTAAAATTTCTTTTGACTTTCATATGGCTTTGAAATGTCAAACAAGAAAGTTCTGGGTCAATCAAAACAGACACTAATAAGATAACAGACACTGTTGAGAGTCAATGGAACATGACTAGGGTTCCACTGTTCCCAATGAACATATGAGAAATGGAGCCACAACCGCTGGATATAGGAAGATGTATCAAGATTGAAAGCAGATCACCAATAGGACTCAGGTATTCCAACTCCTGCAGTCCAGGCACCTAGCCATGTATCTATGCTAACATTTAAATGAGAATTTACATTCATTTGCTTTGGGAATGATAGCTAAAGAAAAAAAATCTAGCACTGAAAGCCATGAACATTTCTAAGGTAGGTAATTTTTCAATTATAACACACTCCACAAGCTGACTGACACTGTCCCACAAAGGCCTTTACAGTCCATATTTATAGCACTTACATTGCTAATTTGCAAGGCATTGATTTGGGCCTGCAGCATAACTGGTGTATCTGAAGGAATGTTGATGTTGGTTTTATCTTTATTCCAGGCTTCTTGATACAGCCTCTGTGGAGAGAAGGGAAATATTTAATTCAATGATAGAGAATGGACATTTGAAATATTAAGACTTAGTAACTATTTTATCTGGGAAAATGTTTCTAAAATATGTTTAGGATGGTTTATTTGATGTGAAAACTTGGCCAGGCAATGATACTCAGATATTTAGTCAAATATTATTCTGAATGTTTCTGTTAAAATAATTTTCAGATAAGATTCAGATTTATATCAGCAGTCTTTAAACAAAGCAGAGGACCCTCTATAATGGAGTGGGGGTCATCCAATCAATTGAAGGTCCTTGACAGTCTGATCTCCCCAAACAAGAAGGAATTCGGCCAGCAAACTGTCATTTGGTGGTGGTGATGGGGTGGGTACCTGGGATTGAACTCATGGGCACTCACCCACTGAGCCATATCCCCAGCCCTATTTTGTTTTTTATCTAGAGACAGGGTCTCATTGAGTTGCTTAGCACATAACCATTGCTGAGGCTGACTTTGAACTCTCAATCCTCCTGTCTCAGCCTCCTGAGCTACAGGGATTACAGGTGTGTGCCACTGCACCTGGCTCAGCAAACTGTCTTTGAACTTGAACTGCGGTCTTCCCTGGGTCTCAAATCTGCTGGTCTGCCTTGCAGATTTTGGAATTGCCAGTCTGCAATATTGCATGTATCAGTTCTTTAAAATCTCAGTCTCTCTGTGTGTTCATAAATACATTTATAAATACATTCGGTAGGATATGTTCCTTTAGGGAATCCTGACTCTCACATGTTATACCATTTATTATATAACATTATATTACATGTCTTATTATTAATAGAATTATTTATTTCCCTGAATTATCATTGAGATAACTTAATAACTGAGTCACATCCCTAGCCCTCTTATGTTTCATTTTGAGACAGGGTCCTGCTAAGTTGCTTAGGGTCTTGCTAAGTTGCTGAGGCTGGCTTTGAACTTCAGATCCTTTTGTCTCAGCCTCCTGAGCTGCTGGGATTACAGGTTACACCACCACACTCGGCCTTATCATTGAGAGATATTTTTCATTTTATTGCTTCAAAGTATGTGTGTGGGAGGGGAAGGCACAATGTATTTGTCAGAGTTCTGCTTTTCACATGCCTTCACTAAACTAGTCCAGTGACTCTTGGATCTGCCCACCACTGTAATTCACTGAAGAGAGCTTGTACTTGCTTGGTTTCACTGCCATTATCTGAACACACAGTCCAGAAAGACAGAAGCTTGGTAGTACGATGATTCTTACCTCACTCATTTGCAGAGAATTGGCTTTTGCCAGGACAATTTCTGGAGTGTCAACAATGCAGGTGAATTTCAAATCTTCTGGTCGCGTCCTATAGAGTCTTTCATTCACAAGGTCCTGTGCACCCTTCACTCTGGTCATTTCTACGGAGCCTTCTGGCATCCAGCCGATGCCGCGTAGCCATTCCAGGTCTGCTTTATACACACTCTATAAAGACGGTAGAGAAATCATTGTTCCAAGTATTAGACATTCAGCCCTCAGTGGAAAAATAAAGTGGAGGGGGTGATGAGCACAGACAGTAGTTCTGAAAAAGTAAAACCTAAGATCTTGCATAAGATATATGTTGGTGACAAAAGTCATTTGTAAAACCAAAATTATTTCTACAAGCCACAAATAAGAAACACCTCTAATAAAGAATTTCATGATATAATTATTTGATATTTCTAAAAGTTTTAAAATTGGAAAAATTTTAAAGGAAAATTTTATTAAATCTTATTCCATTTTAATCCTATAATAACTGATCCAATGAAATACTATTTAGTGTTTTGGATCTGGCCTAACAGTGGCAATTATTTTAAAAACACCCAGATGCTTTATATTTGTGTGAAATATATCTTCATTGCTAGAAATTACAAATGACATAAGAAAACAGTTTTGAAACAAGGCCAGGAAATAAAGGACATGATTTCATCTCTCTATGCTTCCCATGAATGCCTAAATAGGGGTTTGTATTAATGTGAATAGTGTCTCCTCACCATGCCTGAGTTACACAGTGCATGACTATCTGTCCACTGAGGCATACTGGACAATTCGCAAATCTATGATATTCAGCCCTCAGTTCCTTCCTTCCCAAAGCACAAATCACTTACATCACTCTGCAGTTCATAGGCCTTCTTGGCTTGGATGATGTCGTTCTGATCAGGTAAGCAGGTCCAGTGGTGCAAGTAGTTGCGATAATCAATATCACTGACCAGAGTCTGGCATTTCTTGGCCAGCAAGATGCCCAACATGTCCACTGGGCTAGAGAACTTGGTCTTCCACTTCTGAAAGTCCTTTTTGTACTCAAGTTCACTGTTAATCTTCCCTGCATGTATGGCACACATAATCCTGGGATCATCTTCAATGCACTGGGCTCCAATATGGTGGCCTTTCTGTTTCTCATATGCTTCCTTGTATTTGTACTAAAATGCCAGAAATACAGATTTAGTTTGGAGACCATGCTCATGGGGAGAATTAAAGACAATATGAAATGGGTAAGAATTTTATACTTCAGACATTTTGACATCTCTGGGCAATTTTATGTTATTTTTTTATACTATAATAAAAATACTCATATATTTTCATTGGTGGGAACTTTCCCTGAAGCAACTCCAACTCAAGTTCCAAAAGTATTTTTCTTCTCTGTGACAATTAAAGGAAAGATCTTTCAAGGAAGCAGGACCGGAGGCATGTGGAAGCAATTACAAAGTGTGGTCCATTAGCCCAACTTTGGGTTATTCAGCACTGTGGGGACTCAGGGAGTTAGACGGAAGGTACTCACATCACTGGCAATGTCCCTAGAGGCCTTGGCACTTTTGATGGAAATAGCATCTTCTCTCAGATCATAGTCCTTCATCTTTGATTCATCCCACCCTTTGGTATAAAGTTTCTAGGTGGAAGAAAAACACACACACAAAATAAAAGTGTTTTAGGACGTTAATAGGCCAATTCTAGAGAAGAAATCATTAAGGTAGAAGAAGCATTCTAATGACTTCTAGAAAGGCATAGGGGACAATCAGGAAATCTCTTACTTGGCTGATATTGGCAGAATTGCTCTTTGCTAGCAGGATTTCTGGGGTGTCCGGCATCACATGGATGGAGGCTTTGTCAGCATCCCAAGCTTCTGTGTATAAATGCTACAGGAGGGTGGGGGGAAACAGAACCTTCTGTGAAATCCAGTTACTATCCAATTTAACTACAAAATCAATCCTGTTAAGGTTATTTGGAAGTAGGGGGAGGAAAAGGGTAGTGGAGAATAAAACAGGGCGATGTTTAAACACTACATAGCTGTTTCACAGCTAATATAAAGCTCTAATTATGAATTCTTTTAATCCAATGAATCACAAGCTTCCTCTTAGGATGTTGGAGGTAGAGCTTGGTGATAGAGCTATAATACAGTAGGAATCCCAAGACACCAGAGTCCATCTCAAGTTCAAACTCAACTTCACTCTAACTTGTGCAATCTTCAAAATGGTACAAAACTCCTCAAATTCCTCATCTCTAAGAGGGGGATATTTATATCTTCTTTGAATATTTTAAAGGATTAGCTGCATATATAAAATATCTGAGCCATAGTAGGTTCTTAAGTTTTGTTTTTTTTCTTTTGGTGTTTCCTACTGTTATTATCTTTGTGGTTGCTATTATGGAATGAAATAGTTTCTGGAGTTTTATAGCTCCAACTCTGAAGTCTGCTATTTGAGAGCCAATTTCCTATTCTGATTTGAGCACTCAATCTTACTACTGAATGATTAGAAAATGTTCAGGCCAGGCCAGAATTCAGTTAAGCTCAATTCAATCTAAAATGTGCATAAAGAATAAACAGATTGATAGAACTCTAGAGGACAAAAGTGATCATCTATCTTATGTAATGAAAGCAGAAATAGCAGCTCATTTGTTAAAGTGGATTTCTACAACCTAAGATGGAAAAACAACTAATTTGTGTTCTGGCACTACTATGAAACACCATGTTGCTTGGCTTATATTCTTTATTAGATGGACAGAGAAAACCAACAGCCTGAGTCTGCTCTGCCAAGGGGAGTGTTCAGGGAAAGGTAATGCATTCGTGGTATTGCTAGGTCCTGCTCAGGAGGGAATGTGCAGTACTCGGAGCAATTACTTGGGGCTTTGTTTTCACAGGCACACAGGGAATTAGAAGGCATGGTTTGAGACAGTGTAGAGATCCAACCTTCCAGAAGCCAAGCAGATACTTAGGTGAAGGCCTGCATGAGAATCAGGTCCATTCCACCTCCTTTCTCTGATGATCCTTGAGGGCATTTTCTACTCCATAAGCCAAGTTCATTATGATTCTGGCAACAGGAAGCAGCTGAGGGAGGACTCACCTTGCTCATTGTGAGGGCATTATTCTTTGCCAGGACAATTTCCGGGGTGTCTGTGATGCATGTGAATTTGAGCTGGTTTGCAGGCTGGCGGTATTTCCTGTCACTCAGGATTTCTCCAGCTCTCTTCACCTTCTCCACCTCAACAGAGCCAATGGGAACCCATCCAATGCCTCTCAGCCACTCAAGATCAGCCTTGTAAATAGCCTGAAAATGAAATAATGCCAAATATTTAGATATTACCTAATGATCCTGGTGCCAGAGCTTGATGTTTCTATTTATTTATGAATGAATGACAGGGTCTAACTGCCCAGGCTAGCCTTGAACTTGTGATCTTCCTGCTTTAGTCTCCCAAATTGCTGGGATTGCAGGCCTGTGCCACCACACACAGCTCAATCTTGATTAAACATATACAGACAATTTATAATTCTGAGACTTATTTGTGTACGTTTCTAGGAGATCCACAGGACTGCCTTACTTTATTGAGAATAGCTGGTCAAATGCCTTGTCTTTGATAGAAGTCAATATTAGCTGTTTTAAAGACCTATAAAATCTCTTTAATAGTGTTATTTCAGTGACACAAAACCACTTTAAGGAAATTACCACCTCCCTCCTGAAACAGGTTTTTATTCTCTGATGTGATTCTCCATACATACTTGTGTGGGAATAATACTCTATTAGAATTCAGTGGGTTCCTATCTTATGGACAGTAGCCCTCACAGCCAGCCATGTGATATATGCAAAGGATGAATGCCTGTGATCCACCATTTGTGAATTAATGTGTTTTTTGGGGAACAATAAAATATGGCATTTTTATTCATATGATTCTATGTGCATGCTTCTAAGTCAAAGAATACTCACCTTTTTACTTTAAGTTCCTTCTCTTGTCTTAGGATTTGAGTAAAAATGAATTTTATCCCTTTCATTTTCTTCCCTGAACTTAAATAATTGACTATAGAAGAATTTTTTTCATAAATAAGGGTAACAATTCTTATTGAATATTTTTTGGAAACATTTTTTAAAACAATGACACTATTTTTACTATTCTTCCAAGAGTGACTAGTCAGAGCCTGATCAAAACAAGGAGCTACAATACTCAAAAGATAGTACTTGAATCTATGGCACAAAATATTTATGAACCCCCTTTTAAGACTTTTAAACACATGGTTGAAGGATGTCAGAGTCACTCACATCACTCTGCAGGTCGTAGGCTTTCCGGGCCTGAATGACATCGTTCTGATCTGGAAGGCAGATCCATTCATGTAGAGGATGCCTATAGTCAATGTCACTCACAAGGATCTGGCATTTCTTGGCCAGCACCACCCCCAGCATGTCCACTGGGCTACTGAACTTGGTCTTCCACTTCTCAAAGTCCTTCTTGTACTCCCTGTCACTCTGGATCTTGGCCACATGGATGGACCACATCATCTTGGGGTCATCCTTAATGTTCCGGGCCCCAATGTGGTGGCCCAGCTGTTTGCGGTAGCCTTCCTTGTACTTGTACTGGAGAAAGAAAAGGAATATTAGTCTAATGATTAAAAATACACACTATTTCTTCATTTTACCCCCTCCCATCATGAGGAGAGAGGTGAATATCATCAACCCCATTTTATAAAGTAGGAACCTGAAGATCACATCACAAGTAGGGGGCAGGGCTGAGCCTAGAGGGAGAGCTTCTTGTTCCTAATATTTTTCCCTTTCTCTACACTATACTACCTGGTGTACCATTGTACTTCCTTAACAAGTAAAAATAAAACATCTTGTACAACCCAATGGGACATCTACTCCATGTTAGAATGCCTATAATTACAGCTATTTGGGAGGTCAAGGCAGGAGGATTGCAAGTTTGAGACCAGGCTGAGCAATTTGGTGAGACCCTGTCTCAAAATAAAAAGTAAAAAGGGTTGAGGATGTATCTCAGTGGTAAAGGGCCTCTGTTTCCAATCCCCAGTATCAAAAAACAAACAAAATGCATGTTTTTTAAAAAAATGTTTAACATTAATAATATTTTAGAACACCTTCCTTATTATTAGAATTGAAAGTGAAGTCCCTGGCCAATGATATATATCACATGTAAATAGTTTATGTGCCACAAGGAAAGATCTCTCTTATTTGACCTGTGAACATTAAACTTTCACCAACAGAGTCACATGCTGGGGTTAGGACTACTTTTAAAATCCAAGAATAACATCAAGATTCAATTTACTATGAGATGATCACAATGTGGGCTTCTCTAGCATAATAGCTGGAAAGTGTTTAAAAATAGAAGGAATGAAGTCCAAAGTACATAAGAATGTAAGTCTGAGGCATGGGCCCTTCCAGAAGTCTGGATCTTGCTCTGGGGAGGCCTGGTACACAGTGGGGTCAAGGATACCCTAAGGAGATGTTTTTCACATGAAGAAAAGGAGCAGAGACAAGAGACAAAAAGGTGCTGCAAAGAAACTTCACTTATTTCACAATTTATTCTTGCTAGGGGCATCTTAGTAAGAGAACATGGAGATATTCATCATTATTCTTCTTTCAGTGTCAAATAATAAATGGGCAGAAGTAGTGTGAAAGAGTTCACATTTATATTGATCAATTTACTTGAGGTATTAATATCTTTAATTTCACAAACCTCTGGGATGTTTGAGCATCTTAGATGCTCAATTCTTCAGGCTCAAAAAAAATCTATTTTTTACTTTTTTAAGAATATGTTTTTAGCAGATGTGGTGGCACACACCTATAATCCCAGCAGTTCAGGAGGCTGAGGCAGGAGGATCATGAATTCAAAGCCAGCCTCAGCAAAAGAGAGGCGCTAAGCAACTCAGTGAGACCCTGTCTCTAAATAAAATACAAAATCGGGCTGGGGATACAGCTCAGGGGTCAAGTGCCTCAAAGTTCAATCTCCTGTAACTCCCTCCCACCAAAGAGAATGTGTCTCTTTCTTGATGGATTAATAGGTACAACTGGTACATTATTTAGTGCCTAATTTCCTTTCCTCCTTTGTCATTTGCAACTTTGTGTGTGTGAGAATCATGAGAGGAAATTGAGATCTGTAAGGACAACTGAAATTCTGGTGAGAAAAATTCTAAAAGCTGCCATTTGTCAACATCTGTGAGTAAGAAATACTTCTTTCAAAACTTTCAACTTACATCACTAGCAATATCTCTTGAAGCCTTGGCTGCTTGGATTGGAATCGCATCCAGCCGCAGGTCACAGCCTTCCTTCCGAGACTCTTCCAAAGCAAGTTTATAGAGTTTCTGTGGAAAAGAGAGTCATTAGTCATCACTTTTTCATAAAAGATGAAGCTGCTTGTTTTGTTAACTTTTCTATCCTCATTAAACGACTGGAAAAAAATCCACAAAGTCAACTACTCAGATGGGTTTACAAACTATGCACAAGTTTTAAACTTTGGGATTTTGTTGACTGGTAAATTTCATAAATTTGTTGGTAAATCAGCATTTGGTTGCCAAAATTTTACTTTGATAAACAAGCACATGTGAAAACAACCATTTTCAGTTGTCATAATAAGTAAAGGATGGCCATCTTACTACTAAAGGAGGAAAAAGAATAGGGAGTGTTTAAAAATCCATATTTGATTTTACAAAAACTTCAATTTGTTGCTCTTATTGATTTTTTCATTGCTGTGGACTATCATCAGGTGTAGCTATCTGTGCAAGTACACTAAATGACAAACAGAATATATTAAAGCAGCAAAATAATACAGGGCATAATAACTTCCTGAGTTCCAACCTACTGTCTGCTTATTATAACTGTTGAATAAAACACAGCTGACCACAGTATCCATGAGGGTTTGTTCCACAAACTTCTCTTCTCCTCTGCCAAAATCCTTTGCTGCTCAAGTCCCTCATATAAAATGGCATAGATTTGCAATTAACTTACATCATCCAGGACACTTTAAATCATCTCTAGATTACTTATAACAGCTAATACAATGTAAATACCATGTAAATAGTTGTTGCATTATATTTTTTAGGGAACAAAAACAAAAGAAAAGTCTGTGTATGTTCAGTACAGATGCAATTTTATTTTCTTTTTTTGGTACCAGGTATTGAACCTAGTGGCATTTACTCAATGAGACATGCCCATCCCTTTGTTATATTTTTAATTAGATACAGGGTCTCAATAAGTTGCTTAGGGCCTCGATAAGTTGCTGAGGCTGGCTTTGAACCTACGATCCTCCTGCTTCAGCTTCCCAACATGCTGAGATTACAGGCATGGGCCACCATACCCAGCACAGATGCAAATTAAAAAACAAAACAAAACAAAACAGTATTGATCCATGATTGTTGAATCTACTGATGTGGAACCTGCAGATATGAGGGGCTGATTGATACACATACTGATATCTGTAGGGGAAAGTTATAACAGTGTGATTACCATTTTTTCCCTCCAAAGTACCCTATTTCTTAATACTTGTGCTCTAACTTTCTCTCCTTTCTGCTGACATGCCTGGGGCATCCTCTGCTCTCACATATACATTCATTTGCCCCAAGCATTATTAAATCAGTTACTTATTATGCTACTAAGTAATGTCATTTACTCCCTTTGTCACTCAGGCCTTGAAAGCAATAGCTCATCCTTCTTCTTTTCATGCAAGACCCAAACAACAAGGTCTTAAGATCATCACGACCTAAAGCTAGGTCTAATCAACCGGAACCAGAGGAAGGAAGAGAAGACATTTATGTCAGTTTCTTGCATATGTTGGAATTATTTTCTTTGGCATAAACACGTCACATTCTTTTTTTTATGACAGTTGGCAGAGCTGATCACAGGCTATGCTGTGGGCCAGTGATGAAGCATGATAACCTGGCAATCTTGCTATTATCCCAAAGCCCAGAGCTGCAGCACTGCTGAAAGCATATAATCCTTCTTTCAGTGTTTGGTTCAACGAACAAATATCAGTCACTGTGGCAATGATAACAACGATGCCAGGAAAATTCTTTTGATACTAGAAGAGTTTATTTTTCTTCTTTTGTTTTTTTAAGAAATGTGTATACGTATGTCTTAATTTCTCTATGTAGTTGTTTGCTTTCAAACAAGCAAAACACTGACTTTCCTTGGTGAATCTTAAGCTGAATTATTCTCCTTTTCTTGGACTGGACTACCTGAGTCTATTCTCCCATAATTAGGAAAGCATTTTTAAAGTTACTTCTGAAAAGAAATTTTAAGGCTTACACTAAAAACTATTTTGACTGAGACAGAAAAAAAAGAGGGCTGGGGTTGTGGCTCAGTGGTAGAGAGCTTGCCTGGCATGTGTGAGGCCCTGGATTGGATCCTCAGCATCGCATATAAATAAATATAAAATAAAAAATCCACTGACAACTAAAAAATGTTTAAAAAAAGAGTGTAATTACTGTTAGGCTATTTCTCCATGAGGCAGCAAAGATTTTCTCCCATTTCGTAGGTTCTCTCTTCCTATTCTTAATTATTTACTGTACAGAAGCTTTTTAATTTGATGCCATCCCATTTACTAACTCTCAGCATTATTTCCTGAGCTTTAGGGTTCCTACGGAAAAAGTCTGTGCCTATATGTTGGAGTGTTCACCTTACATTTTCTTCTAGGAGTGGCATAGTTTCTGGCCTAACTCCAAGGTCTTTGATCCATTTTGAGTTGATTTTTGTGTAGGTAAGGGTCTAGTTTTATTCTTCTACATAGGGATAACCAGCACCATTTGTTAACAAGACTGACTTTTCTCCAATGTATATTTTTGGCACTTTTGTCAGGATCAAATGACTGTGGATACATGGGGTTTTCTGTCTTCTATCCTATACCATTGTTCTATGTATATTTTTAAGCCACTACCATACAGTATAATTTCAAGTCAGGTACTGTGATGCTTCCAATATTGCTTTTATCACTTGGAATTGCTTTGGCTATTCTAGGTCTTTTAGTCTTCCAAATGAATTTTCGAACTTGTTTTCTTCTAGTTCTAGGAAGAATGCCATTGGTATTTTGATGGGAATTGCATAGAATCTGTATATTGCTTTTGGTAGTATGGCCACTTTAACAATATTAATTCTGCCTATCCATGAACATGGGAAGTCTTTCCATCTTCTTGTCTCTTCAGTTTGCTTCTTTGATGTTCTATAGTTCTCACTGTAGAGGTTTTTACCTCCTTGGTTTATTTATTCCTAGGGTTCTTTGTTTTGTTTTGCCTTTGTTTTGAGGCTATTGTGAATGGAATTGTTTTCCTGATCTCTTTCTCAGCTGATTCATTATTGGAATATAGGAAAGCTATTGATTTCTGTATGTGGATTCTGTAACCTGTTACTTAACTGAATTTGTTTATTAGCTCTAGTTGTCTTTTGGTGGAGCTATTTCTTTCTCCTAAATATAGGATCATATCATCTGCAAACAGTGATAATCTTCCTTTCCTATTTTTATCCCTTTTATTTCCTTCTTCTTCCTTAATTGCTCTGGCAAGAACATCTAGTTCATACACATTCTATTTCCTGATAGGCTGCCCTCCATTATGGACCTACCACACGATGTAAAATTGAACCAAGGGAGAACTCTCTCAATGACAATGTTGGTTTGGAATATGTATAAGTTAGTCAAAACATTTCACTAAGAGCTGGAGGCATGGTGGTACAGGCTTCTAATCCCATCCACTTGGGAGGCTGAAGTAGAAAATTGCAGATTTGAGACTTCACAATTTAGCAAGACCCTGTCTCAAAATTTAAAAAAATCTAAAAGCTGGGTATATAGTTCAGTGATTAAGCACTTCCTCACCATACGTGAAGATCTGAGTTCAAACCTCAGTACCAAAAAGAAAAAAAAAAGAACAAAACAAAAGGAAACAAAAATATTCCACTAATGAAACAGATACTATAGTTCATCACAGAAACACAGATACTCACATCACTGTAGTTTATTCGGTTGAGTTTGGCCAGCATGATTTCTGGTGTATCAGGCATGACATGGATTGTTTTCTTGTCATTATCCCAGGCTTCAGTATACAAGCGCTTTAAAAGAAAATAAAAAAAAAAATTATTTTGGTGTTCATAAACATTTTTTTCTTTTGATTATATGCCAGTCATCTCTCTTGAATGCAAAGCAGAAACAAAACTTAATAAGCTGTATATAAACTCCTGCTTTTGTTTTTCATTAAAATTCCTTAAATAATTTAACTGTTAAAAAATTTTAACAGTTCTAAAAAGTATGTTTGGGTTGCAGTATTTAAATATCTGTAAAGCATTATGAATATTTTGCAGCACAGTGTTTTTAATATCAGTTTCATGGTTTGAAGTAGCACTGAGCAACCATGGTATGTATTATAGTGAAAAATCATTTTAAAAGGTGTTATAAATCTCATGGTAATCTCTGAAATATAAAAACATATCAGACTTTTTACCTAGTCCTAGGGTAACTTCTCAGCTCTGACAGTGAGGACCAAAGACTCACCTTATTCATATTTAAAGCATTGTTCTTTGCCAGCACCTGCTCCGGTGAGTCAGTTATACTGGTGAATTTCAGGGTGTCTGGACGCTGACGATAGATATTATCACTCAGTATCTCTGTGGCCCTCTTGGCTTTAATCACTTCCAAGGAACCAATTGGAACCCAGCCGATACCTTTCATCCATTCCAGGTCGGACTTATACAAATTCTGAAGATCAATTGATTAAAAAAAAAAAACAAATTTATTAGTTTTTTATCATTTATTAGTGTTTTGACTTCATAGTCACAAAATGGATCATACCAGGGAAATGAAAGGTACTATTCAACAGATAAAGAGGCCAGCATCCTCAATTAGCAGTCACTCGCTCATAAGGATATTCTTTTCCTGATCATTCTTTGGTACAGAGGATTACATTAAGAATGACGATTTTTTTTTCAAAAAAAAATACATTGTTCTGCCCTTGAGAGAATTACAAGATTTTTTTTTCCCAGGAGGAATGTTCTTTTAATATTAAAAAAAAAGTGTGGTAATAGGTCCAAATAAAACCACACATTCAGACCAATGGCATGGGATTATTGACACCATAAACTCTTGCTTTAGTTTTCATCTTTAAAAATGAGGTACATAAAGGGAATGTGGTATTGGGTGTTCATCTAATTAGTCATTTTATTTTTTACTTTCAATAGGACACACTGAATATTAACAAGTATTAGATGACTTGCTTTGAAAAAAAGTAAGAATGTCTTATTTCCTTATTTCCATCAGGAAATGTTAAGACTTGAATGTTTATTAAAGTGATTTAGTACAACGTACTTTTCTTCCCACTCTCTCCATATTACACTCTAATATCAGTACTCACACACATTTCCACCTCTCTACCCAAAAGTTGATAGTGATATTATTATTATTATTATTATTATTATTATTATTATTATTATTATTTGGTACTAGCAATTGAACATAGGGGTGTTTTACCATTGAGCCACATCCCCATTCCCTTTTACATTTTATTTTGACACAGGGTCTCACAAAGTTGCTTAGGACCTCACTAAGTTGCTGAGACTGACTTTGAACTTGTGATCCTCCCGCCTCAGACTCTGAATTTCTGGGATTACATGAATTTCTGGGATTACCATGTTCGGCTGCTAGTGATCCGTTTATTTATTTATTTATACACACATACATACCAGGGATCAAACCCAGGGTCACTTAACCACTGAGCCACTTCCCCGTCCCTTTTTAATATTTTATTAAGTTACTTAGGGCCTCACTAAGTTGCTGGGACTGGCTTTGAACTCATGATCCTCCTTCCTCAGCCTCCCAAAATGCTGGGATTACAGTTGTGCACCACTGTGCCCAGCTAGTGATTTATTTTTGAGGGTTAAGTTTCATCTAACTCAGACAAAGTATTCCTGAATCACTAGGATATACTCTTGTATAGAATTGATACTATTGATTTCCTCTTATATATAACTTTTAGAGAGGAAAACAAACTATAGTACTTCTAGCTGGAAACTCCTTCAGAGCATTCAACTGCATGTTGTTTGAAATATATAAATTCCAGTCCATTGGCACTAATTGGAACCCACAGACATGTTCCAGATCTGCTTTTGACATACAGAGGCAACAGCAGGGATACTCACATCGCTCTGGAGGTCATAGGCTTTCCGGGCATGAATGATGTCATTCTGGTCAGGCAGGCAGGTCCATTCATGCAGAGGGTGTTTATAGTCCACATCACTGACCAAGGTCTGACATTTCTTGGCCAAAACAATACCAAGCATGTCCACTGGGCTGCTGTACCTTGTCTTGTATTTCTCAAATTCTTTCTTATACTCACGGTCACTCTGCACTTTGGCAATGTGGAGGGACCACATTATCTTGGGATCATCATGGACGGCTCGGGCACCAATGTGGTGACCCAACTGCTTACGGTAGGCTTCTTTGTATTTGTACTGAAAGAGAGAACCCAACATATGAGGAGGTGGCACCAAAGGTGATCCCTGCTATTCTTTCTGTGAAATCCTCAAGTTAACAGGGGGTTTCCTCAAATGAGCTGCTCTGATGCTGCATATGGGCCCACTTAGGTCCAAAGAAGAAGGAGCTACGCTTAAAGTCTCCACAGAAGGACCCCTGACAATTCCTCTATATTTGCTGGAGAATTTCTATGGTGTCAAAAGTGATAAAAGATGAACACTGAGTGAGCCCAATTAGAATGACAAGTCATGATAGCACCTTGGAAGTCCTCATGTGAGTCACTCCATCTGAGAGAACAACTGGGGTGCATGTTTAGCTGGTTTAAAATTTTTATAGAAATTATTTTTTTTAAGAAATTAAACTAAATTTTTATAGAGAAACAGTTTCCTTTTCACAAATAATCCAGAAGGGGTAGTTTAAAAATGGGCAATTTTATTTAATGGACATAGTTTCAGTTTTGCAAGATGAAAAATGATGAAGATCTATGTTCAACAATATGAATACATTGAATGCTGTGCAATTGTATACTTGAAAATGGTTTAGATGGTAAATTTTATGTAGGTTTTGTTTTTTTTCTTCTTTTCTTCTTTTTTTTTGCCCACAATTTAAAAATTTTAAAAACCTATAAGAACGAATAATTTTTTCTACTCTTGGATAAATTTTAAAGATGTCCAGGAACATGTTGTTCTTAAAGTAAAAAAAAAAAAATTGATCCTGTAGACCCCACAGTATGAAGATTTCTAGCCGCTTTGCTATCCTATGTCCTCCCTCCTGTGGGCTCTCGAGAACTCAGGTAAACCTGCTTCTTTTCTGTCACTTTTGCCTTGGGTGTACCCAGAAGAGAATTCATTAGGTTTTATGAGTAGCTCAACATGTCCAACTGACTTTAAGTGAGGCATTCATTCCTAGCAAGCAAAGAGGAAAAGATGATAGTCAAAGGAACCACATTCCAATCTAGGCTTGGACACTATGAGGGTTGTGACCCTAGGGAAGTCACCTATAGTCTCAAGTCCCAATTTATATGATCATGCATTTGAGGGCATTATGATGGACAATGACTAAAGAGACATCCTGCTATATTCCAAGAACACAATCCCCCATGCAGGTGACCGGCCTAATGGGACCCATGTCAGGACTCGATCAGCTCTTACATCACTGGCAATGTCCCGGGAGGCCTTGGCAGCCACAATGGGAATGGCATCACTTCGTAAGTCATAGCCTTCTTTCTTGGCTTCTTCCATGGCCTGGCGATAGAGGCTCTGAGGGGAGAGATACAGAACTCACAGTCACTCTGAAACTGTGATTTTTGTCAAAAGAATGGATATAGAACTACACTGGTATATTCAGCTTTAAATTAAAAAAAAAAAGACCTCTTTATTTTACCAGTTTTTGAAACAATTAAGTGGAAATTCCACATTCAGCAAATTTTAACATCACAACTTCTCTTTGTACAAATCTTCATAGATTTTTATACATTAAATCAATAGCTCTTAAATGTGTTTATGTTGTTCAGCACTTGCTCTAAATGAAACGATCAAGAAATACTGATTCAGCTCCAAATCTGAATTAAGAATAACTTTACTAGCAGCCAATATGGTTATATAATAATATATATCATCACTACTTGAGCATGGTGTCCCTGATAAGAAATGAATGAAGGATGAATTGCTGTTTCTCAATTTCTATGCTAATATTTTCTCTTCTCTTATTTGTGTTAACTGTTGGAAATTGTTAGCGGATGTGGGGATAGAGGGTCCCAAAGATTTATAAGTCAAAAGTACAAAAATGATAAAATTCTTATTTCTTTTTCTTTGAATGGAGAAACCACCACCACCATTCAGCCCTGGCGGGACAGATACACAGAAGGCAAAATGTAGGTGTTCCATGGGAGCACAGTTTGACAACCATACTTTAAATAAATTATCCATACTAATAGTCTTTAGCCATTTTTGTCAGTTTCTTTGTTTACACGAATTTTAATTAATTCTATATCCTCAAAACATGAAATTTAAAACAACTGCTAGTACTGGTATTCAATAAGTCAAAATGAAATGCATTTTGGTAAACTATTTTTAAACATAAAAAGTAAAAATTTATTGGCTCTTTTAACAAGATATTTGTGACTTATCACAGTTTGACTCAAACAGATCTTGTCGGGCACTACTGAATTAAATTGGCAAAGTTTTGTTTTAGTATTCTCTGACAGATAACACAGTACCTACTGGGGCAGATATTCCTTTCTTTCTTTTTCTTCTTTTTATAATTAAATCTTTATATAACAATACTTGGTCGAATATTTAAATGTATGTTTCAATATTTTTAAATGTGCATTTTCCTTTTCGTGAAAAATTTTGAACCTACAGAAAAGTTGTAAGAATGGGAAAAGGAACATCCACAACTAACCACTTCTTTAATATTTGCCATTTGTTTGCATTCTCTCCCTCCCTCTTTATGTGTGTATATATTGTGTATATTTTTCTTTTATTATTTTCAATTGTTGAACCAATTAAGAGAAAATTAATTGGTTCTCACAGAATTCACATTCACTCCAAAACTGTAATAAGGTCAAAAGAATGGATATAAAACTTTGGATGAAGAACTACATAGTATATTTATTTAATTTAAAGCTAATGACCTCATGATAACTTTACCTAAAATGCTTCACCATGTATCTCTCTCCAAAGACTAAAAATAGTTTTATATAATCCCAATATATTTATCCAATGCCAGAAATTTAATACTGATGCAATATCATTGTCCAATATATAGGATCATTCAAATTTCAACTATCCCAATAAAATCCTTTATAGAATGTTATTTTTCTCTCCAGAATTAAATTCAAGATCATGAGTTGCATGTTTTTTTTTTTTTTGGTCTAGTTTCTCTCCTCACCTTTAAACTGTGCCTTTTTTATTTTAGAGTGAAAGAAGAGTGACTATGAAAAAGGAAATGGAACACCACTCAAGGGCAGGGGCATTCCCAGGCAGGGAGTACATACAGAAGTTGAAGCTTTGTTAACTCCTTGCTTACACTCAGCCATGCAAGTGTGCCCCTTAGAAAACCTTTGTCAAACTCAAAGGTAACTGAGGTTGGAAGGCAGCTCATCCCTATACCCAATACAGAGACACATACTCACATCAGCCTACAATTGAACTATTTAATCTTTCTTTCTCATTTCCTCTATGATAGAGATTTATTGAGTCAGTTAAAGTAGACATAGAAGTAGTAGATGGTTCTGGGAAATGATTTAGAAATCGCTTATGGCTTTAAAGGAAAAACAATGATCTATAATTCTTTTAGATCCTTCTTTCTACCTTACCTTGTTCAACATACTTTTCAATTGTTTAGGCCATGTAAAGACAAAATTTTAAATGTAAGGATAGTTTTTTGAAAGTGTGGCAGAAATAGTTGTTTCATAATTTTCAAATTGAATTAAGAATACTGTACCAATATCTGAATTTTAAATATGATGGAGAAGAATTAATATTTAAATGGCTTAAGGGTCTTAGATGTTATTCTTTGTTTATAACATGGATCAGCAAGATGTGACAGTTTACATTCTTTTTAAGATGAGATTTCATAAGGAAAAGCTAAGTAAAAATAAGAATAAATTTAATATTTTTAAGATAATATACAAAGGGTTAGTTTTTTGTCATTGTTGTTTGTTTGTTCTTAGTTTTAGGTGGACACAATGTTTTTATTTTATTTTTATGTGGAGCTGAGGATGGAATCCAGCGCCTCACGCGTGCTAGGTGAGTGCTCTATCAGTTGAGCTTGCCCAAGCCCAGCCTCAGAGGGTTAGGTTTTTTGAAAATTTTCTAGAAATATTTCTTTTATAACTAAAGAATCAAATACTTTATCTATCATGTTTTTCCATGGTAATGGGGGAAAATGTGCTTAAATCATCTTTTTGCATTAGATCAAACGGATTTCTTGAATACACCCAACATTCTAAAAAGATGTAGTACTTCAAAGAAGAGAACGCCTTTCATTATCACCAAGGCTACATTTTAAAGTTTGGTAGGTCACTTACCCAAGAGAATTAGAATAGGTAAATGAGAATCTAAGGGAAATGAGTAAGATGTGTTTGCTTTGTTTTATATTTCTGGAGTAAAGTATGGGATGAAATTACCCTTGGTCACAGATTGAGCAGAAGTTCAAGTTCACCACTCCGAAATCTACTTTTGAGAAAACAGTTCTTACAGAATTAATATATTTTTGCAATCTCAGGAGATCCAGCTGAAATTTTTAGAATTAAAAATAGCCCAATATCCTCTCACCAACTTTCACTCACCTCAGTAAAAAGGAGAGGTTTGTGAGATGCACTTACAATCTGGGATAGAAGCTAAACTTCATTTGCCTAGCTAAGATAAAGCTCCCAGAGAAGGTAGCCCAACAGAGAAGCTCTGTGGCCAAGAGAAAATGGCTCATTTGAAAATGAGTACAGCCAAGTTCAATCAAATACTTGTGATCACTCTCCTCAGAGTGATTTTTGGACGGTGGGGGAGTCAAGATTTAACCCAGGGGTACTTTACCATTAAGCTACATCTCCAGCCCTTTTTTATTTTGAGACAGGGACTCAGTAAGTTGCTGAGGCTAGCTTAGAACTTTCAATCCTCCTGACTCAGCCTCCTAAGTCTCTGGGATTACAGACATCTGCAACCGCACCCAGCTCAGGTCTTTTTATGATGCTGGAGGAAGTGAAGTTATATCCACTTCATTTTACTTGTCCTGTTATTTGATATAAACATGCCTCCTTTTTAGCTTTATATAATTATAGACTAAAGGATAATAAAAATAATTCTTCATCTGGTAAAGGTAAAATAATTATCTCAATCAAGTCTTGAGACTAACTGTTTAAATTTTCCAGTGATCTCAAACTGAAAAGTTTGTCTTCATGTTTTTTTTTTTTTAAATATACTTAACCATATAAGAAATCAGTATTCTTGAATCAACCAGATTAATTATCGACTTAGGCAAGAGCAATTGAGCAAAAGACTATGCAACAGGATTTCAGAACTGAAAGATGTGTGATTACAAGTTTAGCAAGGCTGGAGTAGCTCATGAAAGAATGTAGTTTATTATCCTCAGGCAATTTTGAAATGGGTGAGTTTGAGAATTCTCATTTCACTTCTTATAAATAAATGTCATCATTTTGAGCATGTCATATGTCCAATTTTCAGGTGACATTAGAGTAAAGGAGAGAAATTCAAGCTTATGAATTAAGCAATTATTTTACACCTGGCTTTACTGGGCATTTATATATCTTACCTCATTGAGTCACCACAAAAAAATTTCAAGATAGGGATTTTTATCCCATTTTACAGGTAAAATAAACAAAAACCAACAAACATGCAGAACAAATTTTGAAGGAAGTTCTAATTTGATAAATAGCAATAATTATTTTAAATAAAACTTAATATTTCAGACATTAATAGTTGACTGTGAGGATTTTTCCCTCCTGAGATATTTTGTGCTTATTTATTTTTCTATCTACCTATTTTATAATGATATGTACAGTCAAGGTAGGATAATGAGCATAAAATACAATACTGAACTAATTAGCCTGCTTCATGATATGACATTTTTATATCAGCAAAAACCAATGTGTTCAGAGGAAGAAAATAAAACAAATGGTCTCACCTCACTATAATTTATTTTATTTTGTCTTGCCAGCATAATTTCAGGTGTATCAGGCATAATATGGACTTGGGTCTTATCTTTGTCCCAGGCTTCTGTGTATAAACGCTGTGAAGGATAAAAAGGTTGATGAATTAGAAAAACAAAGTTTTGGTTTTTTTTTTTTTTTTTGTAAATGGTTTTCATTTAAGAGATAGTGATAAAACTTAAAGCCAGTCTCCCTGGTATCTCAACAGTGTACAGTATGTTAACACCCTTCAATCTCTTTGGTTTTACAGAGTATTCATTATAACTAAATATAAATGTATACATAAATACCATTAACACACACATGTTACCAGGTTCCCCACACTCCAATTAAATTAAAATTAGGCATTTCCCAAGTATATGTACACATCTGTGTGTGACTATATTATATTCTTCCTACGGTTTTGTTTTTCTTCATTTATTAATTGCAAATGTGCCTAAGTATGTCATGTTTAGAATTTCTTTTAATGAATGATATAAAGATTTGCATCTAATTCATCTTCTCTATGTTTATCTGGGTAGGCACCCAGCAAAATAGGAATTTTATTAGAAGGTTATATACCAAACAATATATAACTCTCATCAACTTCAAAGAATTTGAACCCCCAAACAGCTGTCCCATTTTTAACTCTATTTTATGAGTAATATCAAAGCAGAATTCCTATCATACATATGTGGGATTCTTATATAAGAGAATACAAAACTCAAACACATCACTATAGTTTGGATAGTAATTTAATTGGATAAAACAAAAAAAAAGATCAACTTAAAAATCATAGGTATTCTAAATGACATTCCATCCTGTTCATTTCCCCTCAAATTGGGGGCTCACCTTGTTCATGTTGATGGCATTGTTCTTGGCCAGCACCTGCTCCGGAGAATCTGTCACACTGGTGAACTTCAGCTTGTCTGGAGGCTGGCGGTAGATGTTATCACTCAGTATCTCTGCAGCTCTCTTGCACTTGACCACATCCACAGACCCAATGGGGACCCAGCCAATGCCTCTTAACCACTGGAGATCAGACTTATAAACATTCTGAAGAAATCAAACACATAAGCAAGTATTATTAAAGTTGTTATGACACTTGATTTCCAAAGCCAGAGGGGCAGGGGAGAAACACAGAAAAACATTGGTATATAAAATTTTATATCTCTATCTGTTAAAATATAAAGGAAAATTAGAGACATTTTATGGTATTATATAATCTATTTTTAAAAAAGTAATGGACACTTGAAAAAATGAGGAACAGAGACAAAAAACATCATCCTCCAAGGTTTCTATCAAATATGAGACCTTTGTCTACGTGTTAATATGCATTGCTCCCATAAATGCAGTTACCATGGCTCTCAGACACTCACATCGCTCTGGAGGTCATAGGCCTGCCGAGCATGGATGACATCATTCTGGTCAGGCAGGCATGTCCACTGGTGGAGGTAGTTTCTGTAGTCCACGTCACTCACTAAGGTCTGGCACTTCTTGGCCAGCACCACCCCCAGCATGTCCACTGGGCTGCTGAACTTGGTCTTCCACTTCTCAAAGTCYTTCTTGTACTCCCTGTCACTCTGGATTTTGGCCACGTGCATGGACCACATCATCTTGGGGTCATCTTTAATATTCCGGGCTCCAATGTGGTGGCCCAGCTGTTTGCGGTACCCATCTTTGTATTGGTACTGAGGGGAAAAAATAATGTATCTCATTTCTTTCAAAATTAACTTATGTTGTCATTTTTTTTGTGGGAAATCACAAATAACTTTAATTCTAAATATTGTACTAATCCTGGAAAGCCACAGATTTTGTTTTTTGATAGGAAAGATTAAAGGCTAAATTCAGTTACAATTTCATACATAATAAATGCATCCTTGATCTTATTCCTCATCTCACATTGCATGTCTGGGACTATTTCACTGTTTTAATTTGTTATCCCATAGAAGATTTTGTTCTATTTAAAATTACACTGAGACTGCTTTGAAGGGATTAATTGTAATTCAATCAATATCAACAGGGGATGAGGTCTTACTTCACTGGCAATTTCCCGGGATGCTTTGGCTGCTTTGATTGGTATGGCATCAACAGGAAGATCGTAGCCTTTTTTCTTCAGCTCCTCATAACCCATTCGGTAGATTTTCTGTTGAGAGAAGGTCACTTGGCAAACTGTTCTCTATAAACAACTGCATATGCAGCATAATGAATCCAATGTGCTGAATACTTTAAGAGTCCATGGAATAGTATCTGTGCTCTAGACTACTCAAATATAATTGGAAATTATGGTCGGGGATTGCTAATGATCTTATTTTAAACTTTAAAGCTTTTTAATTGCCTAGATGCACAAAATTAAATGTCAGCTCTTCCCAAATTCTTATGAGACTGCAGAAGCAAATTGATAGAAAAATGGAATGAAAGATACTTAGATACTGTTTTCCAATTAATGTGGAGTATTTTACTAGGAGCTATTTTTAGAAAAGAGTAACACCTGTCCATGTTTCTCCTCTAGGGGGAAAATTATGTGTAAGTGGCTTCTGCTTCTGCTTTCATGTGGCTGATGCATTGTGAATGATTGTTTATAATATAGGGCCATCTAAAGAAGGATCAACATCTGTAGGTAATATACAGAATCCTTCAAAATTTTTTAAAGCTGAAAATTTTAAAGAGCTTAACCATTAAATTTTTATAATTTATGTATAATCATTTGTTTCTTCATATTTGTGACATAATTAAGAACTATACTAATCCTTATGGTATTATTATTCTAACATATTTAATGTTGAAGTCACTCTCCTGGGGCTTAAAATAGGTTCTTAAAATAGTTTATTTTTTGCATCTATAAATTTCAGGAGATTATGTTGACAATAAAAATGAAATTATCCCGCATGAATTTTATATGCTCACTCACTCAAACTTTCATTGAACATCTACTATGTGTTGGGCATGGTGCTAGGTGAGCACTCAAGACCCAGTAGGAATTGCGTATAAGAAACATCTGCCCCATATAGGGACATTACATTACTTTGAGATGTGTATAGTGGAACGCAAGGCACAGAGAGAGCAGCTTCCCAACTCTGCCTGTGACAGGAGTACCAAAATCTTGAGCTTCAATCTGAAAGTTTTATATAAGGGATCTGAATCACATGTAGTTTATTAATTTAAATGGTTCAGGGATTCAAAAAGACTTCCAAACAACTTCAATGACATAGAAGCAATTAAAATGAGCTTTCTGAAAATGCATGCTGAATTTGGAAACTTACATCACTTGTATTGATTAAGTTTGCCTTAGCCAGAATAATGTCAGGTGTATCAGGCATGATGTGAATTTGAGTCTTGTCCTTGTCCCAAGCTTCTCTATAAAGTCTCTAAAATGAGAAATAATAATTTTTCAATGGTTGTATTAGATCAGCACATGATATAGGTGGCTTCTACATTAAGCATCATTAAATATTACATTTACATTAAACATTATTACTGATGAAATAGTAAACATTATAAACATCTGGAACACGATTGTCTTCCAAAATGTATATTAAGGACCACACTTTCAAAGTTACAGATAATTCTGCCCTTAAGAAATCAGTTCAAGTAATTAGAACTTTTTCCAATGTTATCAAAAGGAACAGATTTTTCCATTTTGGGGGTTGTAAAGTTTCCCTTAGTGTTTAATTGCAAGAGAGCCCAGCCTTCTCAAAAAATAACTTATTCAAAGTTTGCCTAGAAATTAGGGAGTTTCATTTTTTATGTGGCTGGGAGAAATAGAAAGTCTGCTAGTCCATTTTCAGCCTTTATTGGATCCAATAATAGCCATTTTAACCATAGCCTTTCCCTTTTACCCACCCTAGTTTTAGAATTAGCCAATTGTATAAATTGTATCCAAGTCCTCCAAATAGGGTGAAAGGCAGCATTATGTTAGTGGACTGCTTGCCCATGTGCACTTGCTAGCCAAGTTCTGTAGCTTGCCCTTCTGTCAGAATTAAATGCCTTGCCTACCTACTTTTGAATGTGTTTGATTTCTTGCAGCACCTCGGTATTTCTAACAGGCTTACTATTTATATTAATATTATTTTTGAGGATTCGGATTCCCAAAAGGATTACATTTGGGAATTTATTAAAATCTATTTGATGTTCAAAAGCTATCCTTAAGTTTGTCCTCAATAGAAAACAAAGAGACCCAGACAAAAATCTCAGTTATCTCACTTATCTAAACCAGGTTATTTATATAATATTAGAAAATATCTCCACAAGATACTTATCAATTACAAAGGGTAAAATGGTAACTTGAGAGTGATCAGTTTAAATTATCAGTAATGGAACAAATTGATATAATGTGCCTCCTAATATGATATACTCAGGACACAATGTGAGATAGCCTGAAAAGAGAATCTGAATCTAATCATGAGGACACCAGGAAACACAACTCCAGCAGACCCTACAAAATAAGTGGCCTGTAGTTTTTACAAATGTCAAGGACTTGGAAGATGTAGAAATAGTGAGAAAATAGTCCAGAATAATGGAAACTAAAGATATGGCAAGAAAACGTAGCACATGATCTTGGATTGGATCCTGGACCAGGAAAAAAAATTTTTCTTTTGCTATAAATGACATTAGTGACAAAATTGAACAAATTCTGCAAACTGATAATTATCAACATTAATTTCATAATTTTGATCATTATAATGTAAGTTATATAAGATGTCCTTATTTTCAGCAGATACACACTGAAGTATTTCAGGGTGATGAGGCATCATAAAGTAATTTACTTTGTCATATAGATACATTCAGGAGACAGGGAAAATGAGGGAGGGAAGAAGAGAGGGAAAGAGAATACAAATGTGTTAAAACATTAATGTTTGTGAAATGTGAGTGGAAAAAATACATAATTTATACTGGGTTTGAACTTTTATGTATGCCTAAGTTTATTCCAATATAATATTTTTCAAAATTTCATGGATTCCTTGGATTTGTCAATTTCCCTTTGAGATATTTTGTGTGAGATGAGTAGGTTGGCACTTTTCTTTTTGAATATATATACTACAGCTCATATAACCTAGAGAAGCTGATTAAGATCTTCAGGGCCAAAACAAATCAAAGCTCGTCATTTTTCATTATTTTTTCCAGCTCTGCACCAACCTTTCTGATCAAGAACACCAATTTCTCAACCTTATTACTACTGGTTTCATTTGCTGGACAATTCTTGGTTGTAGAGGTCTCTCTTGTGCACTGTGGTATTTTTAGCAGCATTCCTAGTTTCTATCCACTAGAGGACAGCAGCATGCCACCCCCAAGTTGTGACAAAAATATTTGTAGATGTCAAATGTCTCCTGTGGGACAAAACTGTCTCTGGCTAATAACCACTAAATGAGATCATTGCTTCAATGGCATGTGCCACTTTCATTCCATGGAACCCAGGAAAAAATGCTAATATTGAATATGCTGGCAGATTTATCAGCCTACATAAAAGAAGAGGCAGCAGGTGCAAGGAGCCTAACTAGTCTGGCTTCTATTCCAGAGGCCTTAGCATATCAGTATTTCTGCATCCCTGTACCTAGGGCTCACGGCTGGGGATGTGTCCATTAACTTTATGATTCAGGTTTTTCTCTTGCTCATCTTATTAGTCAGAGCTGTCTCCTAAGAAAGTAGGATTCAAAGAGATGGAAAATACTCTTGCCATCATAGAAGAAGAAGAAGGAGGAGGAGGAGCAGGAGGAGGAGGAGGAGGAGGAGGAGGAGGAGAAATGAATACTTAGATATTCATAATGAAGTTGACAAGTCAGAATTTACTTTAAATTTTGGAAACAAAATTGCAAAAAATCTGATGGGTTGCTTACGAAGAGAGGAGCTAAAACTTACTGATGCTTACTATAAGCTGATTATGGGTTTACATGTTACATAAAACTCATAATGCATATGATAAATATAAAATATATAGATATTAAATATAGTATATGTATTTAGACCATTTCAGGTGTCTAATTATATATCTATTTAAGCTTTCTTTTTTTTTTTAACCACACTCAGGATTGAACCCAGTGGCAATCTACCACTGAGCTACACCTTCCAGTCCTTTCTATTTTTATTTAAATTTTTTTACCAGTTCCAGAATCTCAGTACACATAATTCAATCTACTGAAACGTTCAGGATTAGGCTTTTAGTTGAGTACTGATTAATCTTTCCTTTCTGTGCATAAAATTATTCCAAACTGCTTTTATTTATTTTATTCAATAAATACTTCCTGAACACCTATTATTTACCAGGCAATGGTGTCAGTACTAGAGAAGAAAATAAGTTGGAGATGAAATACACAATTATATACTATGCAATAGTATTATTGATTTATATTGATTTAGTAGAACTAACTTTATCAATCATTTGGCAGAAAAATAACAATCTTTATAATACGTTCACTGTGCCTTTGTAAGGTATTTAGACCCTTTTGTCTTAGTATTCTTTATCCCAACAACAACAAAATCCTAGGTTTTTAATGCACTCAAGTTTCAAAGAAAAAAATATAATCAATAATTTCTCAATACATCTAGCTAAATAAGGAAGGTTTAGGTGACTAAAATTGACACTAGACTTTTTTACCTTATTCAGTGTAAGGTAGTTGATAATTCAAAGCAAACCAATGTAAAACGTTTTTGCTGTGTTATATGATGCAATTCTCTCCTAATCTATTCACTTATTTATTTTAGTTTTGCTTGTTTGTTTTTGAGACAGGGCCCTGTTAAGTTGCCCAGGCTGACCTCCCAACTCAGCCTTCCCTAGTGAGTCACTAGGATTACAGGTGCACAACATCACGCTCAGATTTCTACTCATTTATTAAGGGAAAGTTACTAAGCAACTGCCAAATGGCAGCCAGTATAATCTATTTAATAAATTTCTAAAGAATTACTCACATCACTCCTATTTTTGGCATTTGTTTTTGCCAAAACTATGTCCATGGCATCAGGAATGCTGGTAAACTTGTTTTTGTCTGGAGGCTGGCGATATTTCTTCTCACTGATGATTTCTGAAGCCCGCTTATTCTTTTCTGCTTCCAAAGAACCAAGGGGACTCCATCCTATGCCTCTCAGCCACTCAAGGTCAGACTTATACACATTCTGTCAAAGGACAAAGCAAGCCATCAAAACCCCATCCTCTCCTGTATCTATGCCTTAAGTGATTCTGTGCACTACAAATAGACGCACTTTAGATTTTCAATGACAATTCCTCTTTCTAGTTTCTTTTTTATGACTAAGTGGCTACTAATATGAAATATGAAGTAATACACAAACTATTAAATTTAATAGACACTGACCTCACTTTGTAGTTCGTATACTTTTTTAGCTTGGATGACGTCATTCTGATCAGGTAGGCATGTCCACTGATGTAAGTAGTTCTTGTAGTCTATATCACTAACCAAGGCCTGACATTTCTTGGCTAGCACCACTCCCAGCATGTCCACTGGGCTGGTGTACCTGGTTTTCCACTTTTCAAAATCTTTCTTATATTCTCGTTCACTCTGCATTTTGGCTACATTCATTGATAACACAAGCTTTGGGTCATCTTGCAAACTCCGGAATCCAATATGGTGTCCAAGTTGTTTCCGGTAGCCTTGTTTATATTTAAACTGAAATCAGAAGAAACATAGTCCTTTTATTAACACAAAAACCAAATTACATTAAATTTTCTTTGTTTTTATATTTGATTTTAAAAACTGAAATGAGAAAAGAGATGACAATGCTAACTTAGTAAGAAATGTTTTCTCACTTAGGTAAATTTTATTTAAGTGGAGGCTATCAAAGAAACCTAATGTAGTTGAGTATCAAGTAAGTTTACGTTGAGAAATTAATTCCAACCAGAGGTAGAAATATATCATTGGATATGCTAGACATGATATATGCTGACTTTCCAGATTACATTTTTATCAAGCCCTTGTTAGATTATTAGGGGAATGATAATCTCATGAGAAAAAAATATACGCTGAATGGAAAATATTCTTGTTAATATACATAACCACAATACTCAGTTTCACGGTTATGCATATTAGTAAGATAAATGACTTGGTCACCAGGCTTAAAACTGTATTTATTCAGTAGCAGGATTTTTAGATATTTGTCATATCGTTTTGTCATACACCTTGTCCTATTTGGGAATCTATGTCTTGCATGCATGGGTGGCCAAATGGGTAAAAATGAGTTATATAAATGAAAGAGAGTAAAATTAAAATCCAGCATTCAGATTCTTTGGGAAAAATTACATTAGCAATGGATGACAATAACAACAATGATAATGAGTATAATAACATCTACTGGATGTTAGGTGCTAAACATATATTACTACTCAGGTAAGTAGGTCAGGCTTTCTCACAATACTCAGTTTCATGGTTATGCATAGTAAAACTACTCAGGACTTTAAATTGTGTAGCTTCATACAGACAATCTGACAAAGTTGCTTATAAAAACTAGGGCCATAAAGTCTGTATGGGCACAGATAAATGCATATCAGAATCTCATTTATTCTGGCCTGACCTCTTCTAGCAATAGACTACCACTAAATTTTGAGACACTCTATTTTAAGATACTTAAAAAAAAACACAGGATAAACCACTAATAGGATGATCAGAAGATTGAAGAACTTATTAAACTAAAGCCAAAGGAGAGCAAATAAGAATTTGAAATGTTTGAGGAGATATCAAAGAGAAGGGAAAATAAGCTACTTTGTGATGCTCTAGAACAGAGACTGATTGGTAAAATATTTAAGATTGAAAATAAGAAAGTGTATAATGACAAATGGAGATGATCCAATAAGGAAATGACCTGCTTTGAAGGATTCCAAAAGTTTATATTTGTAAATATCCACAGATTATTAGACCTGGAGAAAAGATCTGATGCTGAGTGGGAAGATGGGATTAAATAATCTTTATGTATTTTCTAACTCTAAATTCTGTTATTTTAATGTATTAAATTATATATTTAAAATAGCACTCATTTTCTGAAATTTTATAGATATAACAATCACTTGAAACTGAAAGGAAATAAATACAATATCTACAATGGTGGGAAAGTTCACTTTAGATGATTTTAAAGGAAGATTTAAAAAGGTTCTATCTAATTAATGGGTTCAAAAGAAAAGAAATTAGGTACTGTCAAATGTTGGGTTGTTCAGAAATTATTGATGCTATTTCTTCAATTCCTAAACTATTTTTAGCATATAACATTAAATGAAAATGAATTTACTTTCTGGGAAATATTCAAGCATCATTATCGCTTTAGGTTCATCATTACATCGATTCTAATGAGGTATTGACAGATAAGCTAGAGAGTGTGGATAATATATTATCAGATTAATTATCTAAAGCATTTCTGGAGTGCCACAATTTGATTAGGCAGAATTTCCCCTTAAATTCTTAGAATTTGTCAGATTCTGTCTTTAATAACTGTCTCTCCCTTCTGTACTTCAACCTGTATTCTGAACCAGATCATTCTTTTGTTTTTGAGATTTTCATTAAGAGGTAATATTTCTCTATGAAACTTTAGTAATTTATTCTCTATCACCAATATCCTATGAATTTTTTCCCATTAATTTTTGGGATTAGCAAAATTAAATGGTTATAGGTAGATAGTATCTAAGTGTAACATACAAAAATTTAACCATGTTTAGTTTATTTGTCAGATATATTACCCTTTCTAGTAATTAGAAGCTACTTTTTGGAACACAAAGATCCTTGTTCTCTGAACTTTAAACCAGACATCCAGCAGAAAGTAGAGTTAAAGCCCTCTGATACTTATGCCTAAATTTCTGAGCCTTTCTGGATTTTTGTATGCCCCAAGCTAATTAATTGTAATGATGTAAGTAAAAGGATGGGCTAAATAAAAATAATTGACACCTAATTTTACACTATCTACATGTAATATTGTGTTGTTGAGGCTGATTTATTATCTAGCAATTTGCCTTTGTCCAAAATACATAAGTAGAAAACAGGAAAATTAATTTGAGGCCACAGTAGAAAAACTGAAATATCTTTGGTGTATCTCAAGACACAACATGTTAAAGCAATGATCTGACAGGTGTTCTGGCTGACCTGCAAAGAAGCCCCTGTTCCTATTTGAATAGTGAAAGATAAAGTGCAGTCTGTTTAACCAAAGAGGGAGGAGAAGATGAAGGGAACAACATTACATTTTGAAAAGTAAAGTCTATCTACAAAAATAGTTGCCAACATTATGTCATTCTGATAAAAATATCCTCAAACAAATCAAAATAGAACTTACATCACTAGCAATGTCCCTTGAAGCTTTGGCCAGCTGTACTGAAATCGCATCTACCGGGAGATCATAGCCTTTCTTCAAAGCTTCTTCCCATCCAAGTTTATACAGTTTCTGAAAATTAAAGAAATTAATTAGCATTATTTCTTCTTTATTAAAAATCTCAATAGATTATCAAGCAGAAGTTTACTTCAGAGAATAGTTATCAGACTCTAATATCATCTACTCGATCTCTATAAAGATATTGATAAAACCCCAATAGGTTTTATAATAGAAAAAGTACTGAGGCTGTATCATGTGACCTGGCTTGATTTTCATTTTGGCTCTGAGAATCCTTAGTGGTATATTTGAACAACAATATGGTCACATCGGGTATATAAGGTACCTTTCCTCCTGCTGTTAACTACAGTCTGGTTCATTGTTCTAAAGATCAATATTGAGAAAACTAAAAGAAAATGAGATCACAAAATTTTAATTATTTAAGTGATAAAAGTAATAGATAAAATATCTTTTTCAAAGTTGCAATAAATGAATTAACCTATGTGAGTGTTAAAACTGGATAGTAACAGAAATAACAGTTATCCAGTACTTTCTATTGACAGCTAATTTTACACTATCTACATGTAAAATAGTACCAGGTACTATGCTGAGAGCTTCCTATAGAATTTCTCATTTGGTCCTCAAAGAAATCTAATGTCATAGGCACTTTTATGATTTTATTCCTAATTTTAGGAATAAGAAAACTGAGGTTTATAGAGGTAGGTGATTTGCTCAATATCAAGTAACTCATAAATGCCAAAGCCAAAACACACACCAGGTCTTTTCTTTGTGTGATGCCAGGGATTGAACCCAGGGCCTTGTGCATGCAGGACAAGCACTCTACCAACTGAGCTATATCCCCAGCCCACACCAGGTCTTTTTGATGCAATTTTGTTTTGTTTCAACATTTCCTTATAAACAAAATAGATACAGTACCTGCCTCCATGTAGCATATGGCTGTAGCTGAAGGTACATTCTGCAACTTCCCTAAGCCAAACAGCTTGAGAGTCACTCACTTCCATGGCTTAGCATTTACATCAGTTATTTACTAGTACATCATTTACAGGTTTAATAAGTCTTAAGGTTAAAACATAATAGTAATATTTATGTACTTTTACCTGACTAAATAGTGTTTGATTCTGCTTGGCTTGTAAAATATCCGGTGTGTCAGGCATCACATGGATCTTGGTCTTATCTTTATTCCAATCAATTGTGTACAAATGCTGGGAAGAGAGGAAAAAGATACATGAAATCTGAATAAACTGGGACAAACAGGAAAGAAAATAAATATACAGGTGATTTGAACATGCTTACTTAGAACAAGTAAATAATAACTAAAGTAAGATATGATTCAGAAAAAGATATTAAAAACTCAGATTTTACTTTTTTGAGGGGATATTAGGGATTGAAACCAAGGGTGCTTTACCACTGAGCCACGTTCCCCAGCCCTTTTTATTTTTTATTTTGAGACAGGGTCTTGCTAAGTTGCTTAAAGCCTCACTAAGTTGCTGAGGCTGGCCTCCAACCTGTAATCCTCCTGCCCCAGTCTCCCTAGTCACTGGTATTACAGGGATGCACCACTGCACCTGGCTTTTACAAACTTGGATCTTTAAAAAAATAGCGTTTTAGATAATTTACATCATCTAGAATGGATTGAAAGTACTTCAAGATAATCATTTTAAAATATAAGTGATTTCCCCAACTATGTATAACTCGAATGCTCTAATAAAAATATAAGTAATTTCTAATCTTACTAGAAGGGCAAGGGAAAAAAATGTGAGATGAGTATCAGAAAATGGCATTGAAAATGCTCCAGAACTATTTGCCACTTCCTGGAAATGGTAGACCCGAGTTAAATTTCTCCAACAGAAATCAAAGCTGGTTAACCTTTCCTCACTTGGGAGTTATTCGTCAGGACAACTGTTCTCACTACCTTGTTCATGGTGTGTGCATTCTGCTTGGCAAGCACCATGTCCATGGAGTCAGTCAGCTTCTTAAACTGGAAGTTGCTAGGGTGCTGGCGGTATTTCTGGTCGCTGGCATATTCAGTGGCTTTCTTGGCCTTCTCCACTTCGAGGGAACCGGCTGGACTCCAGCCAAGCCCTTTGTACCATTCATTGTAGTCCTGCTTATATTCATTCTATAAAGAGAAGAGGCAAATTCCGCTTTACCTAAATGACTTAGACACCAAAGTGTGGCATTGAAGACTGTACTCTTCCTGCCCATCTAGGAATCCAACCATGGCCCAGGTGGAGGGAACCTTACATCACTCTGGATGTGATTCATGTTCCTGGTCAGCTCAATGTTCATGGCATCGGGAAGGAGGATGTACTTGTGGATCAGATGCTTGTAGTTAGTGTTGGTGATGTTGGCTTGGGCATCCTTGGCAGCTGTGACACTGAGCATGTCTGCAGGAGTGTGGTAGCTGGTCTTTGTCTTCTCATAGTTTTTCTTGTACTCTCGGTCAGATTGCATCTTCGCTACTTGCATGGAGTGGACTAATTTGGGATCATCTTCAAGACTGCGGAAACCAAACATTTTTCCCTTCTCCTTTTCATAATTGTACTTGTATTTATACTGTGAGGAAGATATAAATGTGCGTAAAGAGCAATTCCGTGGACTAGAAATCATTCCAATATCAATGTTTTGTATTTCATTAAAAATGATACTTGTAGAGAACCCTATAGTTCACAAAACACATTCTTGACATTTCTCAAAAATACACCTGGTAAGGTAGATAGCAAAGTTCTTATTACTGCCCCCATTTATTTCATAGATGATTATGAGCTGAAACCAGAGAGATGAATGAACTTGTTGAGGTAGCTAAGGATTGGAGCCTAGGTTTTGCGATGCTGTATCACACTGACTTATACACACTGTTGTTATAAGAATAAGAAAGAATTCAGCAAATAAGAGAAAAACACAATGGTCTAAGCAGTTTAATACTGCCCTGGGGAATAGTCATTTGCTGATGAGAATAGATTCGATTATGAATTACACAGCATAATTTTAGAGTGACTTTATATTTGTAGAGTTCCACTTCTTTTAAGGCTCTCTAAATTAGCCTAACTGGGAAGAAATTTTACTACCACCCTAGTTTCTAGAGAGGGGAAATAGTAACACACATAAAGAACTGTTTCATGTAGGAAATGTATTGACAGTGCTTGCTGGTACACCGACTTTCTGGGGGTGAGGGGAGCCTTAATTCACAGAGTTCACCATTTCTGGGGTATAAATATTCCCAAGACAACTGATGTCAAGCTGCCAATGGTTTTAGCAACTGCTTTGCAAAATTTCTGATTAGTTGAAAAAATAGGCTGTCATGAGCCCAAATCATGATCATTTGTCATGAACTCAAATGATGAGCTTCCCTGCATGACACCACGGGAGACAACCTGTCAGGAAGTCATTCCTAAGAGGCAGAAGGCGAAAACAACACAAGCCTTTACCAAGACAACTTGGTGAAGGGCTTTGGTTTCTACATGTTATCGCCTTTCTAACAGAATTCAAAGTTCACCTAGATCTCCAGAGGCAGGGAGCCAAGATCTATGAGCATCATAACAGGGTTAGCAGTCTGTCTTTCAGAAAGGCCAGAGACAACACAGGAACGAGGCTAAGAGGCACATATGGAACACAGTGAGGCCACTGTTGGCAGGCATGCCATTGTTTCTCATTTTACCCATCCGTGTTTCCAGAATGCAGCCCTTATATTTTGGTTTCCTGGAAGCCCCAGCATGATGACCGCCTTCCTACACACTTACATCACTTGCAATATCTCGTGAAGCCTTTGCAGCTTTGATAGGAATCGCATCTGTTCGGAGATCATAGCCTTTCTTTTTAGACTCTTCCAAGGAAAGTTTGTAGAGTTTCTGTAATAGGCAGAGACAATAGGTTTTTTTCTAAATGGGAAAGCCTGGATTTATTCTAGAAGATTGAACTAGCTCTGTGGCAGTCTTTCAATCTGGGGCAAGAGGCTTTGTTGGTGGCTTAATGGTTGAATATCCTCATGAATAACACAAGTGTGTTTGAAAAAAAGTAATTACAAACTCAAACATATTTTCAAGAAACCACCAGAAAAAGGTAAAAGGCCCTGGTCTCTGTCAGGTTGCAAATATACATGAAATATATAAAATCTAGTAGGTTCTTATTGATGTATTTTATCTGACAAGGGTTAAAAGGAAGACTACAAAACATCAAAAGAAATGTGCATCTTCATACATCAAAAGAAAACTTCACTGTGTTACAATTGACACTTTTATTTATACAATCATGTGAATTCTATAATTTTAAAAGTCAGCAATTCCAAATCTCCGTGGAATTTAACCGAAGGGAAAAAGATGGTAGGATTAGAGGATTTCCTTGCAATTATGGTTAGGATGAGAAAGGAAATGAAATAAAACATCAATGCAGTTTCTAACAAGTGTTCCACATTCCTTGGAGAGCTTGCCCCAGTTTCTTCAAAATGCTCATCTTCCCTTTCCATTTAACCCTTCTTTTGGACTTCATGGTAGAGAGGGCTCTCTAAAAATGAGGTCCTGGGACTTTTACTTTCTTTTCCTTCCATTGGTAACCCCCACACCATCTCTTCCTGCCGAGTCTCTTAGTTACCAAGTGTCTACTCCAAAACAAAATCCAGTTACCCTTTAAATTCCTAACTGCTTATCCCAATTCCCATTGACTGGCCACTCCATCTTTTAGCAGAGCAAGATTAGAAATGGAAAGATTCTTGTTTGTAGATTTCCACTACTGTTCTTTAAACATTGACTCACATAATTGAAACAGTTCTTGATTAATTTGTTTTTACCGGTTTCAAACAGGTAACAGGAATTATACTTACATCACTCATATTGATTGCATTGGCCTTCGCCAACACAATCTGGGGGATATCAGGCATGATGTGGACTTTGGTCTTGTCAGCTTCCCATGCTTGTTTGTAGAGGTGCTAGAAAGAAAAGTATAATATCTTTAAAGGAGCTCACTTGGCACACAAATATCACTATGCAATATATTATATGCCTAATTTTTGCTTTTTTTCCTGGGTTTAAAGAAAAATTTTTAGTGAAAAAGGCGTTCATTCAAAAAATACAGCGGAGAAGATATAAGAAAGTGAAAGTATCTTAAACCCTTTATCTTACAGCCCATAGATATCATCCTAAAGTTTTCTCTATATAATACAACTCACAGTCCTTTCAAAATGTAAATCAAGTCACATAATACATGACATTCCACAGCTTGCTCTTTTACTTAATGTAGATTAGACATCTTGGAACCTTTCTAAAGTAATTGACTTCATTCATTTAAAAAGCTGCATAGTATTCCATTTGGTGGTATAATCCAATTGATTTAACCCTTTCTTCATTGATAGATATTTAATTTGTGGTTTTCAGTCTTTTTCTACCACAAGCAACAATGACAGGATATTTGGGGTGGGCCTGGAGAAACACACAGACACTCAATCAAAGAAGGACTTGCTACCCAGCTTTTGGCAAGACAGCCTCTAGCTGTCAGCTCCTAGGGCTTGCTGCCTTACCCAAGAGCATGCCCTTCCCAGATGCCCACATCCAATTACCCATCAAGCTGGGATACAAAGGCCTGTTCATTTCAGCCCATTGTGGTGCCACTTTTAACATGTGACACCTGAGAGCCCGTCATGGCACTGGCCAAGGCTTTCTCAGGTCTGTATTATAGTTCAATTTCTCTCTCTGCCCACTCTTTCCCTCCCACAGGTACTAATCCCTAAAAAAAATACCCCATTCCCCTAATTCCATCTCAATATTTTCTCTCAGAAATCCTAACTTGCAAGAATAGTTATTATACACATGTATTATGTGTATTTTTGCACAATATTAAGGATTTCTATAGGATAACGAACATCTGCATTTTTCATTTTAACAGTTATTGATTAAAATTGTGCATTAATATAAATTCCCTTTCTGATACTGTGTATGACATACTTTTTACTATTTATAAAGCTAGTAAGTTAAAAATGCTCTTTAAGTCAGGCTTAATTAAAACTCCCCAGACTAGGAGTTGGCAAACTTTTTCTGCAGAGGAACAGATAGTTACTATTTTAGGCTTTGTGGGACACAAGATTTCAACTTTGATATTATAATGCAAATGCAGCCATAGACAATATATAGATGAATAGCTGTGTTATGGTAAAACTTGCTTTACATCTGGTTATGAGGCTGAGGTGGGAGGATCAATTGAGCCACTTTGACACCAGCCTGGGCAACATAGTAAGACCACTGTCTCAAAAACAACAAAAAAGCAATAGTTTTATAACCTCTGTTTTAGGCCAGTATTACCAGTGGAATGTTCTGCAAAGATGAAAATGTTCTGCACAGTCCAATATAGTAGCCTCAGACCACATAAAGGTATTGAGTACTTGAGTACATGGTTAATGTGAATAATGAATTATTATTATTTAATTAATTTAAATATAAGTCATCACATATGGCTTGTGATTATGGGATTAGACAGTGCAATTCTAGTGGAGAGAGCAATGGCTAGTCATAAGACTCCATGTTCTAGTCTAACCCCAGCCATTGACTTTCTATGTCCTCATTAGAAGGTCCTTGTCTCTCTGGGCCACACTTTCCTTAACTCTGCAATGAGAAGATTCAACCTGATAATCACCAAGATCTCTCTCAATATCATTTGCCATTTCTATGATTCTCATTTTGGCATCATTCTCCTAAAATGTTCATTCTAACACTGAAAAAGTGAAAGTATCTAATATTTTAAAAATCTGTCTTCATAATAGTTTAGATTCTAAATTTTGAAAAGGAATACCGAGGTTTGTGCCTTGTTTAGGCAGGTCCCTTTCAAGAAGGTTGGTCTTCTTGAAAAATCTGTCTCCAGAAGAGATGCCAAAGGATTTACCCCAAGGTTGAGTGTATATAAGACAGCTGTATTTCCAGTGCAACCAGAACCATTATTTTCTCCAACTGTTTATGGTTAAGGTCTGAATACTTTTTCCTTGCTTTTGATAATCAAAAGCATTTCTAATTGTGATCTACACAATATAACCAGTGCTGCTATAATTATTTTATTATTTTTAACTTTAAAAATAGATATCTAGGGTTGATGCTTGTTGGTTTTGATACCATCTTATGGAAAATAAATATAAAAATATAGTAAGCTTTTCTAAAAGCTATTTTAGAAAGTTACTCTTTAGTTTTAATAAATGGTACAAGAAAATAGTGGTATACAATAGTGGCATACAAAACTTATTGCCATGACTATCCAGAGAAGGACCTGATTCTTCCTTTTTTTTTTTTGGTACTGGGGATAGAACTCAGGGGTACTTTACCACTGAGTTACACTCAAAGTCTTTTTAAAATTTCATGTTGAAACAGTGTCACATCTAAGTTGCTGAGGCTGGCCTTGAACTTGTGATCCTTCTGCTTTAGCCTCCCAAGTAGCTGGGATTGCCACCTGCACCAACACACCCAGCTGAGGAGATTCTGGCTCTGAATGATGCTACAGCCATGTAACCCAGGAGTTTTCTTTGATCCCATCAAAGCAACCAGAAGCACAGCTGCAAGTCCCAGCTGTTACGTGGTGCTCTGCTGGTTCAGTGCCATGAAATTCTACTCAACCTCACCTTGGACAAAAGGGACTTATTTTCAATATGTATATAAAGAAAGGATCCCTATTTTATTTTTTTACTTCAATGTGATAGGATAATTCGTTAAACAGTTGGGGGAATAATTTCTGGGTTTTTTTTTTTTTATCTTCAATGCCCTTTTTCAAAGTAAAGTAAACCTCAAGTATGATCCTTATTAACTGTGTTAGCAAAACTTGTAGATTAAATCTGACATGCCCAGATTTCCTTTGATGCATATGAAACACTGTATTATTGAAAGACTTACTTCATTCATAATTTTTGCATTATTCTGGGCCAAAACCATGTTCATTGAGTCCATCAATGTGGAATACTTCAAAGTATCTGGGTGCTGGCGGTACTTCTTTTCACTAATAATCTCCATGGCTTTCTTGTTTTTCTCAGCTTCCAGGGAGCCCAGAGGGAGCCATCCAATGCCCTTCATGAAGTCAGCATAGTCAGCTTTGTACTGATTCTGCCAAAGAAGAAGAAATGATTCAATGAGGAGAAGAAATCAGAACTTCCCAGAATCATGAGTATATATTTAATATTTCATAACTTCCACTTCAGTTTTCAACCAGCAGTGTATTTAACTTTGACCATTTTTGCCCCTTTTTATCTTTGTTTATATCTCCTTGCATGGGAAATTAAAAGTAAACAGAAATATCTTTGTGATTTGCTTCTCTTGACACTTTCATAAAGACTGGTAAGAAATACCAAGTCGATTAATTGGCCAAGAGACTATTTTCTCCCTGAGAAAGTGACTATGTGACCTCTCTTACCAAGATTTCCAAGTTCCCTTGGTAAGTAGATTACTTTTGCAAGCCCCATTTCTCTCTTTATCAGTCTTTGATCATCTATATCCAATCCAATCTATATCCCATTCCTTCAGACAACCCAGAACCCTCATTGGTTCTTGATGCAAACTTTATTCTTTTTCTTCCCAACAGCTGTACCATAATTGCTCTCATTCATTCAGGACTGATGTATCTTTCTGGCAATTAATAGTTCAGGTTTGCATTCCCACAGAGAAACGTAGGCTCGGATTGGGGCTGTCTGCTTTTGGTTGGTAATTTAAATTCATTTCTTTCAGCCACCAAATAACCTCTTTAGCCAAATTCCTGGCTCTGAACCCTTCTCTGACTTCCCTATACTCATTCCAAAAACAGCCTGTCATTGTCTCCTCGATATATCATCAGTAAGATAGACAATTGCAAAAACAGACATAAGAATGAAAGCAAGTTGGGAGCGAGGAGCTGGAGTTATTGCATTATCTGATTTCTTGCTTTCCTTTTTATTCCCCTATCAGGAGCCTTTAATGCATTTGATTCCCTTTGGTAGACTTTTTTCCTTCAACATTCTCTTCCTGAAACCAAATCTTATTTGCGCTTGCTGAATTCACAATCCAGCAATGTTCACAACAACAGCAGAAAATAAGACTTTGGTTTCTAGAGTTAATCACCATTTTTTAAAAGAAATAAATTCAACGTAAGGTAACAAATAAAACCCCTCATCGGTAATTTGCACATGATTTTCAGGATTTTAAAATGTCATCATTGATAGTCACTCACGACTTGCTTCTTTTTTTTTTTAATATATATTTTTTGTTGTGGTGCTGAGGACCAAACCCAGTGCCTCTCATGTGCTAGGCAAGCGCTCTACTGCTGAGCCACAACCCCAGCCCCAAGATTTGCTTATTATCTAGGGTAAATGTTTGTTAATGTTGTGGTTTTCACATACATCACTTTGAATCTGCATCATATTCTTGGCCAATTCAAAGCTCATGGCGTCAGGAAGCATGTTGTAGGTATGGATCACATTCCTGTAGTTGGTGTTGGTGGCCACTTCCTGAGACTTCTTGGCGGCCACCACACTGAGCATGTCTACTGGTGTGTGGAAGGATGTCTTGGATTTCTCATAGCCCTTCTTGTATTCCCGGTCTGACTGCATCTTGGCCACCTGCATGAAGTGCACCAGTTTGGGGTCGTCTTCCAGGCTCCGGAAGCCAATGTGCTTCCCTTTGGCTTGTTCATAGGCTTGCTTGTATTTGTACTGTGGAAGGAGAAGAAAGTGTGGCAATGAAAATGATGAAGGAAGGAGAACAAAGGATCATTCACAAGTCACAAGTCTTAGGTAAAGAATTTTAGAGCTCTCCTAAAGTTAGTCGGGGAGCTAAGTTTTGTGCTTTAAATTCCATCTTAGACTTGAGTCCACAGAAAGACAGTAAATCAGAGTTAATCAAAGAGATGCAAAACTAAGTTGGCTTAGGGTGTTTGAGAAAGCTCTTCTTGTCAGCTGTCCAAGCACAGAAAAAGCTGCAGGCATGAATCTTCAGGCTGCATCTTTAAAGTTCCAGAGAGCCTGGCCATGGGTCTGCTGGGTAAAAATGTGTAGACTGCACCATTACCTTTGCTTAGAGTTGTCTGTAAATAATTTGAACACCCAAAAGAAAAATTTGAAAGTAAGACTCAGCTACTTTGTACCTTAAAGAATGAATGAATGATTAGAGAGTGCTTAGACTGGGGGAAGGAAGGCATTATGGTTTAGATAAGAGGTGTCCCCCAAAAGCTCATGTATGAGACAATGCAAGGACTTTCAGAGATAAAATGAGTAGATTATGAGAGTTGTAACCTAATCAGTGGATTAATCTCCTGTTACAGATTAACTGGTGTGTGGCTGGAGGAGGTAAATCACTGGGGATGTGCCTTTGGGGTTTATATTTTGTTTCCGATAAGCAGAGCATTCTCTGCTTTCTGTTGCCATAACCTGAGGTGCTTTCCTCCACTGGGTCCTTCTACCATGATATTTTGCCTCACTTTGGTGCAAAGCTATGGGATCGGCTCTCTATGGAAGAAGATCTCTGAAACCATGAGCCAAACTAAGCTTTTCCTCCTCTAATTGTCCTTGTCAGATCTTTGGTCACAGTGACAAAAAATGCTGACTAAAACAGGTGGGAACTTGTGAGTTACATGGGATGGTGTGTCCACCAAAACTAAATGGAGTTGACCACAGCTCCGCAACACCCACAGGCACAGCTCATTTCTCTCCTTCACTGGGCCCTCAGCAGGCCCAAAGGAAACACTTACGTCACTGGCAATGTCTCCAGAGGCTTTTGCAGCCCTTATTGAGATGGCGTCAGGCCTCAGGTCATATCCTTTCTTCTTTTCTTCTTCCCAGCCAGCTTTGTATAGTTTCTAGACAATGAAACAGAAAAATAATAGCATGTTACTTGGGTTGGAATGGGGATCCTGATTCCAAAGTGGTTGGCAAGTAAAGACAGACATTCCAAAAATATTAGCTCCCTCCCACCTTCTTCCCCATCTACTTACATCACTCATGGTGATTTGGTTTACTCTGGAGAGCAAAATGTCTGGAGTGTCAGGCATGACATGAATGGTGGTCTTGTCTTTGTTCCATTTTTCAGTGTAGAGCCTCTGCAACACAAAGGTCAGTGCATGATTTTTGTAGCAGGACAAGCTTGTAATCATGCTAGCAAGAGGAAGAGAGTACGTCTCCATGGTAAAAGAAGTTAAATCTGATATGTGATATGGATGAAATAGCAAGACAGCTAAGGAAAATGGATATACAAGAAATATAACCATCAAACCAGGGGAGCCCTCTTCCACTGGAGAAGCAAATGCCATCCTGCCCCCACCTCACAACTCTATGGAGCTCTGTAGTTCTGTTGCCTCTGTAACATGATGGCGAGAGATGGCCTGAGGTCAACAAGAAGGCTCCCTGGACATGATGAAAGCTATGGAATCCCCTATCAGCACCACCAGAACCATCAGAAAGGTGAAGGTACTGAAGTAGCTTACAGGTGCACAGCTGGGCTCAATAGGAGGAGCTCTTGAGGGCTCCCTGCTGGGGCCAGCTGGTGGCTCTTACCTTATCCATAGTCAGTTTGTTGCTCTTATTCAGTGCCTGTTCCATTGTGTCCATGGAGTACGTGAACTTCAGCTTCTCAGGGTGCTGTCGATACTTCTTCTCACTAAGAATATCTCCTGCTTTCTTTGCTTTTTCCACCTCCAGGGAGTCTATGGGGACCCAGCCGATCCCTTTCATCCAATTGGTGAAGTCAGATTTGTATAGATTCTTTACAACAAGAATAAAAATTTTCCTTTCAGAAAAAAGCCAGGGCTTGCATTTCTTTGTCTACATGACTTATTCATTAATGAATCGGGGAAAAAAGGTGAGGGAAGAGTGGAGAGGAGGGAGAATGCCTGATTTTTACTCCCTATGGTCTTTTGGGATAAAAAAAAATTTACAAAATGCATCATATGTTGGGTCAAACATCTAAAGTTTAAAAAAGTATTATTTTTATATATCAGATATGTATGTTACAACATCAACGAAGCTACATGTAGTTCAAATACAACTTCAAGTTCTGCAGGAGGTCCCTGGAGAACAGTGAGCCCAGCAAGGAGTGCGTGGCTTTCCTTCCTCTCTCCCAGCTCTAGAAATGGACTATGAGCTCTGCTGCCATCTGGTACTTACGTCACTCTGGATCTGCATGGCATTCCTGGAGTGTTCCACATTCAAGGCATCAGGCAGGAGAGTGTAGTTGTGGAAGGGTTGCTTGTAGTTGGTGTTGGTAGCAACCTCCTGGGATTTCTTTGCAGCTGTCACACTGAACATATCCAAAGGTGTGTGGTACCTGGTCTTGCTGGCTTCGTAGCCTTTCTTATACTCACGATCGGACTGCATTTTGGCCACATTCATGTAGTGAACCAGTTTAGGATCATCTTGAAGACTGAGAAACCCAATTTGCTTGCCTTTGGCTTTCTCATAGGCCTCCTTATATTTGCACTGTTTGAAAGAGAAGAGCAAAGCAAAGTTTGATAGCGTAGATGTCAATGTCTGATAGAAACAGAATTTACATAACAAGCAAAAGCCAAGTTCAGTTTTAATCCAGGTAACATCTAAACTTATTTATTTATTTATTTTAGTATTTTAAAAAAACTAGCAAAATATTTCTAGTGGATGGTCTTGGCACCTGTTCAGAGGATAATTAAGAATTGAATACTTCGTTTGTATCCAGATTGTTCACCAGTAGATTCTCTGAATATGCTTAAAGGTTCCTCAAAAGTTTGTTAAGTGTTTGATGTGTGTTTCTTATCTTGTTTCTATTAATTTCCATTACCTTAAAGTAGTTGTGTAATCATGAGTAAATTTCTGCAAAGCTGTAATACAAACTATTCAACTTGAACAAATTTTTACTCTATTGAGGCATTTATATGAATTCATTGAGAAAATATAATTTAATCTGTAAAGAGTAATTAATTAATATCTTATTATTTAATTTATAATTCTTCCTGGTTTTTATTTCACTTGATTTTTTTTTATTTATGGAAATTAAGAAATTAAAACAGCATATTCTAATAAAATACTTGGAATTTCTTTAAATTTAGTGATATTTTGGTAGGTCAAGACTTTTTCTGGGCAGGATCCAAATAAAAAGGAGTTCTTATGTTCATAATATATTAATGAGAGCTTCAACTTTTTCATAATGTGGAAAAAAAAGGTTTTTTTCTTGATAATAGTTATGTTGAATTTTTAAAGATATCTTATGTGAAGCAATGTAAAAAACATCATTGGCATTTAGGATATTAGGAAATATTTGTATATTATAATTTCTTTGCTCCCTTATATAATTCATAGTCTCATCTTCAATGTACAGATTTTTAAAACATATATGTGTGTGTGTATGTGTGTGTTTGCGTGTGTATGTGTATAAATATATATATGCATATATATATTGCATATATATATATATATATATATAGAGAGAGAGAGAGAGAGAGAGAGAACTATTTTCAAATTAGACTTACATCACTAGCAATATTCCTTGAACTTTTTGCAGCAACAATTGGAATAGCATCTGGTCTCAAATCATAGCCCTTAGCAAGGGTTTTCTTCCAGTCTGCTTTATAATGAGCCTTCAAAAATAGGAAAGATTATTTATTATTTGACATTATAAAAAGAGGAATGAAAGAGGATGCCAAAATATTTCTTATAAAACATGTCATAACACATCTCTTCCTATGAAGAGAATTCAGTTAGGCTTATTCATTCATGTTTTACATACATATTAGATTCTTTTTTAAAATGTCAGTAAACTGTACATGCTATAATCTTAACTGATTAAAAACTGTATATGTTGGAGTAACAAAGGAATAAAAAGATAGTTCCTTGAATGTAGGATAACAAAAATTTTTCATTTATTTTTTCACAATTTTCTATATTTTACATAATAATAATAAGTGTGTAATACATTGGGCAAAGTTTTCATAATAAAGCACTTCAAACTTATAGAGAGACATGGATGCTAAAATAAAAAAATCAGATGTTAATACTACCCAGCTTTAACTGACCTTCATGCTTAAATATTACTTAAAAAATTAGGAAAGAAATTTCAAATGAACCAAAAATCTGGAAATTATTACCAAAAAATATATTTGGAGATAAACCAGATAAACCTAAAAATGTTAGAAAGAATGACTAAGCCTACTTCTAAAGAAATGAACAGTTATATCTGGGTTTGATTATAATTTAAAAAAAAAAATTTATAGCTATAGATGGACAGCATGCCTTTGTTTGTTCAGTTTTTTTATGTGGTGCTAAGGATTGAACTCAGTGTTTCACACACGCTAAGCAAGCACTCTGCCATTGAGCTACACATAGTCCCAGCCATGATTATAATTTTATATCAGAATTTTCCAACATTCTTTTTCTAAAAAAGAGAGCCAGGCACAGTGGTAAACACCTGTAATCACAGCTACTTGGAAGATTGATACAGGAGGATTGTAACTTAGTGAGACCTTCTCTCAATATTAAATTTAAAAAAGGGCTGAGGATGTAGCTCAGTGGTATAGTGCTTGCCTAGCATGCATGAGGCTCTGAGTTTGATCCCTAGTACCATAATAAATAAATAAATAAACAAACAAATAAGTAAGAAACAATTCATATAGTGAATTTAAACATCATCACCATTTATGTGTCTAGACTACCTAAGAGACAGGCTAACTACATTTAAAAAAAACAGAGTTTCTGAAGAAAATTGAACTCTTGGAAATTTCAATAAATAATTGAAACAAAAGTTATACTAAGAAATATTAACCTTTACTACTGACTATGCATTTCTGTATTTTACAATCTTGTCTATCTCATTTTGTTCCTTTTTTCCCTCCAAAATGAAATACCAATTCCTAGACAGATTTTACCACCCATCAATGAGTCACAGCCCATAGTTTGAAGAAGTCCACATTAAACAAAATTTTATGGTGACCTTTAGTCACATGTTGCATGATAAAGGGCTCAGTTTTCTCCCTTTGAACTACTCAGTGAAAAAGTTATCCAGAATAGGAAGGAGAAGCTCACATAAGCAATATGGCACCACGTCAAATACTCAAATACTCACATCACTCATGTTGAGGGCATTGACCTTGGCTTGAATAAACTGAGGCAATTCAGGGTCAATAGTGTACTTGTGCTTCAGTTTCTCCCCCTCTACCTTGTAGTTCAACTGCAAACAAAGGAAGAAGTGTGCAGATGTCATCAGCTGACGTGACATGAGTTTCACCAAGCACTCACTTCTTTGCAAAAGAAGGCTTTCATTTGTGATTTCCACATACATGGTAATGCCTTACTTTGGCAGGGAGGGGACTCGTGTAACATAATTGGTGTTCTCGTTCCACTGGACTGTAGCTAGGCAAGGTGGTAGCTCTGTGTTTAAAGTGCTGAGAAAGGCAGACCTGACCTCTTGAAGTTTATAGTCTAGTAGAGGATATAGATAATAAACATGTGAACTATAAACTATAGCTAAAATTTATGATGTGTTGTAAATGGAGTAACTATAGGAGAGGAACAAGGATGTTCATAAAGGTGCTCTGCAGAGGGGACATTTATACTCAGATTTGGAGTAAGGGCAAAAATGCATTCAAGACACTCAGGCTGGAAATGGCCTGGCCACCTTGAAGATCTGAGAGCAGCCTGAGACCTGGGGCTTGAATGTGCCCAGGGCAGCCAAGAGGGTTAGCCAGGTGGGACAGGCCCTGGAGTGGAGAGAACTTTCAGTCAAGTTAATGAGTTAAGTTTTAAGTTTCAAGGGCAGTTCCTAAGAGGTGTTACATATAAGACCTCTGGCTATTGTTTGAGACACCAGGCAGATAGTCCTGACTATAGGTGTTGCAGTCATCCACATGAGAGATTAGGAAGCCAGATGTAGGATGGTGGCTGCGTAAGCACAAGCATCCAGTGAGGTATTTAGGACCTTGACTTAGCAGATATACAGGATGAGGGGCTTCCCAAGGAGGTCTTACAGGTGACCACCACATTTCTGGCTTCAGTAACCAGGCAGACACTGATGGCATTTTTTAGGACAGGGAAGACTTAATATAGTGAGAATATAGTGTTCCTAGCTAACTAGAAAAACTCAATGAGAATTGACACCACCGTGCTTAGTACAAAATAAATCAAAAGAAACTACACCAATTTATGACCATTGAAATGGAATTCAATCCTTAAACATCTGCAGTAATACAAGGGCAGGGACTACCCTAAGATGTCAAGTCCACTAAAGTGTTCCCCAGTTTCCAAAACCTAGGGCTAAGAACAAAATCATTTTCTTTGCTTTTTACTTACCTCTCTCCTTCTGATGTAGGCATTTTAACAGAACTCTGAAATTACTAAATGATTCAAGCCCAAAGCATTATAATTAGCCTCTGACTGAAAGAGCAAGGGTCCTGGAATCTGAAGTAAGACCCAGGATGCCTGCAAATAAACTGCCTATCCCCTCCCCAGAGGCCTTATCCTAAGATTGCCTCTCAGAGCATGAAGCTGTTATACAAGGGAATTAGGACATTATGCTTCTTTCCTGTGTACCTGGGTAGAACTGTCGCAACTCAGACAGAGTAGCAGATGATAATAGTAATAATGTCATTTTACCATGTATAATGGGTGAAGGTCTGTTTATAAATATCACAAACAGTTAACATTTGGAAAATAAATTTGGAACATACAGGTTTTCCCCTGACTGTTTTTACCTGTGTTTTATACCTCTGAAAGTAGTTTATTAGTTAGCATAGATGCATCCTCATGTATTAAATTAAGGATAGTGGAGTGGCTGTCACAGGGGATTATTCATAAACAAATCCTTTGAAGGGAAGCCGCTTACATCACTTAGCTGCTTTGTGTTCTGCTGAGCCAAAACCATGCCCATGGAATCAGGCACACTTGTGAACTTGATGGTATCTGGGTGCTGTCGATACTTCCTCTCATTTAGTGCATCGCCTGCTTTCTTGACCTTCTCGACCTCCAGAGAGCCAATAGGGATCCATCCAATGCCTTTGAAGAAGTTGTTATATTCGTCTTTATATACATTCTGTAAAAGAAGAAGCTCATGTGAAGAGGCATCCTAAGGAATATTCAAGGGATGTTTCTTAGGTTTGCATTTCTATCCAAGGAAAATAGACAGCAATTCTTTCAGTATGCTCATGTCTGACCATGTCTGTCACAGGGATTATTACCTGGAATTTGATGAGAAGAAAAAGCAGTTCTGTTGTTAGAGTGCATTATACTGCACCAGAAGGGAATCTAGGTCATATATTTCCATGGGTACTGCTAAAAAAATTTTGTCTCTTATATGACAGTAAATTGGACTTTCTTTTAGATTTCACTGAAGACTCGAAAATTTTTGAGTTTCATCTACACTGTCTACCTGAGCTATTCCTGATCTAGCTGGGTAGAAAAATTTTTATGCAGCACCAATAAGTGAGTACCCTTTCTTCCCTTTACAGAAAACAATTCTTACAGAAATCTGGCTTCTGCAGAAAGAAATGCCCTGAATGTTAAACACCTCCCTGTGCGGCTCTCCATGAATCATGCTGCAAGCACAAAGCCTTCCCAGTTCATTTTAGATGACTCATTACATGGATTTACATGGTTGACAGTGTGACCTTGTGTTAAAAAAAGAAGAAGAAGAAGAAGAAAGAAAGAACGAAAGAAACCTTCCTAAATTCAGAAAGCATCAATAATTCTCCTCTTTGCATTACACAGCTATCACCTTAGAAGCAAGCCCACAGAAGCACCTCTGGCTGAGAATCAAGGTGGCTTATGCAGTTAATGGAAGGCAGTTTTACCTTTCATCCATAATTTAACAAAGACAGTGTCAATTATTATAAGCACAAAAAGCCAGCAAAAATATAACTTATCTACCATGCCTTTTTAAAACAAATGTTGCTTATATTAAAGCGCATTTTTAAAATATTGCATCGGAAGCCTAATAAAATGGAGAAAAATGATCACCCTCTAAGTACAAGGATCTCTGGGTCTGTCATGATATACATACTTACATCACTCTGAATTTGATTTGCATTCCTAGTGTGCTCGAGACTCATGGCATCAGGTAGGTATGTATAATGATGCAATGGCTGTTTGTAGTTGACATTGGTAGCCACATCCTGGGCCGTCTTTGCAGCTGTAATGCTAACCATGTCCCCAGGTGTGTGGTAGCTGGTTTTGGTATTCTCATAGTTCTTCTTATATTCACGGTCGGACTGCAACTTTGCCACATTCATATAGTGGACAAGCTTGGGGTCATCCTGGAGGCTTCTGAAACCCACATGCTTTCCCTTTGACTTCTCATAAGCTTCTTTGTACTTGTACTGCAGAGGCAGAATTTGGTTAGCAAATTGTTTGATAACAAATATCTATACTAAGCACTGGGAATACAAGGGACAGCAATTACATTCACACAGAGAGGCACTGGGAACATCATGACATTTTGGAAGAGCGATCAAGAAATGCAAACCACACCTCGCCTTCTTCAGAAATTTCAGAACTCAGCTGGGATTTCAAGAGAGCGTTATGATAAATTCAAGACCAGCTCTCTTCCATTGCTTTGACTCCTATAGGTGATTTGCATGTAGAACCATAGTTAAAAACAACTCAATTTCCACACCTAAAATGAACATGTCACCTTCTAAATATAAAACCAATATATCTTGGTTTCACAGGGATGTGAATCCTCCTGATTCAATATGTGATTTCACATCATGAATGTGAGTATTAGCTATGCAGCCTTTGCCTACCTACTGATCAAAACAGTCCCCTTCCAAACTCAGAGATGAAACAGCTATGAATGAATTAAGGGGCTACAGTAAGGGCAGAAACTGCTGCCGGTTTTTCTCGTCAGTAAAAACCTATTCTAAAAAGCGAATCTGTTCAAAGTTTATCACTGCTGGGATCAGCAATGGGATGTAAATTGAGCTATCCTATAATAGGTCAAAACCTCAATTTTTGTGTGAGGGAATTCAAATCGACCTAAACCCTACAGACACTGAGCTCCTGCAGTGTAAGTATGCATTGTTAAACAAGGGTTTAGCAGGTGCAAGCAAGGATTATCAAATGATCACTAGGCATGTAGTGAGAACATTGGCAATTGTCCCCCCACACAAAAAAGATATACTTCAAAATTTTGTGTTTGACTTAACACTAGAAATGTATTTCATAGCAATGTGCATTATGTGCAAAGTCTTGAAGATGTTTTCAGTACTGTTCCTACGGGGAAAGATGTAGAGGCCTTATGCCTCCATCTCCTATGTGGGCTGTACACATGGTTGTTTTCTTTCTTAAACCAAGATGGTAGCCCCTGGAATAGTGTGTGACAGTGAACCCTGCAACACATGCAAAATTTTTGAGAGGTGTGGTGGCGCACGCCTATAATCCCAGCAGCTCAGGAGCCTGAGGCAGGAGGATGGCGAATTCAAAGCCAGCCTCAGCAACTTAAAGCACTAAGTAACTCAGTGAGACCCTGTCTCTAAATAAAATACAAAATAGGGCTGGGAATATAGCTCAGTGGCCAAGTGACCCTGAGTTCAATCCCCAGTACCCTCTCCCCAAGAAAAGACAGGAATAAGAGTATATTTTTTAAAAAAAAAATTACAGATGAAATGGGCATCAATTTACCTGTCTCAAAATGTTATGCTAAATTAGTGGGCTTTAAAAATTTTTGGTTTATAAAATATGTACATTTATATAATGTCTTTTCAATCTTTTAAATGTAATTATAATGCAGGCAGTCATTTGAATTTAATGTGTTAGTGTCACTCAGGGTGTTCCCAATGAAAATAAATGTGGGTTGTCAGGGAAATGTGTCAGCAAAGGTAATTTGGGCTATGAATCAAGGGAGAATGCCACTGTCAGATTTATGACAGCTCTACCAAGTGGGGTCAATCGAAAAGAATAAAAAAATGTTGAAAAAGTGACAGGTTTTCAAAACAATCTTTTGTGGAGAATGCGAATGTCATTAATTCAACATATTGTTTTCAATGTGGTATCCATTTAAACAAGCACACATCTGATTACTTCTTAGAAAGGCAATCACTCAAATTTCACCTAAGACTTTTACTCACATCGCTGGCGATGTTTCTTGATGACTTGGCTGCAGTGATGGGGATAGCATCAGCCAGGACATTGTTGCCCTTGGCTATTAAATCATGCCAGTCCCGTTTATAACAGACCTAGGATGGAAGAGCAAACAAGGGTGTCAGCATGCTGTGCATTAAACAATGGGGGTTGTTTTGTTCTTTTCCAGAAGTAAGCTAAAGGAGTCCCCTCTTGCACACCCTCTTCTAGGAAATCACAGGAGCAAAGTGTCACCCTTTGTGTTTAGCATGAAACTCCTGGACTCTGCACTTTATTCACCCAACGCTGGTGTTGGCACATACTGAAAAGAGATCCTGAAAAGCTGGAATAGATCCAGGGGAGAGTAATGAAGATTCTGGAAACCCTGGTATGTAAGGTATGAAAATGAAGCTGTTCAGTCTCATGAAAGGAAAGTCAAGAGAAGACCCAGTGATCAGCTTTAGAAATTTTAGGGTTATTGTGAAAAATAAAATAATGATTTCATTTATTTTCATTTTTATGGAGAGTAATAAGCTCCCCCATAAGCAAAACTAGGGAAACTAAGTAGAAATTTTAGGGAAATACTTAAGAAGAAGGCAATGTCCTGTGGTTTTCCTATATTAAAAAGGGCCAACTCAAGAGGCAAAGAACATTCCCATAGATCCTCCCCTTACTGGGGGCCATGTGGGAAACTGAGCTACTTAATTATCAAGCCATTCTCTTATTCTAAAATTCTGTTGTTTTATTGTCAGCTCTGAGTTTCACACACTAAAGGTTCTACTTACATCACTGATATTGTAAGCATTGCACTTAGCCTGGATGAACTGTGGAAGATCAGGGCTCATAGTATACTTATGTTTCATGTCTTCTCCTTTCGCTTTATATAAGATCTGCAATACACAGACATGAAAATAAAAAACTTTACACATCATGCTAAAAGAAAAAGGTCCATCAAGTGCACACTTAAAAGGAGTTAATCCTAACACAATCTCCCCTATTTGTGTTGTTAAAAATCACCAAAGGCATTTTCTTACGTAAAAAAAAAAAATCTTATTATCTTTAGGACTATTCAATAATTATTTATGTTAAAAGAGCAAAAAATCTTTTAAGTACATAGAAATCTTTGGCTGCCAGAGATGACAGGAAAGTCAATCCAAACATGAAAACTTCACATGAATAACAAAATTCACTAAAGCCAGATGACTTTATTTTCTTGCCTGTGGAGTTAATAGCTCTAAAAGTTTTGTTTTTGGTTTTTGTTATTTTTAGGGTTTTTCATTCTTAGAGAGGAAATAGCAGTTAACTGAGTCTTTTATTTCTGTCAAAACCTTTCCCATTCTATCAGTATATGCATATAATATTTTTCTCATAATGGGCAGGTGCTTATACATGAATCTGGTACTCTCAAAAGGTTTATCATTTTACATTTATCCTATTTTGTCATTGTAAAAATTACATACACTTTTCACACAAAAAAATCGAAGTATCTGACATTGCAATCTTATTGAACCCTCTTGGTAATAGTGAATAAACGAATATTTCCTAAAACTAAAATACAGCCAGAATGGTAGATAGATTTTGTCTCTCAGTTGTCATTTTCTTTATACGTCCACTTCCCAGGGCTGACTATGTGAAATATCTTACATAGACGGTGTGTATATACCACAAGTAAAACAATACACGGTTGATTTTCAAATCAATGCCCGAATACCAAATCATTTATTTTAGGAATCCAAGAATCCTCTTTAATTTCTCACTGCCTTTAGAAACATTATTTAAACATTCCCCAAATTTCATGATTTTATCTTCTAAACATTTCCTTTACTATCATTGCTACTGCCTTAGTTTTTCAATGAAGTCTTCCCTCTGCTTTTTGCAAGATGTCCAATTCAAATGTCTGTCTCGGATCTCTCTCCTCTCCCTTATGGCCTCCACGTGTTTTTTTCTTTTGCTGGAGTTTTATATTTTATACACGACCTAATGATGGGACTCCATGGATTAAAAATCTCTAACATCTTCCACCTCCCCCATAGTTTTCAGCCTCTACAAATTAGCATACAGGAGACTGACCATCAGGCTGCAGTCCTGAGCTCTTTCCTGTCCTGGATTCCCTCCTTCCTCCCTGTCTTTGCTGTGCTCCTTTTGTCAGGAGTGTGTCCTTCCCACATTTACCAGGAAATGTCTGGTAGGAGTCACCCCCCACTTTGCTTGTTTGTACTTAACAGCTGCTTCTCCCACAGTTTTCATCTCCATATGGCAACCCTGCTTCTATAAATGCTTTTTTTCTTATGTTCTCGTCCTATATTCTTGCTAATTCTTTTTTTTTTTTTTTTTTTTTTTTTTTGGTGTGGGGAGGACAGTACTGGGGATCACACCACGGCCTTGTGCATGTGAGGTATGTGCTCTACTACTGTGCTCCATCCCCAGCCCTCCTTAATTCCTGTATCTCACTAATTAATCTTCATCAATTTTATCTTTATACCACTAGGACATAATACAGTTTCTGGCACATGGTAGGTGTGCAAAAAAAAAATCATTAAATGAATTAATGAGTGAATGCTTTTTGATATTCTTTTAACTCTTCTCTATGTCAAACTTTTCCTTAGAGGATTTTGACCTTAGCCAGATCATATATATTGCTCACAGACAGGCAGACAACACAAATCTCCACCAAGGCATGAGTTTAAGTGTCTTTTTTCATATGCTGAATTCTGAGAAGCAAAACATACATTCATTTGTAGTATTTCACCATATTAATGTTTTATATATGAAAAACAAATACGAACAATTTAATATAGAATAAAAATCAATGAATTTGTCACAATAGCATGTCTTTGATTTAAGCTTAAATTCTGTGTGTGTATATATGGGTAGTATTAGAATTTTTTGCACCAAGTCCAATGTACCCAATAACAAGGTCTTTTCAAGGCAGATTTCTAAAAAAGTTTAAAGAAAGGTAAAGGAATAAATTTTTAAGAAAAAAGAAAATTTTAGTGCCTGACCTAAAAATAACTGTAAGGTTATCTTTAAATTAAATACACAATAAAGTTAAAATGAAAAGATACTGGTACAGAGGAATAAAAGCACCAGGCTGCCAGCTATCCCTTCCACACCTTCTGCCCGCTCTTTGTACTCACATCGCTGACTTGCTGTGTGTTCTGCTTTGCCTGGACCATTACTGGGGAGTCCACGATGCTGGTAAACTTGAGGGTGTCGGGATGTTGCCTGTACTTCTTTTCATTCAGGGCATCTCCAGCCTTTTTAACTTTTTCTAAGTCGAGACTGCCAATAGGTATCCAGCCGATGCCTTTCATCCAGTTGTTGTAGTCCTCCTTGTAGGTGTTCTACAGCATGGGAGAAGAGAGGCGTGAGGACCTGGCAGGCTCAGAACCGAAGGGGGATTTCCTCGTGGGAGCACCTGTCACTTACATCACTCTGGATCTGCATCATGTTTTTGGACAACTCCAGGTCCATGGCGTCGGGCAGGTAGGTGTAGTGATGGAGAGAATGCTTATAGTTGACATTGCTGATGACATCCTGAGCTTTCTTGGCTGCCACGACATTGAACATGTCGTGAGGTGTGTTGTACTTGGTCTTCGTCTTTTCATAGTCTTTTTTATATTCCCGATCGGACTGTATCTTGGCCACATTCATATAATGAACCAGTTTGGGGTCATCTTGGAGACTTTGGAAGCCGACCATCTTCCCTTTAGCTTTTTCATAATCTTTTTTGTATTGAACCTATTGGACACAGAGGAGAGCATATTTTAAAAGATTTTACTGAGCAAGGAGACCATGATTCAAGTTAATTAAGCTTTCTATAAATTACTATTCTTTGATCAACAATTAGCTAGTTAGTGTGCATATAGTTATCCTCCAGGAGAACCATTTCCAGGATCCTACCCACCCCACCCAAGATGACAAAAGCAAGTCCCTTTTATAAAATGGCACAGTACTTGCATATAACCTGTGGATACCATCATTTATACTTTAAATCATCTCTAGATTATTTATAATACCTAACACAATGTAAATGCTATTTAAAAAGCATTAATTGGGGCTGGTGTTGTGTGGCTCAGTGGTAGAGCGCTCGCCTAGCATGCACGAGGCACTGGGTTCAATCCTCAGCACCACATAAATGTAAAATAAAAATATTGTGTCTACCTAAAGCTAAAAAATAAATATTTTTTTAAAAAAGCATTTATTTAGGAAATAATGATCAGAAAAAGGCCCTTACATGTTTAATATGGATGCATTCCCCCGACCCCAGCACTGGGGATTGAACCCAAAGGCAATCTACCACTGAGATACATCATCCAGCTCTTTTTAGTTTTTTATTTTGAGACAGAATCTCACTAAGTTGCCAGTTTGGCCTTGAACTTGCAGTCCTCCTGCCTCAGCCTTCAAAATAGCAGGGATTCCAGGTATGTGCCACCACGCCTATCTTTTTTAAAATATTTTTAATCCAAAGTTGGTTGAGTCTGTGGATATGGAATCCAAAGAGATGAAGGGCCAACTGTACTTTGAAATGTAGCCTGGTAATATAAAAATGTTTAGAATCCATTTGGGTGTCCATAGTTTCTTCTGCCCAAGAGAGGTTGGGATGGGGATGCTACCATATTCCATATCAGTGATAAGTCTCTATAATGTTCCAGTCCATTTAGACATCAGGAGAGAAGAATGGAAAGTTAAATATCTCACTATCTCTTCCAATTGGGTTGAAGACCCAAGTTCCTGGCTGTTTGATTAGCCATAATTTAGTAACAGAAATTTGATGTTCCTCATTACTCAAAGGGAGACCCAGAATGAGCCAGTAGTGGTGAATGTTAATGGGCTCCAAATAATAAAGAGAGGTGAACTGAGTATCCCTGGGGAGAACTGGAGAGGACCCTGAGGAACAGAGGCAGAGATGAGGGAATATTTGTGGGGCATAGTGTGGTAGAGGAAAACACCCACAGAGAAAGGGTTAGTGGGAAATTCTGGGTGGTGGGGTCTCTTAGGACAAGGATATTGTTGTTTAATTGTAAAGTATCTACATTGGTGCAATGCAAATCTCTAGTTGTGTCTGGTTGGACATAGTTGTGCTTGGCATTTTCAAGGAAATCAAAACCAAAGGGCTCTTCCATCTCTGAGTCATGCAGAGCAGAAAGAGAAGTAGATCTACCAGAGGTGAGCTCAGGTGAGCTCAAGTAAAACTATCCTTTGTAATCTAGGAGCCAGAGGTGATGGCAAAAGCAAAAACCTCAGTGTTTGTAGTATTAGTGGGGGTGGGGATTCTATTTCCTATAGGACAACAGGTGGGGTCATGAACCAATTTCATTTAAATCTGAAAGAGCAAAAGTGACTTCAGTTCACATCTGGGAAAGAAAATTATTATTATTATTTTGGCAGTACTTGTGGATGCTAAAGCACATGCTCTGCTACTGAGTTGCATTCTCAGCTCCTTAAAATTCTTTCCTTTCATGGAAACTAATGACTCCTAGGGGATATGAAACTGGAGGCCAATTCACCAGTCTCTAGACATAATGAAGGAAAAAGAGAGAAAAGGGAAAGAGGGCAATCACATAAATTAGGAAAGTTTAAAGATAAAATTTTACCATCAGGATGACTTAAATGGTAAATTGCTTCTTCATTTCCATAAGAGAGGCAATGTGAATTTGGGCAGAAATGTAGATAATGATCTTAAAAGAAGGGCCCTGATGAGAACTCATCAGAAGGTTACCCTAATCCTGTCCTAAAAGATCATTCATATCTGAACTTTCTTTCCTGAACAGTTTTCAGCCAGATTTGCTTCTGTCCAGGGACTTCTGGCCACCCATCTGGCCTCTAAACCCCCTACCTGTGTTTTCTAGTTACACATGTGGCCACAGCTGGACTTACGTCACTCGCCGCGTGCCTGGCCGCTTTGGCAGCTTTGATGGGAATGGCGTCAGTTCTCAGGTCATACCCCTTCTTGCTCAAGTCCTTCAAGTCTGCCTTGTACATGTTCTGAAAGAAAACCATCATTTGAGTTTCACCGCAAGGTTCACGTTAGCAGAGGTTGGAAACACGTCAACCTGAGTCTACACGCGCACCTCGCTGATATTATAGGCATTCACTTTAGCTTGAATGAACTGCGGCAGGTCAGCTGGCAGGTTATATTTGTGCAGAACTTCCTCTCCTTTGGCTTTGTAAGCAATCTAGAAGGAAAAAAAGTCTATAAATAAATCAAATAAACCTTTAGGAGAAATAAGCATTTAAGATCATAGGAAAATAATTTCAGCAGGATCATTTTACACAGGGGTGGTTTTAGGAAAGGCTCTCTGTACTGTCCATATTCATCTGCACATACCTCTAGGCATTCAAGGTCACAAGTGCAGTTGCAAAGGGTCCTATCTCAGTGCTGCCTCAGTCTTGGCAAAGATTCCTTGGTATACTTTCAGACTCTCAGGACCTACCTAGAGGGGCACCTGGTGGACCTTAGCCCAGGAAGGTGACCTGATGAAAATGTTAACTGCAGACACTTTTCTGCACATAGGAAAGGCTAACAGGGGGAAATACACCAGCCACTTCCATGGGTGACTAAAGGGATTTAGGGATGTTTTTGTCTCTATGAATTTTGTTCTAAATCTGACTTAAAACATACTTCTTCCATTTGATGCGGTGCCTATATTTATTCTTTCTGTTCATTAAGAGAAGTCCCTCATACCTTTTCCTTAGAGTAATGCCAAGGGATGAAACAATAGTCATTATGTACAGTATTGTATACATAATTCCCTGAAGATCTGAATGAGGTCTGCTTTATTAATGAACAGCTGGAAAATTATGCAGTTTCTCATGTCAGCAAGGCTCTTTAGGTTGTGTAATGCTGCAAGTGGTCAGTACATTTGAAATACAAACACATTTATATTAGTTAACAGTGGTCAAAATATTGATAGATGAACACTTACATCGCTCCTCTGGGCCTGGTTTATTTTAGACTGTACTATAATCGGAGCATCTTCAATTGAGGTAAACTTGAGTGTGTCTGGATGTTGGCGATATTTTTTCTGTTTGGTAAATCAAAAAGAGGAGATTGTGTTACTTTCACTGAAGTCTAACGTCTCAAAATCTTTGAACTTTATTTTGGAGAGAAAATGTAAAAATGTAAACATATCAGAGTGTTGATTGGCTTGGACAAAAAAAAGAATACAATACAAAATTAATGTTTTTAAAAAATCATTTTCATTATGGGTGGTTTGGGACAATAGACCATATAACTCTCAGGAACTGGACTTACACTGCTCCCTCAATTTCTTGCTTCTGACAAGAAAAAAGGTACTCTGAGCTACACAGGATCCAAAACATCACAGAATTTTCTGAAGGATTAACAGATAAGCAAACAAGGAGATTTGGGTTTCTTTGCATGACACTGTCAAGTTCTTAGGAATGTCACTCAGCTGGTGTTACTAATGAGACAGCAGACACTTGCTTTGCAAGCCTTGCTTTGGTTTAAATATAGGTTATCACTGAAGGGCTGAAGAGGCCAAGAAAAGAGACTCTTGGAAGGTAGCCCAATTGGGAACTGGCAACTTTTGGCCACTCTTATTCCCATATCTTCTCTATTTTCCCAATCCTTATCCTTTGTGTGTCTCATACACCCGACTGCTGCATACATAGTAACAACATTTTTTCAACTTTGGACTTCTGAAAAACCACCAACCCAAACACCTTTTTCTTGAAAATTCCAAGCAGGCAAAGTTGTGTTTTATTCTTTTTAAATTAATTAATTAATTAGTTAGTTAGTTAGTTTGTAGGCAAGCACTCTACCAACTGAGCTATATCCCCAGTCTGGCAAAGTTGTTTTTGCCAAAACCAAACAAAAGCACAATATAAGAAAAATTAAAACTTGAGCCTGAAGGACAACTGTTACTCAGCTCCTCTGTGCTTTATGAAATCTGTTCTCCCTGATAGACATGTCCACCTGACAACCAACAGTAGCAGTTTTTGGTCTTGACAGAGAAGGGACAAATAACCATGTTGTCTTAAGAGCCTGAATTTTGAAGACTGTTCATTCCTAGACTGAAAATAATTTGCATGCTACTTCAGATCCACCAAGAATACAAGATGGCGTATAATTCTTCAAATAATATTTGTGTACCAATTTCTTTATTCAAAATCATCACTAACTGGAAATAATCCACGCATTCACCATCTGGTTAAGAACTCATCAACATGTGGTATATCCATACAAAGGATTACTACTTAATTAAGAAAAAGGAATGAATTTTAAATAGACAGAAATTCGAATAACCTCAAAACCATCATGATAAGCAAAAGAATCCATATTAAAAAGAAAAATTTAGAATAGTTAAAACTATAGAGACAAACATCTCAGCTATTGCCAATTGTATTTTTTAGAATGGTTGCAAATATGGAGACAGAAAGTAGATCAGCTATGGGTCTAAAGATGGGCATAGGATATTTTGAGGAAACTTTTTATAGTATTGGTAGCATTTAAAATTAATTTGTGGCTGGGCACAGTGGCTCACACATGTGATCCCAGCAGCTCGGAAGGCTGAGGCAGGAGGATTGTGAGTTCAAAGCCAGCCTCAGAAAAAGCGAGGCACTAAGCAACTCAGTGAGACCCTGTCTCTAAATAACATACAAAAAATAGGTCTGGGAATGTGGCTCAGTGATCAAGTGCTCCTGAGTTTAATTCTCTACACCGTCACTCTTCAAAAAAGAAGTAAAATTAATTTGTGGTGATGACTGCACAGTTATATGAGTTTATAAAAATTTGTCAAGGAATATGCTTAAAATAGGTGATTTTTGTGGTACAAAAATTATACCTTAATAAAATCATTAGAACTATTTCTATTATAAATAGTATGAATGATTTTGGTAAATAAGTATGCTTATCTACCTGAATAACTAACTCATGCATGTGGTAAGTTTTTCTCAGCAAAAAATAATCAGAGAATGAGGCAGAAAGGAAGCACTTTCCATGGCCTTTGAAAGTTGCAGCGGGACACATTCAGACCTCTCCCAACAGCCCAGCAACTTTACCTCATTAAGGATATCTGAAGCCCGCTTGGCCTTTTCCATTTCCAAGGACCCAAAAGGCACCCAGCCGCAGCCTTTCATCCAGCTATTATAGTCAGCTTTGTATTCCACCTAAAACACCAAGAGGAAAGTGACTTTTCTTTGCTCACTGCCAACCTTCTTACATAAATCAGTAACACGGTACTCAGGATGCTTTAGGATCTCTGACCCGCACCCTCACTCCACACTGGAAGGTTAACATAGACACTTTTTAGGTGAGAGATTTTAACAGCCCTGAGACTTTTTTTTCTTTTCTTCTAGTTGGCTTAGGTACCATTTTATCCTTATTTCCAACTTAATAGAAGTTTGTGGAATTATGACTCTAATCCTGAAAAATGCTCAATTCAAAGCCGTGTTTCAAAGAATAAATGGAAAAAATATTTAGATGATCAGATGTCACCTGTCTGCTCCCTGGAACTCTAGCATGTTTCTAGAGTCAAATTAGCCCTGATGGTCACATTGAAGGTGATAATTTTGCTCATTTTTTAATTAGATAAGACTTGGTAGTAGTTGTGGTGAGCAGTGACTGAAACTGGGGGTCTCTGATGACTTCAGGGCCGTGGTGCTCCTGCTGCCTGGGAATGTTTCTGTGCAAGGGTACAGGATGCCTAGTTGCTATGGTGGCTCCCGGCCCAAAGAGGCTCTGTGCAAGAGTCTTATCAGCTTTGACCTTGATCTCAGTCACTGCTCTCCCATTCTCTGTCACCGCTCTCCACAAGTAGTTACTTATACTAAGCATTTGTATATATTATATTTCATATGTACTGGTCAGTTTAGGAGTATGTCTACACTGGTCAATGAAACACTTTAACATAGTGTAACTCATTAATTTTCATAAGCAAGCAGTTATTATTTGGAATTGGTCTTATTTGGGGGACAGTTCCTTGACACTTTTAAAATAAAGATTCACTCTGACTGTCTGGCTCTAGATGGTACCTAAAATTTATATTCTAGACACAAAATAGAGAAAGGCCATTCACTCACATCGCTCTGTAGCGCGTAGGCCTTCTTGGCAAGGTCCACGTTGATGCTGTCGGGTGGGTAGCTGTAGTTGTGTAAGATGTGCTTGTAGTCTGCATCACTGGCGATTGCCTGAGATTTCTTAGCTTGAGTGACTTGGAGCATATCAAGAGGTGTCGTGTAGACAGTTTTTGACTTCTCATAGTCCTTACGATATTCACGCTGCAAAATGGAGATGATCATTTATTACCACACATCCTCAGTGGATTTCCAAGAATGTACAGAAAATGGAATTTAGACAAATGGGTGCAAACATCTGAGTAGTGACTTGGCCCCTAAATTTGCTTATATGTCAACCATCATTGAAATGCCCCAGAAAAAGCACACAGGAATGGATCTTTCTAAAGATTTTTAGATAGAAAAAACAGCTACCAGACTCACAGAAGACATCAGCAAGGGCTACAGCTTCTGCTTAAGCAGCATTATTTAAAAATAGGTTTTCCCAAGGACTACTAGTAAGCATTCTTTCTATTAATGCAATCTAGCCTTTGAAGCATTTCATAATCAAGAATCATTTTAAAAATTTTTATTGTAGTTGTAGATAGACAGAATGCCTTTATTTTATTTGTTTATTTTTATGTGGTGCTGAGGATCAAACCCAGTGCCTCATGCATGCTAGGCAAGTGCTCTGCCACTGAGCTATAGCCCCAGGCCCAAGAATCATTTTTTAATTAATGAAAATCACATGACAATCATTTAAAACCTTTGATTTCATAAGATATTTACTTCATAAACAAGACTATTGACTTTCTAGAGTAATTTTTAAATGGATAGTTACCAAGTTTTTTCAACCTGATTGTTATAGTCTTGACAGTAGATAAGTCCCACTGAGAATAGCAAGGGTTTTATTTTTTTATACCAAGTTTAATTTTGGTAACAATTTGAAAGTCGCTTCAGATTGCAACCATAATAAGACCTCAGAGGAGAAAAGTTTGTGAAACTGAGCCATTAAAGTAGCCTTGGCACTTATGTATAATATTCTCATAAACCAAATGTCCTGGTAGGGCCTCAGGAGGCACCAGCCTTTCTTGGTGGGTTTTCTGGAATGATTAGACAGGGTGCTAATTAGTTGGGCAAAGTCCCAACTTCATCATATATTCTTACCCATTGCCTTAATAGAAAAATTCTGACCCACTGCCTGTGGGAATATCATAAACCCACCCTATCTCCCTATAGTCGCATAAGTGTCAGAGACAGTGCCGAGCTAGTAAGTACAGGTGTGCATTATCAATCTCCTGTGGAAATTTCTTTCACCAGTGGACCGATCTTTTAGCTAAGGGAACTTGATTTCCTTCTCATATTTTGTGGATTGTCATTTTCACTGAATAAACTTAGCTCTTAATTGTAAAATCTCAACCCTGGCTTGTGAAAATATGGAAACTTATTATGGTATGCACAAACATAAAAAATAAATAAAACGGATAAAGCAATGTCACAACTGTAGTTGGTATGTAGATGTGATTTTTACTTTTTTGTTCGTATTCATACAACAGACATGTATCCGTGCATAGAAAATGTTATCAAAGATCCAAATGGCTTTTCAATATCTGCAGTTTAGCATTTAGTGTGGATACTTTTTATTGTTGTTGCTTTTATCAAATAGGCTTTTTTGATTTGTTATTTTTAGATATATATGACAGCAGGGTGTATGTGTAATCTGTCAAAATACAGACTGGATATTATGAGAGAATGACTTGTAGATTATGTCTTTCAGTTGCCAATATAAATCAATTAACAAGTATTTATTGATATATTTTGTACCTAGTGTTCTAATACATTGAGTGATAGGGTTAAAAACAAAAGATAAAGACACATATGGTGTTGATGGGGAGCTATAACCTTCTTGAGAGGGTATGAGGAACTGGTGAACAGATAGCATTATGTATGTGAGCACTGACATAATAATAAAGAAGGAACGTACCAAACGTTAACATTAAAGGACATGATACGAACATCTTCCTTTGTAATAAAAAATGATTATTTGCAAGCTTTGTTGGATATCATTATTACTCTAAACATTTTTAAAACACAATATATACTGTAATTTGCAATAGCAAATGTTTTCCCCTGTAGAGTAAAAACTATAACCAGGAAAGGATAGATGGCCCCATAGATGCTCTTAAGGATATCTACAAGATCCCTGAAATTCAGGCAAGAGGAATGAAAAAAAAAAAGTTCATTTTTCTAGAGAAGTGGCTCAGATATTTTAATGATATTCTCAAGGAGCCAATAATCAATGGAGTATTTTCCTTATACCTAGGCCAGTACTAATTACTGAAGTCAATAAAAAGCATTAATAGCTATATTTAGAACTTTTAAAAAATATTTTTAGTTGTAGATAGATACAATATCTTTATTTTATTTATTTATTTTCATGTCATGCTAAGAGAGTGCTCTACCACTGAGCCACAACCCCAGCTCCCTATATTTAGATTTTGTATTTGTGATTCATGACTTTTTTTTCCAAAGTAGTTTTAAAATCATCATCTCAAAAATTATTTTACACCTAGATGAAAACATCTATTGATGTTTTCCAAGGGGCTTGGAGAACGGCAATTGATAATCTATTGCTATTATTTAATACATTTTTCAAAATGAAAAGGACACCAAGCACCCATCAGTGGTTTCTGTCCTCAATGGCGAGAGGTGCAAGAGTTTGGGGACTCCTCCTCCTACAGTTCTCATTAGGGTCCTGTGAACGCGAGGGCGTGATGGGCATGAAGTGCTTTCTCCTGTCACTCCCTCCAGCATGCTCACAAGGAAGTCCCCCTGAAGATGAGTGGACACTCACATCACTCTGGTTTTTGGCTGTCTTCAAGGAGTGCAGCATCTTGGGATCGTCGTTAATGCTGAGGGCTCCAATCATTTTCCCTCTGCTCTTCTCATAGTCTTTCTTGTACATCACCTGCAAAGACATCCCACTGCTGGAGCCCACTCACTAGGACACAGCCTGGGGCCACCAGCCCAGATGGAAAGGCCATACTCACGTCGCTGGCATTCTTGCTGTTGGCTTTGGCTGCCAGCAGAGGGATGGCATCCACTTTAATTTCAAACTTCTTAGCTTTGCTCTTCTCCCAGTCTTGCTTGTAAACATTCTGGACAGTAAAATTTCAGCAGAAAATGATAAAAACAACATTGAACACAGATAAATCCAGTAAAAATTTTAAAAAAAAATTGTAATTTGCATATGTAGGCTTATTTTACCTAGAAATACTTTATTTACCAAATGGTAGTACTGATTTACTTATCATCTAGTTTCTTCCTCCTTATCACTAAGTTAAGTACCAGAACACTCTTTAATGTTCTGGAAACTCTCTTTTCTTTTCTTTCTGGTACTGGGAATTGAACTCAGGGGCACATAGCCACTGAGCCACATCCCCAGCCCTTTTTTATATTTTATTTAGAGATAGGGTCTCACTGAGTTGCTTGAGGCCTCCACACGCTGTGCTGCTAAGACTAGCTTTGAACTCATGATCTTCCTTCTTCAGCCTCCTGAGCCACTGGGATTACAGACATGCACCACTGTACCTGGCTTCTGGGGACTTTCTAAAGACTGCTATCCTGATGTATAATGGATAATGCAAAATGATGACCATTTGGAAAAGGTGAAATGGGATATTTACATCAGAGATACCTTATAAAACTACTGGGGTTAGCAGAGGGATAAATGAGAGAATACTTCTGATAGTTACAGAGGCCTTGGAAAACAAAATCTGATAGCGAAGTAAGGGTCTTCAGTGCTTTGAGCCTTACAAGCTCCACTTGCACTGTGGTAACAATCTCAACAGTTGTTCGTATGCATAATTCCTAATTTTTTCTTTTTAAATGAACACCTGTGACATTTCCTCTCTTCATACAGGCTTCTGAGGCTTCGGTACTTACGTCACTCAGGTTGTAGGCATTGACTCTGTGTTGGATAAACTCTGGGGCATCTGCTGGCACGTTGCACTTGAACTTCTCGCCTTCGTGTTTGGCTTTGTAATTCAGCTGAAAAACAGTAGAGGATATTAGTATGGGCTGAATGTATCCCCAAGTTTTATGTGTTGCAAAGTTAAATCACAAAGTCATACATTATTGGTATTTGAGAGGTGGGACCTCTGGGAGATGGCTGGATCATGAGTGCTCTGCCCTGATGGATGCATTCATCCACTCATGGATTAATGGATAAAAGGGCTATCACAGGGGTGGTTTTGTTATAAAAGTGAGCTCTGGGTGGCTAGATCTGTCTTGCTTCAACATTATAATGCAGCAAGAAAGCCTCACCAGATGCTGGCACCACATTCTTGGACTTCCCAAGTTCCAGAAATATGAGAGGTTTATTTATAAACCTGTATTCTTTATAAATTACTTGATCTCAGGTATGTTGTTATAGCAACAGAAAATAGATTAAGACATATCCAAACAGTGCAGGGTAGCAATTTCCTTCAATTTATGTAGGGCAATATATATATATATATATATATATATATATATATATATATACACACACCAAAGTTTTTTATGGCCCTCTTCTTTTTTTCTTTTTTTTTTTTTTTTTTTTTAAAGAAAAATGCCTCTTAACAGAATTCAATCCTGTCAAAATCTAGCACAGAATTTGAATTCTCATTTTCTCTTTCAGGGATAGTGGTATAACCAGACTTTGGGGCACCATTTTGTAATTACTATTAGACTATATACATGGGGAACAAATCTGATCAACACCACTAGGCTGTGCCTAGTGGGCATGAAAACCCAAAACTTACGAAATTCTGCAATCAGAATAGTAACAAAGGCCACCATTAACTCTAAGTAAAATACTAGGCTAAAAAGATAAATTCTCATTAAAATATTAAACTTGGGACTTTAAATTTTTAAGAAGGTGATATAAGGTAGAAGTATAAAGAAGGAATGAGGCTGTTGAATTTTAGGGCTAAAAGCAAAATGCACAAGACTGAGAACTGTGCATTAAGTACCTCCAAGACAGAGCCTGTGGCCTAACTGGGCCAATAAGAAGAACACTGTAACTAGACAACTGTACAGCCCCATGTTCTTCTGTAGTTTGCTGAGTCTAGCCTGGTCAATATGGTTAGTGTTCAGCTGTTCTTTATTCGGTCACAAAATGTTAATGTGCTAGGGAAAGTTGCATATGAACTGATATGACTTCTAAGTGATACCAATGCTATTGTCTTTACCGATTGAATGGGAGCTAACTTGTGTGACTAAAACCCATTTTCTAGTTGGGTAAACTATATCTTTCCCTGACTTTAGAACTTAGCACATTAGCACCTTGCTACTTACAGTGTGTCTAGCAATCATAGCAGCAGCAACAGCAGCACCTAACAACTCTTACAGACTCAGAGCATGAGGTTACCCCAGACTTAGTGATTCAGAATCTACACATTAACAGGGACACTGGGTAATCACAAGAATGTGCATGTTTAGGAAGCATGTTGTTCTGCCTGATTCCAGCATGCTTGGGCCATTCCTGCCTTCCACTTTTCCTAACTAAAAGGTTGAAATGCCCATCCACTCTCTCCAACGCCATTCTATTTTAATTCAGTAGGATAATTGTCTACTAGTTCCTTATCATTGCCTGAAGTCGTTGTTATTAGTGTGGTTTATTTTTGTAAATCTTTGTTAGCAAACTCAAGAATATGAATGTTTGCCTTGTTACCTACCCCAATAAATGCATTTGTTGGTGCTTCATTTAAAAAGATGGCATGAAGTTTTAGTGTGCTTATGATAGACCCTAATGAGTAAGTTTGGTACTTCTAGTAAAAATCAATGAGGTATTGAAGAACTGTGAGTTACTTTTATTGTCTAACATGGTTTTCCTTAAGCCCCATTTCAATCTAGGAGCTTTATTTGCATTTTATTCAACAAAAAATAACATTACTGGGATGGTAGATGAGTCTATGAAGAATAAGCTTGTAAATGCTGACATTTTAAATAAGCCAAGCACTCTGGGTCACCCATACTTGCACCAGCCAGGCACTTACATCACTGAGCTGTTTGGTGTTGAGCTGGGCTTGCAGTAGTACAGGAGTATCAGTGACCGCCGTGAATTTAGTCTTATCAGGATGAACTTTATAGGTATGCTAGAAAAGAAGATATCCTTCAATGAAATTTTATGCTATATCTTCATATTCTTGTTCATATACACACTAAAGCATGAAAAGGTTCTAGCCAAAAGTTGTTTTATTCTTGAAAACTTGATTGATTACATTCTTAACTCCTTTTTTGCTCTTCCTCCCCTCTCCTCCTGCAGTTATCTCGTCTTTCTGCTACATTCCAGTCACTCATCTTCCAGTGCTGAAGCCCTGCAGTGGTTCTCCATTGCATTTCGTTTGCAATCTAAACTGCACCATGGTGGAAGAACCCTGCAGGATCCACCCTCCTTCACCTCCTGCTGTTTTACCTCTTGTTACTCTTCCCTCCCCAGTATCACAGTAACCTCAGGCTGTTCTTCCTGCTTCTCTACCGCTCATCTTGGTGTGGTTGTACAGTCTGTCTCAGACCTTCTTTGACCTTGTAATTCAAGGCACTGAACCACTCTCTCAACAGCATCTTGTTTTAATTCCTCACTTTCTCATCATTGCCTGGTATCTTTCTTGCTTCTGAGCTCTCTTCCTTTGTTTATCATCTGTCTCTTCCTCCCTGGAAGCTCCAAGAGAGGCATCTCACTGTGTTCTCTATCTTTTCCCAGCACCAAGGACAGTGCCTGGCACCTGCCAGCCCCTCTTGTAAATTTGTAGAATGGCGAATGCCAAACCTCTCTCAAACCTGTGTGTCCTCCTTTTGCCCTGAATTTGCATACATATAAACTAAGGACAGAAAGGTCTATAAAACCTAAAATTACTTCATAATGAAATGACTTCTTTGTAGTAATTTTTGTGTTTCCTGATTCTACCCAAAAAGCAAAATTTTAAATTTAATGTCTCTGGCTAACCACTAGATGTTAGTATTTAAATTCCTGCTAAATTTACCACTAGATGTCACAAGAACCCTAAACCCAATTTCAAGAATCCAGGGCAGCTGACGTACATCTTTACACTGGTCCAGCTTCTTAATTGCTTCGTATTCTTGTGTTATTGTCTGAGGGAAGTAGCATTTCCCTTTATCTTCTTCATATTCTGCTTTGTAACTTTTCTATAATGAGAAAAAATAAAAATAGATCAGGATTGCTATTGTTCCAAACAATGTCTCTGCGAGGCGTGAATAATTGTCTTCAAACTTACGTCACTATTTTGAGCAGAAACTTTCATGCAGTGTGTGTGATATGGGTCTTCAAAGCTGCCTACATAATGTCCCAAAATATTCTTTACATATGAATCTTTATATTTAGCCTGAAAAAGAAAATGTGCACAACTCATATTAATAGTCATCTGTCAAACAAGAGGAAAGCCTTCCCACCCCAGAGATAATAACCAGGGCCACTCAAACCTCGCTGAAGTTCTTCAACAGTGTATCAAGTTGATATTTAGGGGTCTCGCAGTAATTCATGCTCTTTGCTTTTGTCTTCTCATAGTTTTCCTTGTATAGTCTCTGTCAAAGGGAAAAGAAAATTAAACAAAGAAAAATTCATCTCATGGAATAAAAACCTGGCATGTCATCGCCTCCCTTTCACCAATGTATTTTCTCCACATGTATTTTCCACTAAGCAGAAAAGCAGGATGGATATGCTTGAGGCTCATGACTTGTATAATCTCATCTGCTAAAAACCATAAATGTATTTACATTATTTGTCCCAATATTTCTCAGACTGAATAAATTATAGCGCATCAATACTATTATTCAGGAAAGTTACTGTCCTAAAATAATTCATTCCATTTGAATGTTTTAGGAGAAAAATGATTTTTTTTAGGTGCAAAATGAGGTGTAACAGTATAAGGTGGACCTTAGATACTTGGGCATAGTTTAAAAGAGGCATCAGTTTAGCACTTGGTGAAAACACAGTTTCTTACACTCCCGGAAATTGGCTTTATCATTAAGTTCTAACATTTTTTTTTTGTAATAGCAAAACATGAAAAGATGACTTTTGTTTTTAATGTATGTATCATCTTTCTTCTAGTTTCTTTTAATTCTCTCATATAGAAATCCAAAAATATATTCAATAAAGATAAGAACACTTGTGAATGATATGAAAGGTAGGGGATATTATTTTCTTAATAGAAATTAGAAAAACAATTTTGGTAAAAGTTTTATTTTTAGCAAGTGTTTTAAAGTTTTTACAATGAGATCGATATTTTATAAAATTCCTAAAATAAAATACTTTGTTTTTGAGTTTATGTTCTATCTAGTTTTTCCTGCTTTTTGTCTTTGAATTGGTTTTCTCACGTCTTGCTTTTTATTTTCCTGCCTATGTCTTTGCAAACAACTTTAATCAGCTCAGGGCACTGAATGAATACACGCATGCCATATGCTACATACATTAAACATACTAAGATATGGAGCCCATTTCTAGGAAAAACAATAAAGAAAATTATATGGCTAGTACATTTTTCCTCCTAATGAGACAGAGGACACTAAGGGACCTTTGTAACACTTAGTGTCATCTCAAAGTACAGAGACATCAGTAAAAATGAGAAAGTTCATCTTTCCTAATCATCTGGCCTTTCACATTTGATTTGTCATCATGCACCTGAGATATCAGTTAGGTTAACTGACAGCCAACTCAAGGTTATATTAAACATCAGTGTGGCCAAATCTGAAAGTAAGCGTGATTTACAAAGAAACTCACATCACTCTGGTTTTTGGCTGTCTTCAAGGAATGCAGCATCTTGGGATCATCGTTAATGCTGAGGGCTCCAATCATTTTCCCTCTGCTCTTCTCATAGTCTTTCTTGTACATCACCTGCAAAGACATCCCACCTGCTGGAGCCCACTCACCAGGACACAGCCTGGGGCCACCTGCCCAGATGGAAAGGCCATACTCACGTCGCTGGCATTCTTGCTGTTGGCTTTGGCTGCCAGCAGAGGGATGGCATCCACTTTAATGTCAAACTTCTTAGCTTTGCTCTTCTCCCAGTCTTGCTTGTAAACATTCTGGACAGGAAAATTTCAGCAAAGGAACAGGAACAAAAGCGATAAGTGTATTGTTACACCTAAAAGCTAAAGGGTAACTATTACCTCGTCTAAATATCAAACAGACAGACTCTGGGCAGTGTTGAGGAAATCATGCATACTTCAGATAATTCTGAAGCTAGAGTTTTTAATTCTCCAAGATCAGGCTTCTCTGCTTTCCCTTAGAATCTTTCATTAAATTAATTCTAGTTTTCATACTAATATTTGATTTATAAACACTGAATGTTTTATAGAGTGGCACAAATATTCTCCAGGTAACTTACTTTTTATGGTATAAGGGCATCACTTTCATTTGATCTCTAAATCCTTTGCAAAGGTTATTTCATGAATCATTACTATACTCATTGATGCCAGATAATCTTAGTATTCATTTATAGAATTGAAGTAATTGAGATCCTCAAGGGTAATTTGACTTTTCTACAAAATTAAGCTCAGAAAATGAAAGACAGCAATAGATACCTGGCCTTCTGCCCTTTAACTACTCTGTATTCTCATTAGTGCAAGTTCTTTTACATGGAGAAATAAGTATAATTTGTGTAAAATAAGGACATTATAGGCCTGGGGAATAAATGGAAATGAAATTATATCTAAAATGTCAGGTTCTGAAAAAATTAATTGTGGCATAACATAAATGAAAATGCGGTGAAAAGATCTAATACCCAGATTTGCAATTAAGTATACATGAGTGGTGGTAGTTTTAGGGTTGGTTAAAAGATATTAAGATTTCCTAACTGAATGAAGCTACTTATAAGATGGCTGTACACATCTTACAAGGTGAACTCATAGTCACCTTGGCAGACATATCAACATGACGTAAATGTTAACTGTTCTTCCATCTTTAACATTGAAGTCTGTGTTAAACTGCAGTGAATCAATTCAAAGATAAAAGCACTGGTTGTGGGTACCCCACATGGTACAGTGGGAATGGGACTTACATCACTCAGGTTGTAAGCGTTGACTCTGTGCTGGATAAAGGCAGGAGTATCAGGGGGTATGTGGCACTTGAACTTCTCACTTTCATGTTTAGCTTTGTAATTTAGCTAAAAGAGAGAGGGGTATTGGGTGGGGCAAGGGTAGAAGAAAACCAATTAGTTCAGTAGAAAAATTTCTGCAAAATTAAAAAACTTCTCTTGCATGGAACATTTTGTGAAGGAACAAAGTTGTTAAGATGAAAGAGAGATTCAGAGCTCCAGCTGGCCACCCTGCTTTGTTGAGCCCATATGCTGGACCTTTGACAGCTGATACCACAAGAGTTGCCATGGCAAGACCCTCATGGAATGAAGTGGATTTCCCACATCCCACCCCTCCCCTGTGTATGCCACAGTGGGCCCACTAGGTCCTGAGACACACATGGTCCATCTTCCTTTCATTATCAATGCTTCACTTCTAGAGAAGCATCCCTGCGTGTCACCTCACGTACATCAGCATTGCTGATGCTCCAACAGGAGCCTTCATTTCTGACTATGAATCTGCTGACATCACTTGTATTTTTATCTTTTAACACAAGTTTGGAAATTCATACTTAGAGCTTAAATGAAAAAAAATTGTCTCAAAGACTCCATTTCCCAGAAATTTATTTGGGAGAGAGAAATCCCATATGTTGAATACCTGGTCAGGGCCACCTTGAATGCTATACACACTTCTCCTTTCACTTGATTTCCACAACAGCCATAAATTATAAAAGGGACATATGAAGCACAGAGATGTTAAATAACATGGCCACCTGGTCATAAGTGATAGAGCTGGAAGTTTAGTCTGATTCCAGGACTCATTTTTTCCATGCTTTAAGGGGGTACATCAGTTTCTATCACAGAATCATTATTCTCCCAGGAAGATTGAAGACAACCAAACAGGAAAATATTTTAGGTGATTACAAATATATAAAAGTTAAACTTGTTAAAATTTACACAACCTTTCCTATAAATGTGACAAAAGATTGGATTTTATGGGCTGGGGATGTATATAGCTCAATGTTAAAACCCTGGCCTAGCATGAATGAGGCCCTGGGTTTTATCTCCAGACCTTCAATAAAGAAATAAAACTGAATTTTACATATAGAATTATAAAATACTCTCCCTTATAAGTGGATTTCCTGGCCATTTAGAGGAACTTACATCGCTCAGTTGCTTGGAATTGACTTGGGCTTGTACCAGAACTGGAGAGTCGGGAACTTGCGTGAACTTTGTTTTATCTGGATGGACTTTATAGGTGTGCTGTAGAAAGCAAAGGGATTTATTTTATCAGCACCTGTCAAATCCTAGGTGGTCCATGGGCTGAGCAGGCAGAACTCGACCCCCTCAACGCTAATAAAACATTCACTGACTATAGTCTAGTTCTAACTAGACTAAAAAACTAACTAAAAACTTTAGTTTTTTTAGTTTTATAGTCTGTAGTTTGGGGGATGCTCTTACAGCTATCTGAAAAGCCTTCCCATGTCCTCAGAGTCCCCATAACTCATTTAAGAAAAACGAGCTGGAATTAGCTCTTGAAATGTGGGAATGCCAAAGGAAGAAAATAGCTACTCTATTACAAGATAGATTTTGGTTTCTTACAATTTCCTCGCTTACATTTGCATAAGTGTCAAAATTTTAACTTTATCTTGACCACTAGACACTATAGAGGGCAATAACATTCCGAGTTCACACTACAGACTTACATCTTTACACTGATCTAGTTTCTTGATGGCTTCATATTCCTGAGTTATGGTCTGGGGGAAGAAGCCTTTTCCTCTGTCCTCTTCATATTCTGCTTTGTAGTTTTTCTATGAAGAGAAAAAGAAGTAGATAAAAAGATGCAACCATTGTATTCATGCCCCCCAACATGTGCTATTTGGAAAGCCAAACAACTGTCTCAGGACTTACATCACTGTTTTGGGCTGCGACTTTCATGCAGTGTGAATGATATGGATCTTCAAAGCTGCCTACATAGTGTCCTAAAATATTCTTTAAGTAGGAATCTTTATATTTAGTCTGAAAGACAAAATGTATTTCATTTGTTCATTGATTAAGTAATTTATCAAATGATGGGTCCTTATTAACTGCGGGGGTTATGGTGGGATTGCTTACGTCACTACTGAAGTTCTGTAGAACAGTATCAAGCTGGAATTTGGGGGTCTCGCAGTAATTCATGCTCTTTGCCTTTGTCTTTTCGTAGTTTTCCTTGTATAGTTTCTGTCAAAGAAAAAAAAATCAGTTAAAATAGATTCCTGTCACTCCCACACTGATTAGAACACTCGTATTTTCCGAAACTAAACAAAAGAAGAAAAGATATTGCCTGTCAACTCTCTTAAAAGCTGACAGTCAAACATGGGGTGCCATGAATCACAAAGCTTTTCTAATAGCAAGTATTGTAAAGCCTAAGTCTTTAACATTTTAAAAAATTAAGAAACCAATATTCCACCTCTAACCAAGGCCTTAGTTCAGATGTTTGGGTATCTCTAGATTGTTCTTTGTCTCTCTCAATGCACATAATTTCCTCACTAAGGATACCCTGGCACACATAGAGGTTTTGAACTTTTGAACAAGTTTTTTTTTTTAAAATAAACCTTCATGAAGAAGTAAACATAGGTTGAGAAATCCATAATCTCTCTTCCTTCTTGTACCAAGGGAGGAAAAAAAATCCCCCCCCAAAAAAGGCCTATATGAGAATCCAAACAATGAGTCATTACTAACTCTTCTTCTCTGCTAGGATTTAGCTTGAACAGCAATGAATCAATTATTGGTTTTAAATGCAGCTGTGAAAGCAGATCATTGTTACATTTTTCATGTTGGGTTTTCAAAATTTAAAATGATTCTATTCTTTTAAAATGTGCTTAGATTCCTGCTTTTATCAACAAAAGCAGATTTGCGCCTGAGATTGTACATGATTGATAAAGATGTCCTTCATTTCGAAGCACAAGTTTTGTATTGATTTCCCAGAACCGTTTGGACACTTGCACCCTCTCACTTGCCCCATCACCCCACCCCTCCCCAATCTCATGCACACATTTCCTATGGTGCTGACTTTATTCAAGGGTAAAGAAAAGATAACCAACCCACCCAGAGAGATGCATAAAATGATTAACTATTGAGAAACCTTAATACAATCTACCATAAAGAAAAACCTCAAATGATCACATATTGAGTGTGTGTGTGGTGTGGTGGGGGGGATCAAATTGGTCTTAGGTCATTAGTCTTTAAATATCAAACTCAGGTTTATTTATCTAATTTACTTTACATCTCCTGGCTTAGTCAGACTCTTAATTCTACATGTAGAAAATAGAAATTCCTGTTGAGACACAGGGAGCAATCTTTTAAGCTCTGTGGTCAGCAAATGATGGTTTCTGGGGTGAAGATCTGTCTTTGAAAGTCTTCTGCTCTGTCAAAGTCACTGCACATCTCCTTGTGTTCTTTGCCCACAGAGGTCCAGCCACTTGGAGCTTCTAACCACAAGAGGATTTCCTTGTTCATTGAACTAAACCCCAAGCTTGCAGAGATTGAGCCTTATCCCACTCAAAGGCATTCATAACTAGTTCCCATGAAACGGTTACTCCCTAACCTTAAAGTATTTGTAAAGTTATGTATATATTTAGTCATTATGGAAAGAAAAAAAGACATCATTCTTGCAGCCAAGGTTTATAAAACACTTTTTTGAGAAGAATATACTTACATCACTTAGGGCATTTCCTGCCGCCTTCAGCTGCCTGAGCAGTGGATTCTCTGAAGCAGGAAGTACATTATAATCTGCTTTTCCTTTATTCTTTTCATAGTCTTCTTTATATTTTACCTGTAGGATGAATAAAGTGATAAAGTAACTCCAGTTATTTTTGTCCCCAATCTCCCTTATGGGTATTATGACATAGTTCCACAAATCAATTTTCTTTTTAGAAAAATGGCAGCTTGACATTGTACAAGCAAAATACTCATAGTAACTCATAATAGCGGCAGAGAAACTGCATAAATTTCCAGGATACTTTTTTCTTCTCATTCATTTATTTATTCAGAAATATCCATAGGAGGTTGATTATGTGCCTGGCTCTGAGACAGACACAAGAAAGAATAACACATGGTCCCAGCCCTCAAAGAGAAAAAAAGATACATAAATAATGGGAGAGAGAATGACACAAATAATGACAGCACATCGGGTCCCAGATGCCTGCTGCTGTAGAACCTTCACTCAGCTCTTACCCTCCAGCTGCCTCTCTGTCAACACAGTTTTAAAGAAACTCAGCTAGAAGCATCCTCACCCTCTTCTTTCATGCCTCACCTGCGACTGTGTGTTGAGCAGCACATATTTAATGCACAAGCAGGAAGACGAGGAAAGAGCTGTGGTGTGAAGAATAGTGGCAACCTCACCCTGTCATTTTGTCCTTCCCAACTTGCACTTTTCATTTCAGCCCTGGCAGAAGCAATAAGTTGGTGGTGGGGTGGGAGGAGAGCCTAAAGTCCCCACCAGGAGCACATCAGTGGGAGGTAGAACAAGATTCTGGTTCTGAGCATGATCCCTAGTCTAAATCATTCTTTCAGTTGGGATAATCACAGAAGTTTAAAGAATCCTAAATAAATGACCAACAATTGAAGAATCTCAGAAAACAAAATGGATCAGCTTAGTATCGAAAGGCAAGAGACACACAGCTGAAACTCAGATGCACCAATCCTGCAGCCTACAGTATCACAGGGGGACTCCACTGGTGTAGAAGACACAGCCTTTCTGCCTTATGGAATTATTATATGTTTTGAAAAATGGAAATGACCAGAGAGCAAATTCACAGATCCCACTCTCCCCTATCTGCTTCTGGGATACAAAGACTTCTCTGTTATGTGGGTGGATTGTCAGGACTTGTGACAAAGCCATCCCTCCTCTTAAGCACCAGATCACGTCCCCTTTCACCTATCATGGATGCCACTCCAGCCATTCTCCGTCTTCCAACATCAACCCATGTCCCGTGTCTACTGAAGGTTTTCATCATAGAAACATGGTGGGGTTTTTTTTCCTCCTATCTTACAAACTCCTTCTTCATCCACTTTTCCATCAGCTACTTCCCCATTTTCTTTCTTCCAACCAGGAAAATATTTGGAAAGAGTTGAATATACTCATCCCTTCAATTTTTTTCTTCCTATTCACTCATGGACCCTCTCCAAGTAGACTTGACCAAATTGCTTTGCAGATTGCCACCCACGTGTCAGCAAACCTACTCCAGAAACATCTGGCACTCTTGATGACTCCCTTCTCACTTCACCTGCTCCTCAGCTTATACGGCTCTTTCCCATCTCTGCACTTACATCCTTTTGCTGATATATTATTGTTTTTATCCTGCTCTTCAAATGCCTGAAATTCACTGGTCTCAACCTTGATAGTTCCCTCCAAAACCCACCCTTCCTTTTTCATTATGTGTAAGAGCAGAGTTAGAAATTTACCCCACTAAAACCATCAAGATCAACAGGACAATCCCTCATACCTTGCTAGCTGCCAACCCAGCTTGTTTATTCACTTTATACTCTGGTGTTTCGGTCTGCATAAAGTAGATCTGGTCTTTGAGGTTCTCAAAATCTTCCTGATATTTCCTCTGTAAAACAATAAACATACTGGAGAACAAACTGTGCAAGAGTTCACATGAGAGGACACAGGGCATTTGAAGTCATCCAAAGCCAAACACCCCTTGGTTTAAGAGGTCAGATTACAATCAGAGAATGTGGTGCCCTTGCAAAAATGATCAGCAACTTAATGGAGATTTAGAACCATTAGAATAAGCTGGAAAAATGATTAGAAAGGCCTGTTCTGGCTACTAAGAAAGTGCTTCTTGAAAGCAAGAAGCAGAGTGAAGAAAAAGAACAATTAAATTTCCAACTTCCCATTAAAAGAAACTAAATTAATCAATTTTACAAAGGTAGTTTGGTGCCCCATGCAAAGAATAAATTTATTTTTTCTATATTTTTATTGGTGTATTATAATAGCATATAATGGTGGGATTCATATAGAATAAACACAAAAGAGCCCCTTTAACTTATACCAACTGCACTTTGCAATCAGTAAGAGGGTCTCATCATCTTGTTCCTGTGAAAATTGAGGTAAAAGTAAGGGCATTTGTTCAAAATAAATTTTTAAAAGGAAAGAGTTCGTGGGATTTCTTTTAAAATAGGAACTCTGCATCACCTCCTGTCCCTAAGAAGAGGGACCTCCAGTGCTCTGGCACTACTTGAGTAGATGGCTAGAAGTCATGCAGAAAGAGGGTCCCCTGCCGAGACACCTAGCCTTCTGTTCCTACTTACTGTGCTGAGGTTATCGGCGTTCATTCTGGCAGTTGCAATTTCAAAGCAAGGTGTCTCACTCCATTTGCCTTTGACTTTCTTTTCATAGTCTTCTTTGTATTTTTGCTAAGAGAAAAAGAGAAAACACTTAAGATTTCAGAGGTTCTTTATGAATACATAATTCAAGTTCTTCTAAACTTTTTTTTTTTTTTTGGTAGGGATATAGCCCTTCATTCTGCTTGCTGTCAGAGGAAGAAAACTCTAGGATTGGGAGGGGCACTCAGGCTTGACGCATCCCAAAACCAAGATACAGAGAACTTTGTAATACAGTTTGAAGTTTAGAAGCAGCAGATAGTCCTAAATAATAGGGCCAAACCTTGGGCTACTGTTGAGAAATAGGTATTGTGTCTATAGATTAATGAAAATTGAGTAGGAGATTAATCCTCACAGTGAATGACAGATGTCTGATTTTTAAAAAGATATTAAAACAAGATATAAAACAGAGTATAAGACCACCCAGACCCCTCATTCAAGGTCCTTCCTGCCTTCTTAACCTATCTGAACTAAAGATTATTATTTCTTCCTACACAGCAGCTGAAATAGGTCAGGGTGGAGATGGATCACTTGCAGTCCACTCCTGAGTCCAGGATGACTCTGTTCTTGTTAGCTGCTGAGGAAGTCATGGCCTCCCCTGAATTTGCAGATGGAGAGAAGTTAAAAGGACAAAGTCCTGTAGCTGGAGGAGGAAGAGGAAGAGGGAGGCAGATGCCAGCGGAGACTCTCTGCCATTCAAGGAGTCTCACTGTGCATGTTGGGGCATTTTGCAGTGAAACATGGGATACCATCACATGGGTGTGACACCCAACACCCCCTACCACTTCGCTCCCACTCCACTGAATTCAGAATTGGAAACCTAGAGGAAATAATTAAATTTCCCTACTCTTTTTATTTGTTCAACAGAGGAAAATACACTGGGTCAATTACAAGCTCTGGGACACCTTCTGTGGCTAAATGGGGACCATATGTCAATAAATAGACCAAGATTCCATCCCCAAAGTATTGTCTGTCCTCCCCAGAAATCAACTAAAGTTACTTCCATTGAACTGCCAATCGGGTCCCTTAATGTCTTGGTGAAACATATGACCTCATTTTCTATTTTCCATGTTTGCGTCTTAGTTTTTATATGGTTATTAAATAGAAAGGAATATAAAGCTAGTTAGTTAATCACATTTTTTCTGTGAATAGCTAAACCTGAGACTCCTGATGGCCCCATTCATAGAAGTTATCCTTTCAGAGAGCATGGAAGGGGTCCCAACTGGTATTTTTTATTGCCAACTGTGGGCCCAGGGGTTACCTTCCTGACTCAATCAAATCTCTTCTTGTAAAATCAATAGGAGTCTTCTCAATTCTATGCAATAGAGTTTCCATTTCAGAAGAACAGAGCTTTTTGCTATGTAACAATATGTTGCTGAAAGATTTTATTTAAAAAAAAATTCTAGATTCCAGTTTCTAACATAAAATCTTATGTTTTTACTATTATAAATCTGGAGGGAAGTAGAGAGGCAGGCACAGAGGAACTGAAGGGACCTCTAAGTGTTCCATTCAGAACCCCACTTCCAAGTGGTGATAGGGCACCTATTTTCCTCACCAAGAATATCTGCTGATATGAACAACTTTGTTTACCTATCCATCTGCATTTAGTGCTATAGAATACACCTGAGCCAGGAGAGGGTGCTAGCATGTAGCTCATTAATTTAGCCAAAGACAAAGGTAAGAGAATTTCTTCTGACAGGTAATAATAAAGAAGGCTGATAAATAGAATATATTATGAATAAAACTCTTGCAGATATGTGACCATTACCATCTGCACAGTAAGACAAAGGAGGGATCTGGAAGATACAATCTGGCAAGGGAATGCCAAGTGTTTAAATGCATGAGAGTCGGTAAAGGAGTTTTTTTGGAGAGAAAGAGGACATGATGATGTAGGAATATGGGTCAGAAGAGCTTGTTAATGGGGGAGACTTCAAGAGAAGGGAAGAGCCCCATAGATAAGTCACCCTTGGCAGCCATGCGCCTCTCTTGCTAAATGGAGTGCTGCCAAGCACAAGCATTAATCTCCAGCATGATTATTATTCTGGATGCACAATAGTCATTAAGAACTTGGAAATCTAGATAAGACTAGGATGAATTATGTCACTATGGTCAAATCCAGTGACCTTTATCCACAGCCACTCTCCCCTTATCTCATATTGTACCACAAGGGTAAACTCAGGTCTGGCAATGCTTTCAAAGTACCCAACACTGTCACCTTATCCAAATAGAGTGGTACTCTCCAATAGACATACAATGAAGGGCACTTTAGTAAAAAGGAACAGGTGGGAAATTAATAATATACTTTCACCCATTAAATGCAAAATATTGTCATTCCAACATGTAATCATATAAAATAATGAGCTACTTCACATTGTTTTTTTCTTTCCTAGTAAGTTTTCAAGGCCAAGTGTATATTTCTCACATATAGAGCTTTGAGTGTTATGAAACAAAATTTTCCCCCAAACCCAAATTCATTTGTTGAAGGTTTGACCCCCAATGTGATGGTAGTTAGAGTTGGAGATTTTTGGAAATACTTAGGGTTAGGTGAGCTCATGTCCCTATAAGAAGGGTAAGAGAGAACACAGCTCTCTGTCTCTACCATGTACAACAAGAAGGTGGCTTATCTACAAGCCAAGAAGGAGGCCTACCAGGAACTGAATCCTTGATCTTGGACTTCCACCTTCCAGAGCTGTGAGAAATAAATGTCTGTTGTTTAAGCCATCTTGTGTATGGCATTTTGTTACAGAGCCCAACTTGACTAATATACTCAGTTTATACTGGTCACATTTCAAAGGCCCGATAGTCACATTTTGCTAGTGGTTACCAGATTGAAAAGCATAGTTCTAATCTGGCTAACCTAAATTGGTGAAAAAAATGATTACAGAGGGGTTTAAAGTGAGTTTTTAAAATTGCCAACATTGCATACTCAAATAAGGTAAAAGAATATTTCCTTAGTAAGACATCTTTTTAAATATGCTTTAAATAAAAATATTCTTTTCATTTCTAAATGACCATTTAAAAACGACTTTTTTATCTTAAAAGATAAATTTTCCTCCCCAATCTTATTTCCAATAGCAACACTTTTGGTAATCATCTCTTTACACAGTTCTTAAGTTAATTTCTGCTTAGCCCTGGGAAAAATGTCAGGTTGGTGTTTTCTTATTAGTGAAAATTCACTATACTTTCTAGATTCTTTCTATAAACAGCTCCGGGTTCTACAGTGTAGTCCACAAAAGCAAACACTGAAGTGATTTCATCATCTGTATCTTTTTTTCATTCTCTAGGAAAGAAATATTACCCCCACCAGCAAATTATTTTTTATTTTTAAAAAAAATTTTTTTTGTACCAGGGATTGAACCCAGAGGCACTCAACCACTAAGCCACATCCACAGCCCTTTTCTATATTTTTTATTTTGAGTCAGGGTCTCACTAAGCGTAGAGCCTCCCTTAGATGCTGAGGCTGGCTTTGAACTTGTGATCCTCCTGCCTCAGTCTCCCGAGCCACTGGGATTACAGGTGTGTGCCATCATGCCTGGCCCAAGATAATGTTTTTTTAAAGTAGAAATCTAGAGGTTCCATGAAAATTCAAGCAGAAGACTAAACTGAGACTCAACTCCACCGAGGACAAAGAAAAGTATTTAAAAGTAACAGTATCCCAGGAGAAAGTGGCCTGATTTGGACCAATTTAAAACAGGACTTCAGCATGGGCCTATTCAGCAGTTCAACATTTGTCTCTGCATTCCTTGTCAGGGCTGCATTCCTTATCAGGGCTGCATTCCTCTGAGCTAGTTCACCAGCCTAAATATAGGCAGACTAAGCTGCTTGCTAGGGCCTTAAAAGTTATGGAGTGTACTGCCCAGTGCTGTCAGCTAAGCTGTGTCTGAGGGCCCACTCACACGTTCTTATCTGTGCACACCTGATTGTATAAAACTGTAAAGTGTCTTCACACCAAATTAGCCCAGATCCTCCATGGAAGGGTGCAGTTATTCAAGTTACTCTGTTAGTATTAGTCTCATAAGTAAAAATGTCAAGTGACATTAGGACACAGGCTCTGTTTTCAAAAGGTGACTTTGACATTTAAAAATGACCAAGTCATCAAGCTGGCTAAACTTATTAACATCGTTTATAGTGTGGATAGATGTGTTACTCTTGCTGTAGAGTTTTGGTTTCACATGCAGAAAACATTCTGTTTTGTATTCAATTCACCTTTAGTTTCTTTCTTAAATGGTTGAAATCATTAAGCGGAATTTCCAAAAGACACAGGGTCCCAGCTCTGTTTACTTACCTTGCTCACTTGATTGGTTACTTTCTTGGCAAATTCGATATCTGGAGGATCAGGCAGAGATGTGAATTGAGACTGCTGTTCGATGTGACCTTTTTTGTAGGTAATCTGACAAAATAAAAGACAGGAATGCTCATGAGTCATAAAATTATACCATTTCTCATATTCCATTTATTAGCATGTTTTTTTTTAAAAAAGATGATGCTTCCATCTTTGTATGAAGTCTTCAATTTTAGTACCCATGTTATCATAATTTGTCCTTCTAGACAGTACATGTCCTTGTTCTCAGTACAGCTAGTTATTTCTATGTCTTTGAGTCTTCTCTCTTTTCCGGGGTCTTCTTGACCCTAGATCTTTTGTTTCCTTCCATTTGTTTTCATACCATGTTGTATAATTTCAATTTTTCTTTTTCACCAGCATCCTCAACTCTCAGTATCTTGTCTTTTCTCTATTCCTACTTAATTAGCCCTCAGTTGTGGGTCAACACTATCACATACTTTCTGTTCTTATGCCCAGAATGCTGAGTGTTACAGAAGAAAAATCACACAAATCTATGGATGGGGTAATGATAACATAAGTAGGACTAAGAGGGACACAGGAAGAAGGTATAGGGGAAGAAGCTTTGAACCCCAGCCCTCAGCTTGAAATCTATGGGCCTACCCACTTGTATGTTCTGTGAACAACTTGGTTTGGTCTCTGTATCCAATATTTTACGACTTTGTGGTATCCATTTGCCACTTGTCTTCAAGAAAGCTTTAGCATCCCATAGTATGTCCCTGGTCAGCCCCTATGCCCAGAAACTAGTCTAAAACCCCAGCACTGTCCTTAAGTCTCCAGTCAACTCTACCTTACTCTCAGTTTCCTGTTGTAAACAAAGGCTACACTTCTCCAACTCAGCCCTGCACCCCCCCCCCCCACCTGCCCTGACTCCTAGGAGAAGCATCCCTTCCAAAGGGCCCGGCTTCTGCACGCTGGGTATCATTCCTTCCTGTTGCCCCTTGCGCCCAGTTCTGACGGTCACCCCTTTCCTTTCTCACAGTTTCAATCTCCCCTCTTCACCAAGGCCTTCCCTTCAGCCTCTAAAAGACCTCTATCACCTTAAAATAAGGATGGTATTTATGAGTCATGCATCCTTTTCACTCTTGTTGTTCTTTTTCTCTTTATTACTGATTCTTCTGGAGTTTTCTTCCACCAATTTTGGCCCCACCTCCATTAATGCAAAACTATTCATAGACTCTTAGATATATGTGACCCTCAAATTCCTCAGGGCCTTACTGTATGCTGTTTCCTCTCTCAGGAATATCCCGACCCCACTGACTCCCCATCTGTCTGAAACTGCTGCTGCTTCTCCTCGTCTCAGGATGGCATGACTTGCCCTCCTTTGTCTTCAGTACCCAATGGCATGAGCCCTCCCTGACTCCCAAAGTAGACGCAGTTTCCTTCTCTAGGGATCTCACTCAAGGTGACCTTTACCTCCTTCAGATAACACTGTAAGGAATTGTCTACATGTCTGTTTTTTCTTGGACAGTGAGTCCTGGGATGGCAAAGGAATGTCCTCTCATTGGGAACACTTGTGGCCTGCATGGTCCCTGACTGGAGGAATGTTCAGTGACTGATTTCAGAATGTGGGTCTTACACACCAAGTCTGTGAGGGGACAATAGGAGGATTATCCCAACTCTTCTGTCACACAACTGTGAGACTTCTACAGATTTTTTTTTTCTTTCCACAACCAGTATTCTTAATTTAAAAAAAAAAAAAAGGTTCGATAATGCCATGGTCCTAATCACTTTATTCTTTAACCAAGTCTAACTGTATCTTACCCCATCTGTCTAGTGCCTGTAACAAGAGCTTTCATGAACATCAAATCAACTGGGATATAAAACAGTTTTAAAAATGCATAAAAGGCATAAATTCCACTGCCGAGTTTCTTTTAAGTAAGTGAAGACTTTATTTCAGGCATAGGCCAACTGGAATTTTCCATGCCTGCTTAAGTCCTTAGGGAGAAGATAACATGCAAACAGGAGAAATGCTTATTCCAAATGACATTCTGTCAAGAAGTTTCAGAGAAATCAGATCTAAAAGTCCAATTTTCTCAGAAACTTGTTCAGAATTCTGTCTCGTTAGAATTCTGCACTCTAGATCAGCTTAAAGGGCTGGGGATGTAGCTCAGTGGTAGAGAGCTTGCCTTGCATGTGTAAGGTTCTGGGTTCAATTCTCAGTGCCACCAAAAAAGAAAAAACAAAAGAAAGGGGAAAGAAAGTGTTTGAACATTAGGAAATAGTTTTTAAAAATAAATAGATCAGGGCTGAGGATGTGGCTCAAGCGGTAGTGTGCTCGCCTGGCATGCGTGCGACCTGGGTTCGATCCTCAGCACCACATACAGACAAAGATGTTATTTCTGCTGAAAACTAAAAAATAAATAAATATTTTTAAAAAAGAATTAAAAAAAATAAATAGATCAACTTAAAGACTCTCTTGGTATTTGTAATATATGTTGTCTCTACTTACATAATAAGGGAACTATGATAAGTAGAGTTAAAATTGTCATAGGAAGAAGAGACAGGAGAGGGAGCAGGAACATCTAAATCTAAGCCCCTAGCTGAAAACCTATATGCCTACCCAGTGGTATGTTCTGTGAACAAATGCTTGCTTAGGGCTCTATGCTGGATATTTGTAGAAATTTGTGGTGCTGACAATAGTATTAATAGCATGTTGATAATCTGATACTTAGTGCATACTTGGTCTGCAATCAAAACAAAAGCTCTACTGTAACTGCCAGGTCCTACTGAAGAAGAGTAGAGAAGATTTCATTATTATATATTCTCCTTCATTATGTTCTCTTTTGTGCTATCTCAAAAGTGTGGCCAAATCAATTGTTTGACATTCACTAGACTGCTATGGAGGTAATCCTTCCTCTGTTTCATGGATAAAGGGAGATACAGGAGATTAAGTGTCTTCTTGGAAACCTTTCCCTGAGCTTATGTGACATGGCATTTCCTGGTCCCCCTTCAGCTTCTCTGATCTCATCCTTTGCTGGCTCCTCTCCAAGTGTCCTAAGTGTGGGTGTCCTCCAATGCTGCCCTTGACCCTACACTCTTCTGCCTCCCTCATGCATTTCAAGTCTCCAGCTATCATTTTTGCTCTGATGACTTTAAAATATTAAGTTCTTGTCCTAATCTCTAATCTCTGTGACATTCTAAATTTCTGTACATTCCTAGAATGCCTTGATCTGAATATTCCTCCCATTAAAACAAATCTGCTTCTCTTTCCATTAGTGCATCTTTACCAGGTGTACCCCATTCACCCTGACCACCTATCTATGATCATAAACTCATTTATGACTTCTTTCTCTCCATCTCCAGCATCCAGTATCATTAACATTTGTTAATACTTATTACCGTCAATTTCTTTCTTCTTCACCTTTACCTCCACCATCTGATCCATCTATATCACTAAAATAGACTTCTACAAATATCACTGTTTCTAGTTTTTCCTAGTCCCAACTCACCATATTGTCTATCAGATTTTTTCCGCATTCTTTTATCATGCTGTTTCCCTCTCAAGCATCTAATGATGCTGTTCATTGCCTCCCCTATTGTGGCAAAGGTATTTTGTCTGATTTCTAAAGTTCTGCTGTCAGCAATCTCACAATCACATCATTCACATTCGTTGTTCCATGATATCCAGACTCATTTGACCTTGGTCCCTCGTTCAAGTGCAGTCTCCACTTGGGATGTCTTTCTTCTTCATCACTACCCAGCCCTTCTGGATCTGCCTCCACATGACCTTCTCTGATTACGTATGTGTCCTTTCTTATATCAGGTATTAGACTATAGTATTTTGTTTTTAACATTTGTTTTGTTGTTGGACATATATCATGGTCATATTTTAGCCTAATTATAAATTCTCAAAGGAAAAGATGAACACTTCTTGTAGTACTTTCCTATCCTGCTAGATATGGATGCATAATGGAGTTCAGTAAATAATCACTAATCACTTGCTAACGGCTCATAACAATGTTATGAATTCATGAACTACAGAATCAAAAGCTCATCTTAGAAGTAGGTACCCACACTCTATGTACTATGTGACTTTAGGATCTTATTAAGCCTTCTTTGTTTTCTCACCTGCCCTTATGGAAAGGTAAGAGTTTATCTTAATCACATGAAAAGTGGGATAGAAAATGTGTCCACTAAATTTTCAGGTGATATTAAATGAGAAGCAATAAAAATTATACTTCAAAAGTTGGAGGCACCATTAAATTAGCATGTAAACTTCCGTTCAGGACAAGATTGAACCCTAGCACCCATTGGTAAATCTAGTCAATCTCACTAGGTCTCAAGTAGCTCAAGTCCATATTGAATATAACAAGTTTCAAGGATCTAGCTTAACAGTTGAACAACAAGTACTATGTCATTTATAAACAGAGCTCTGCTAAAACCTAGATCAGGAGACTTTGGATTTTCCATATGATTTCCAGAAAATCCAGGGGTCAAGAAATAAAGTGCCTCAAAACAAGGGCAAGTGCTAGGCCTGAGTGGGGCTCTCAATTTTAAGGAGAGCTTCTTCGCTCTTTTAAGTTCCTCTAACATACAATTTTCAGTGTCTAGAATATTAAAATTCTGTCAAGTGGGATGGGTGATTTTTTGCTAACTCTGAAATATCCTCTCCAGACACCATTGCTCAGAGCTCTTTGTGGGATAACCACACAAACATGTTTCAACAAGTTGCCTGTCAGTCTCTGTGCAGAAGTAAGACACAATACCATTAAGACCTGTTGACCAGGACAGCAACACAAAGTTCCTCTATAATACTGCTTACTTAATAAATTTGTGAGCGTGGCTGTAATTCCATAGCTGTTAAAAAAAAAAAAAGCCACTCCATTGTCACAAAAGAACTTCAAACAAAGCCAAGAGAACCACACGTGATCTAGTGGAAAGAACACTGGTTTGTGGGAGGAACACAAGTCTGGGCTCTATGTGACCTACCTATGTGATCTTAGGCTCAAGTTCCTCACCTATTAGAAGAAAGGACTGGACTAAATTATACCTAATATATAGCATATTCTATATCTAACTTAAATTGGATATCATAAACAATGATTCTGGAGGTACTCCTTAGCAATAATGGCACATAGTCTTTTTTTAAAAAAAGAAAAAAGGCTTTCAGTGAACATCTGGCCAGAAGGTGTAACTCCAGTTTTCCCCAACTCCACATACCCCACTCATGCCAACTTCAGTTCACTTACATCGCTGAGAGCTTTCTGGGCCTGGGCAACCCTCCTCAGTTCCGGGCTATCATTATATGGGTAAAACAAACCTTTGTCTGCTTCCCAGTCTTCTGTGTACAGTTTCTAAATCCAAAAAGAGTGAAAAGTTATGAAATAAAATGTGATCACACATAAAGTGCACGATTTTATACTTATTCACTAAGGGTCTAAGGGACCAAAGGCAAATTGAGAACAGAGATAGATGAGATTCATAGGTAACCCCCCTTTCCATCAAACCCACACAGATGTGTCGGATTTATCTCCTCCATGGAACTTAACCTGCTTCTTGAAATGACTGCTAACACAAGTGTCAGAAGCCAGGAAGCATGTCCAATAGTTTCCGCCACAAAATAAACCTCTAATAGGGTTATGCCAGGGATAACAGAAGTATAGCACAGGGGCTACAAAAAAAAAATTTAAGATAGTACTTTGTCAATCTCAGCTGGTTCTCAAGTGTCTTCCTTCTCTCCATTCATGTTCCAGCTGGTTCTCAGGGTCTCAAAAGATTCTGTACCCTTTTGCCCAAGAGCTTTGAGAGGAGCTGAGGCTCCTCTTTGCCAAGCCCCACTTTGCAGTCCTATATGTCTCCAGGCTATTCACAAAAAGACTGGAGAACTGTATTCCAGATTGTCAAGAATGTACCAGGTATTGCTATAAATTTCTATGACGGGATCATGAAGGAAGCTGGAGGTAATGATGGAGCAGAGGCTTACCTTACTGAACATGGCTGTGTTTTTAATGGCCTGGACAAGTTCAGGGGCATCAGGGGGAAGCAGGTACTTATCCTTGGTGTCTTCCCAGTTCTGCTTATATAAAACCTAGACAGAAAGAGCAGAAGACTTATGTCTGGATGTCTCACCCAAGGCATGAGGATTTCTACAACGAGGGACTGTAGTGTAGTAAGGGGGGCCTCTCTCAAAAGCTGTGGATAGGTTACCAGGAAAATGCTGACCATGTCCACATACTATCAGACCTTCACCTAATTAGGAAGATTTCGCTTAAAAATTCTAGTTTTTTGAACTAATTCATTACTTTTGAGTCTGTATAGATTCCTTCAAAGGTTGCAATCAGTCATGACTCAGTTTGGGTGGCAGACATGTTTCTTTTGACTTGCATGTTATTCTAAAAATGGTTTTGAATGAATTGCATACATTTGAAATTGGGAAATTTCTCATAGAAATTCAGCTCCCCAAATTCTTAAAAAATAAAGAAAGAAATAAGAGCCTCCAGGACATTGGGATTGCATTCTGTGCAGCACCTCTGGAGCTAAGTTGCAACTGCCTCTTTGGGCACGTCACAGAATCCTCTATCCACTGATAGGCAACTCAGTTTTCTGTGGAGGCTTTCTGATATGTGTGGGCCTTTAGTTCAGACTGCCTGTGGGACTAGTGAGCAGGATCAGCCCACCCATTTCTCCTCCAGGACAAGCAGAGGTAACATACCTGCTGTTAAATAGCCCAGCCACCCAGGCCACAGCCTCACCTTGCTGACTTGCTGCGACACTTTCTTTGCATGTTCAATATCTTTTGCTTTTTCATCCACATGACATATAGTTTTAGCAACATCGCCGTCCATTCGATACTTAACCTGCAGAAATGATGCATGGTTATAGTTTACGACAAGCTCAAACGTGAGAATATTAAAGAATAGCTTTATCAACGAAGATCATTAACTCAGTGACTAAGTCTGCATCCCAAGGCAAAATTTCTGAATTTATCTAGGACACTGTGATCTCCAAAGACTGACACAGAGCCTGCATCTACTGTTTTGCTTTCATGGCTAAATCTCTAGCCTGCTCCTTCTCGGCCTCACTGTGCTCCAATGTGGAGGACTACAGCCTCTACCTCAGTCCCCTCTTAAGCTCATCGCTGAACCAAGCTCACAAAGTCTCTGGGTTCATGTTTATAGCAACATAATCTAGGATCAATGTTTTCTCTAGATTTCTGGACCTGTAATTCAACCCCTTATTCTCACTACACATATTTAAAGCCCCTAGTGCTAGGCATATTTTCGAAATGTTTCTCTCTTTTATTTAAGCGATGCAGCCCACCTCACTAAGTTGATCTTGCACTTTCTTGATTCTGCGAAGTTCTGGAGTATCAGATGTGCTGGCGTATGGCTGTCCTTTTGCTTTCTCAAATTTCTCCTTGTATTTATTCTAAAGGGGGAAAAAAGTTAGATACTCACCTAGAACCTGATAAGACAGCAGCAGAAATGTCAGACAATACACTTATCCCCAACTGATTTAAAAAAAAACAACTCCAAGTTATAACAATTATCAGTTATAACAGCTTTTATTTTGTCTAATATCCTCTCAGCAAAAACGAAAATAGATTTGTTAATCATTCCCCCTAAACATGATTGGGTCCTAGAAATAGTAGAAATTTGTTAGAGATTATTGTCTTGGAAATGCCCTAAAATGAGTCTCTCAATTTTTTTTGTTTGAATGTGCATATAAAAAGCCTGAACCTCAATTATTTCAGAAAATAAATATAGAAAATGAGTTAAGTCTGAAAAGATTTGATTGTTATTACAATACAAAAATATTCAATTCAGAAGTTGCAGCTAAACCTCGGTGGTTTAGATAGCTGAGACACCCGCTGAATTAATGAAAAGTCTAAATTATGGAATATTTTGAAATGAAAGGCATTTTTATTATTTCTGCTAACTATACAATGAATTCTTGCTTTAACAATAACATGCATAATTTATCACTATTAAGACTTCAAAGAGTTCTCTTGAGCAGAATAGTCAACAATCTAAATTATATCATTGATTTCGTTCCTAACCACTTTTGATATATTACAGAACTTTGCTGACAATCTTTTCAGAATATCAGAAATTCTAGGTTTGTAATGTCTGAACTAATGATATTTTGTGGCAATAAATTAACAAAACAATTTTCTATCTTTGATGAATATGGCAGTGATCAAGAAATTTTTAATTTTTAGACACCTAAATCTTAGATCACTCAAGAATGTGAAGTAGAAATTTACTCAGTAGTTGCCAGGAGTTGACACTTAAGCCAAAGTAAATATTAATTAGCCAAATGCAACAGGACACTTTTGACATCAACTTTAGTCCTATGTAATTCAATCTTCCCCTGATCTGTATTTCAGTTTCTTAAGCCCCCATAAGACATGCAATCAAACTACCTAGTTAGATCTTGAAAAAAAAATCAACAAATTAGATGCTTCAAAATGGGTCTAAATCTGCTGCCTGTCAGTGTAACTATAGAACTGTACAGGGACTTTAAGGATCAGACACCACCAAGCACAGTGATTTTTAGCCTGGGCTGTATATTAGAATCACCTGGGGGGCTTTTAAAGCTACTTCTGCACAGACATGAGCCTTGGCCCAATTAAACTAGAATGACCTAAGCATCAGGAGTTTTCAAGCTTCTAGGGATTGCACTGTGCAGTCATGGTTAAAAACCATGGTTCTGGGGTATATCTGATCCTCAATCTCAAATGAGTTTCCAGTCTAATCTACAAGTTCTTCCTCACTGCATATCCCTTGCAGACTTTTAATATTCTGTTAGCTACTCTATTTAAGAGTCTATTCTGCTCATAGTTTATGTATGTTATCTCACTTCCCTGAACTGACCTCAGTGAAGTCTATATTTATGATTTCATTATTCAAGATTGGCAAGTAGTGATTAAGTACCAATAAATGCTTTATAATTGGCCTTATGCTTATTTTTTTCAGGAATAATTTGCATTGATGTTGCAGTGGTACAAATGAATACATGAAAGGAAAATCAAGAGTCACAAGAAAGGAACTTGTGTTTCTACACAGTAATTTTTTTTTCATACAATGTTGAGAAACAAAAATCTAGCCAGCATCCAAAACAGTCAGTTAAGATCAGTAACTTCCCAATAATAAAACCAGTTCATCAAGAGTTGGATACTTACTGGGCTAAAAATATTCTGCATTTTCTGACTATGTTCAATATAGGGGGTCATGAACTTGGAAGTGTCCACCTTCTTCCGAATGACCTTCTTCCTCTCCACTGGCTTTGCCGGCTCTGGCGCTGCCAGGGCAGGTTTGGAAGTTTCCGATTGCCCATAGTCAGACGTTGTCCTTGTTGTTGTGGTTTCATAGATTTCTGTTATTGTCTGAAAATTTGACATGCAGTTCAACATTGTTATGAAAGTAAAAAGTGTGGTGCCATGGTATTGGTATACACTATTTTAACTTTAAGTCAGATTACATTCCTGGTGTTACTTCTGAGGTATAAAACAGGCCAAAACAGGAAGCTACGCACTATAGCCATATGAAGGCCTATTATGTTACAAAACTCTCAATGCCGACGGTGACGTTGCCTTAATTGCATTTGCAGAAAGACACTCAAACACTTCGAGCTAGCATAAAATCAGAAATAACATTCATAAACATCTGAGAATTTTAAGTAGTCTGGATAAAATGAAAGCAAACTTAAGACTGGGGAATAAAAGGTTAAGACAACTGAATAAAGCTCAGATTATTTACTTTTAACTTTTAAATGAGTAAAGAAAAAAATTAGTTGCATTTTCTGAAGGCATTCAGGCATTTTTCTCTATAGAATGAGATAAAGAATAATGGACTTTTAAAAAATGAATTGCACCCATAGTTTAAGTATTTACCATTCTCTTGGCTGAGTTAATTAATGTGAACTGGAGTGCCATTCCCACTCATACTTAGATGGACAAGAATAATAATGACAACATAAATGAGGTCATTCTCTTCACAACAATTCTGTGTATATAGTAGGTGGGAAATTATGGTTTCTTACAACAGGTTATAGTGGAAGAAACTAAGATTCAAAGTTTGAATCTAGATCAAGGTTAAAAATATTATATGTAGGAAAAGAAGGTATGCAGCCAAGTCTTCAATCCATCTCACAGTATCATTTCCTTCAGATCAAATATCATCTGTGCCAAAGGAAGAGTTCTGGCATAAATTATGAAAAGAGAAACCTGACAGAGAAGTTGTATATTCAGGAAAACTCCCTCTAAAGTTGCTGGATCATTACTAATTGGTTGTTTTCTGTCCATTATTGCTAATCCATGGCTGATCATGAGAAACCAACCAATTTATAGCATCTACAGATGTTTACTTTTAATGCAGACACAGGCTCTCTGAGCAGGCCTCAAGGTTAGCCATCCATATCACTGGGTGTCATGCTCCAAGAGAAATAGCTTCATGCAGAAAATGAAGCATTAGAGAGGTGTTTCAACTTGGTGTTTAAAAAAAAGGTTCCAAGTTGGACTATTTATGGGAGTGGTTCTCAGAATTCCCAATGTGTTAAAATCCCAGTAACATTTTATTGCATCATCAGGGACAAAATCTTAGAGGCATAGTCTCTAGTGCAGAGATTGTATCCTACAACTCTACACAATGCAACTGAGGGACCCTATGTCAGTTACAAGTCCAAGGCTATTATAGAGTGATGATAGCCACTGACTTTAGCCTAATCGGCATGTCTACACAAAAGAGTATCAACAATGGAAGGAACCATCAGCTGCTGACTTTTTGAATAGCAAAAAGAGTGAGATAACCTGTCAAACTACAATTTTTTGTTCTTTTAACACCAACTTCTGGGCAACAGGTAGGTGGGTGAGCTTTCCTCAGATACTCCTTTCTGCCATCTTTGCGGCCTTGAGAGTCTGAGAGAGAAGAAGGCTCTTCCCACTTCAATGAGAATGTGGCTCATGCAGATATGGACTGGGTCTTACCTCTCCTGGCACCTCTTCGTAAATTGTCTCTTCTGTGTAGTACTATAAACAGAGCATAAAGGCATGGTCATGAGAAGCAGAGCAGGAACCACCTCAACCCCACCTCATCTGAGTCCTTAGAGACATCACTAGCTTAGTTGGTTTAGAATATCTGTGGGAAGGATGTAGTGAGGGAGCCTATTCATACTTTGCGGCCCATTTTCTCCTCAGGAAGCTTCAGGAAAGCTCAAGTAAATGACATCTGAAAAGATGCAGTAATGAGGTTGGTTTTTAGTCAGGGGAAGCTATTTTCTTGGGACATGTAACATGGTTTCTTATTGTACCCCAGATAGAATTTGCTTAGCAAAGAATACAGTAACAATTTCGTGAGTGTGCCCTTTGGGCAAAGGGAAACTGCACTAAGACTGTTTACTGACAACAAAACAAGACAGACACCCCAGTGTGAATAAATTTTTAAAGGGAAATCATGGAAATAAGATCCAAGAGCATACCTACATCTCAATTATTCCTCTACACTCCTGGTTACTAAGCGGTACTTCTGGAGGGATGGCTTTCAATAGTGGGATGGCCCCCAGTATTGTCCAAATTATACTTATGTCACGTGCATGTATGAATATGTAACAATGGATCCCACAATAATTATAATTATAATCATAATCATAATGCACCAACAAGAAAAGTGGGGAAAACATAGTGTGATGGTCCTAAACAGGTGCTAAGAAGACAATCTGTAAATGCCAAGGTAAGAAAGGAAAAATGAGAAGACTTCACACAAAATGTGGGGCAGTTGAGCTGCTGTTTGCCAAAGGTGCCTGCAGCCTGGATCTGAAAATAAGTCTACTTTTGTTCTACTTCTGACATCATTAGCAATAAATAGATGCAGATAGGAACCGGCTGACATTTTGTTTCAGATGCGTAAGGAGAGTGGAATCCTGCCCCAGCCTCACCCAGCTCTGCTGGGCAAACAGAAGGCAAAGCTCATTTAGGCCAAGACACACAAGGAAAGGGATAAAAATGAAATTCTTGGCTCATTTTCTCAGGCAAAAAATACATAACATTTTACACTTCTTTTCTCTTATTTCTGACACCAAAATACTTACTGGGGAGAGGGGAGGGGAAAGAGTCGCAAAATTTTCCTCAATGGCCTTCTTTTTTTCTGCCCTGTGTTCAGTAAATTCTCATCAAAGTAGTTAACCATTATCAAAAGGCCACCTGCTCTATTTCACCTGCTTAATGTCTTTTTTTTTTTACTAAATATATATATATATATTTTTTTTTTTTTCTGTATATCCTTACATATAGCAATAGGAATCAGAGAAATGCTCTTTTACCCTTGTGACATCAGCACATGAAAAAATACTGTTTGGACACTTTACAAAATATTGATACTGATGCCACATGGACCCATTTCTTTGGTCACACAAAGCATGAGTGACTTGAAAAGAAATATTAAACTAAAGTGAATGATTCCCAATATTTTGGATTTTCTTAATATCCAAGTAAAAGAAGCTCTTTGGGAGCCATCCAATCCTACCTTTCTGGGCTCTTGCAATTGGTAAATATATCTTAGAAATAAGCTTTTAAAAAGGCAGCATTATCCAAATGGTTGGCATTAACATGTGTGCCAAGTCTCACTCTTTTTTAAAGAGCTGTGCCACTAATTAGATAGTATATCTATCCTTACTTATTTTTCTTTCCAAGTTTAAGAGTGACAGTAAAATTTTATTTCAGATGTCCAAGATCCCTAGGAGATATATTTTTAAAGCTAGTTCTTCTGTTTTTAAACTTTTCCCTGACCAATTTTCTCAAATCTGCCACCATTCCATTCTCAGGATCTTTTTTTGAGACCAAAGAGACCTCGGTTCAACACTCACTGGCAGGCAGTCTATTAGTCTAGCACCTGCTGGTCAGACTCAGAAGTAGTAATGGGGACAAAATGGCATGGATGGGATGCCTAAAAATAGACCCTTCCGTTTTTATGACTAGTTAAATCAATCAGGCCCTGCACTGAGGACAATTTCCAATGACAAATGAACACAATTATTTTAAGAAAGTCAAGGGATATTTAAGTAAGAGGCTAAAAAGTGTTGCTGGAATTATCGTCATATGAAAGACCATTTAATTTATAATTATGTTAATATCTGATAGTGATAATTCTGATCCTTAGGGACCTACATAAAATGCTCACTAGTAATAATATTGAGAATAATATGGAAGATGTGGCCATCAGCATTTAAGTCAGAGACCAAATACTATAGTATATGAGATTCATTCTGGATTGGTTTGTTTTTTAATATTCTTCTCTCTTCATCTAAATAGAGACTGGTCGCTAAAATAGTTTTCCATAGATAAATTTTGACACTTTCATCTAGAACTTAGTTTGGAGCAGCTCTTACAGTTACTTTCAGTCTTATTAAAGAGCACAGATTTTCAAAACTGCTTCCATATTTAGATCATTATCATTAATTATGAATTATTAAGCACTCTCAGATCATGGCACTATGTATGGGTGACAGCCCCAAGCCTTTAGATTTTGTTTCTAGAATGTGAAGCTGAAGGTAAAAACTGGTAAGGAAAACAGTTCTATAACATGATCAAAGTAAACTGATACAAATATAAAATAATGACTTTATAAAATGTCAGACGTCCACCAATAATGTGGAGAAAATTTGTCAAAATACCCACTACGGTCTTCATACTTATTCAAGTTTCAAAAGCAAAAGCTAATTTTGCTTATATGGGTAAATACAATAAAGTTGGTGGGAAAGTGGCTCCAACTATCACTTCTGACCTTCATGAATTTGTTTCTACATATTTGTGGCCATATATGCACATATACATATATAAAATCTCACAGATGTGATGATTCTGAGTTAAGTAACCCACATCACCCTACAGACAGACAATCAACAAACTGAAGCAAGGAGGACTGAGTTCTTTTTCCTCTATTGCTTTGCAGACACTAAGAAACAGTTTAGTTTCTGGAACTTTCTCCCCATAGTGTCACCTCTGTCCCTTTGATCATTGGTGTTGGGAGGTGGGAAAAAAAGTCATTTGGGGAGTAAAACATGCCTGTAGGTTTGGCACACTTTGGTTTTGGTTTTTGTGAGTTCAAACAAAAGCAAAAATTACAAGTAGTGGTATTTCCTTTCTGTTCTACACCCCACATTATTACAGTGAAACTGAACATAAAATATTCCTTTCTTAGCTTTAATGATGATTCTTTGTGAGGTTATAATAAAAAATGTGTGGGTTTTTTTTTTAAATGATCAATTCACCTACACAGCTTTGTCACTACAGGGTTACTTTGCTATCAGAGCTATTGTGGGGCTTTTTGTGTGTTTTGTTTTTGTTTTAGTCTTACCTCCACCACCTCCTCATATTCTTCGTCATCTGCCATTTTCCCAGAGTAGTAGTGGCACCTACAAACTTTCCATATTCCACACAAATGAAAACACATTAGCATCTATTTCCAGGACAGAAATGATCTTATAACACTATAAAAGATAGAGTTAAGACCCATCTAATCTACATAACACATATTTTTTGCAGGCTAAGGGGGAGAACACATTTAGAATAGGGGCCTAAACAAAGGAAACCTCAAACCTCTTTCTCCTTATTGAATATTGAATATTGTTCCTTCTACACAATCAATTCAGTTAAAGTTGAATGTGGACACCAAGGTGAGTGAGTAAGAGAGTCTGGACTCCAGGAATAGAGAATATAAATTTCTAAACACTTGGAGAAAAAGCATTTTCAAGCAAAACTCTTAGCGAAGTAAAGGTCAGTAAAGGTCATAGAGCCAAAATGTCAAAAGGGTCAACTGAGGGACTGAGGCTGTGGCTCAGTGGTAGCACACTTGCCTGGCATGTGAGGCACTGAGTTTGATTCTCAGCACCAAGTATAAATAAATAAAATAAAGATCTCTCAACAACTAAAAAAAAATTTTTTTTAAAAGAGTCAACTGAGTTCTGTACTGCTCTAGCATGCTGCAGTTTATCTCACGCTTTGAATTAGAACACATAAAAATAAATCTGTCGATAAATTGTAAGAGAAAAACAGAAACCTCAAGGCAATGGGGTTATTTTCTTCCGGAAAACCATTGGCTTATACGGATTTTTTTCTTTCTTTTCTGTAGCTCTTGTTCAACCCTGAAAGGGGAAAAAAAAAAAATTTTAAAGCATTGGTTGAAGTATACATAAGATTATAGGTCTTTGGCTTAAGCTTCTAATTCAGGAACTAACGAAAGGATCTCCCAAGGCCTTTTCAGTCTGATGCCAACAAGTGGGGCCTTCCCATATAAGATGATGATGGCTGGGAGCAGCTGTCCCTTTGCCCAAAGATGCTTGTGTGTAAACCAATACCCCACAGTGGCTGGTTTTATTAAGCTAGCGAAACCACCCCTCCATCTGAGGCCAATGAAGCCCAGTAGAACAGGATAAATATAGGCACATAGGACAAATGTCCTTCTTCATACTAATATACTTAGGGGAAAAACTTGAAGGCAAAAAATGAAAAAAACATTGTTGGACAAGACAGTCAACTTGGTCAAGCAATAAATCAGTCGGTGTAGGACTTGACTCTGATCAGACATGCTACATGTCAGATATCCATAGGGCCTTTGTAGGGCAATAGGATTACAGGCTTTCTTGGGCGCATTTCTATCACTATTACCCCCAGTTAGGACCCCAAACTTTGAAAATTACTTCAAGGGAAACTGTGGAACGTCTCTTGAGAGAACATTAGAGAAAAAGACATAAACAGACCTTACCTTCAAGCTATCAAATAAACTTCCTCAGCAGCAAATCCTCTCCCAGCTCTCCCCTCCTGAGAACCCCAGGCAAGAGCCTGCTCAGTGCCTGGGCTTCGAATTATCATGTGGCAGGAGCAGCCAATCAGACCTTGAGTTGCTCAAATTTCAGCAGCTAAATATACTGAGTGATCTTCTGAAAACCACCTGTTCAACAGTTCCACTAAAGGATAAAGGGTAACAAATTGCTTGCTTAGAACTATTCCAACGCGATGGAATTTTACCTAACTTCCAAACTCTAGAGGTCAAATTTCGGTTCCATTTTTCATTTTATTGCGGCTTTGTTCAAGATCCTATTCAGGCAAAGGAACTTACAGAAAATAAGCATGACTTTGAGAGACTTTGACCCTTCGATAACTGTGTCGTCACACCATCTGTACAGGATGGTGTGACGCTCACCAGGTGAACTACTGGCAAGTTATACTGGTGCTGCTGTGAGAGAAATAAGATCCAGAAAACATCAGGTTGTCAAAAGCAATTTTTAAAAATGTGATGAATGGAATTATAGGTGAAAATATTTGATGGTGACACTAGATAAGATATCCACAGTATAATGAGGTTAGGCCGTATCATTTTCTGTAACAAAACCAAGGGGTCTGCCTACTCATTTCCCTGACCTCCAACCTAGGTAGGGCCTAATAATGAAGAGCCTCTCAGATGGAACAGGGTCACTGATTTCTAATTTCCTATTAACTTATAACTCCTGGCTCCTGGGGACAAAGTGTGGACATAAGCCTCAAAAGACTCAATTTCTAAACAGCAAGAGCAGAAAAATTGAAAATCAGTAAATTACCACTCAGGATAAAGTAATGTCCTACTAGGCAATTCTGAATGTAATCCATTTACTTTGTAAAAATCATCCAACAATTTTCTTAAAACTTACCTGTTGTTCCTTGCTCTTGCACTTTCTTTGCTCCTGGACTATTCTTTTCATTTAAAATCTAATTCTGTCTGTATGTACCTACATATAGCATAGAAATCACAAGCTCTTATAGGGCAGAGAATTGCCCTTTTTCTCTGGGTTGCTTCTAAATTGAGGCCAAAACCCTACGGGTCATTCCTATCTTGATAAAGATTTGAGATAAACATATTGCAACTGTTGAAATTAAATGTTAGAAAGTAATCTCATATTTTAAACATATTTACTTCTCCTCCTCTTCCTTGATTCATACAGTGGTAATAGTTAACCTCATTTTATCATCTTAACTATTTGTACCTGTTCATCTCATGTGCTCTCACAAGTCTTATGACCAAGGGATATTTGTGTAACATGAGATCATTCACTTGGTAGCTGCAAACTTGAAGAATCGTGACTTCCTATTTCACACATGCTGTAAAAAGTTGTTGTTAAACTGAAAAATAATACATGTTTTTAAAAACAGTACAAAATTATGAAACTAATAAATAAGCATAGACCTTCTTAAAAGTAATCAATTTTAAGTTTTAGATATTTTCAAGAGAGTTATTAACATTCATTTACAAATTTAACAAAATTTAATGGACATGTTTTATGAAAATTTGCATAGCTATATCCTACTCTGTTTCCCATAAGCAATTCTATTGAATAAATAGAGTATAATTTGTTTAATTTTTACTTCATTCATAACCACTAAGATTGTTTTACAATTTTTGCTATGACAAAATAAAACATATAGTAAGTATCTTTGCACATTATCTTTGTATACTCTATGAAATATATCTATAAATAAATCTCTAGAAATAGAATTACTGAGGCAGAGGATATATGCACATATTGAGAACTGATAAATATCATCAAATGCACCATTGAAAATAGTTACACTAGTTTGCTGTGCACACATCTCAATAATATTAGGGATTAACAACCTTTTCAAATATGTACACTCTAATGGGCAAATATTCAACTCCTCTGTTGTAGGATGAATCTTGTGTCCCTTCAAAATCTATATGTTGAAAACCTATCCTCCAATGTGTAGAATCGGGAGGTCAGACTTTGGGAGGTGGTTAGGTCATGAGGGTGCAGCCCTCATGAATGGGATTAGCATCCTTATAAAAGAGGACCCAGAGAGTAGCCTTACCGTCTTTCTGCCACATGAGGATGCAGGAAGATGGCAATATGCAACCCATATTCCTCTTCAGAATCCAATCATGCTGGTACCCTGATCTCAGACTTCCAGCTTCCAGAACAGATAAAAGTAAATTTCTAATTTTTATAAGCCACAGAGTTTATGGTTTTTCTGGTATAGCAGAGCAGAAAAGATATCCTTCATTCATCACTTTTGAAAACACCACAGCAGGCAAAAGAGAGACTCCAGATGAGTAGAATTCCAAAACCCATTTATAAAATGGATGTATCCCAGAAGAACAGGGTCTAACAAGTTATGGGGCCAGGATAATGAGTCTGCATAAATAGACCTTGTCTCAGACTTCTTGGGATGGATCTCTTTCTAAAAGAACAAAGGTCCCAAAGTCCCAGCTACACTGGCCTGAAGAAAGTTGCCCTAATAATTTTCAAAGCACATAAAAAGGGAAAGAGTCACAGGAGAGCAGAACTTCAGGCGATGCTTTCCTAAACATCAAAGTGTAGAAATGTTGGGCCTGGGGAACAGAGGAGATTTGATGGGGGAGAGGGCATTGTGACAGAGTGTTTGTTGTAAGTTCTTTGATTTTATTCCTTATTTTGATCAAATTATGTATGCACATAGTTTAAGGATCCGATGTTTTACAAGGCTTGTTAAATCAGTATCCACTTGCACTCTTTCTCCTTTTTTTTCTTCCCTAGAGTAAGCACAAACTCTCCTTTAGCTATCTTTGTTACATATACCTCAAAACATTTTACAAAACACTAGTATGGAGTTCCACATGGCCAGGTGACCAGGAGAGAGACCCACCCCATCACCCCACGGCTGGAGACCAGGAGAGAGGCATCCTGTGCCCACAACCCATGTGGGGGTTCCTTATTCACCAATGCATGGCTCCACAGCCCAACATCAGGTTATATATAGGCTTAAGGCTGCCACTGCCACAAAACTGGGATATTGCCACTTCTATCAAGGGACAACAATAAGGATCTGGTAAGACGTTATCAAGTTTCCTGTGAGCCTGGCTGCACCAGAGGTATCTCTTCTAGGGGTGCTAACGGTTATCCTGTTGCTGAGGTAACAAGGAGTCTTGCACAGGTTGCCTCTCTCTTGTTTCTCCTACAAACAGCCAACTTCTTATGATTACCCTCTCACTAGTCATATATAATCTAATATCTTGTATTCTAACATCCTACCTCATAAACATCTCAGCCAACCCCCCAGCCTCCCATTCTACCATTAGAAACTGTTACCCATTACACAAGCCAATTGACTATATGGTAGAAGATAACCAAACTCAGCATTTCTGATTATAGTGACAAAACTGTAAATGAAAAATAGAAGCTAACTGATCTATGGCTGAATGTTGGGTACACTGAGTGCTTTAATATTGATCTCCCCCTTAAAGGTGAGGCATTGGTAACCTGTGAGGACACCATAAGACAATAGGGCAGAAGCTGTAATACCTCGGATCAACACTGCAAGATAGGAAGACACATGGACATCATGAAAAAACAAGGGAGGAAAGTGGCCCAAACAAACCAAGGTACTACAACAATAGAATCCATAGATAGTGCAGTAGGTGAAATGTCAGAGAAAGAGTTCAGAATATGCATAACTAAAATAACCTGGGAATTAAAGAATGACCTAAGTGAGCAGATAAAGGCAAAAATCAATCACTTCAAGAAAGAGATAAGAGAACAAATACAGGTAGCAAGAGATTACTTCAAGAAAGAGACAGAGATTGGGTGGAGGGGAAGAACCAAACAGAAATCCTTGAAATGAAAGAAAGAATAAGCCAAATAAAAAACTCAATAGAAAGCATCACCAACAGACTAGATCACTTGGAAGACAGGACCTTAGATAAGAGGCCTACAGGACACGAAAAGTACAAAATTACAACAGATCTACACCAAGACACATTATAATGAAAATGCCTAGCATGCAGAATAAGGATAGAATTTGAAAGGCTGCAAGAGAGAAAAATCAGATTACATATAAGGGAAGACAAATTCGGATCTCAGCAGATTTTTCAACCCAGACCCTCAAAGCCAGGAGATCATGGAACAACATATACCAAGCTCTGAAAAAATGGGTGCTAACCAAGACTTTTACATCCAGCAAAATTAAACTTCATATTTAATGATGAAATAAAAACCTTCCATGATAAACAAAAGCTAAAAGAGGGGTGGGAGGGGAAAGGAGGGGGTATGGGGTTAGAAATGACGGTGGAATGTGATGGACATTATTAACCAAAGTACATATATGTGTAAAAACACAAATTGGTGTGAATATACTTTGTTTACAACCAGAGATATGAAAAATTGTGCTCTATATGTGTAATAAGAATTTTAATGCATTCTGCGGTGAGATATAAATTTAATAAAAAAGAATTTATAGCAAGAAAGCTGCACAACAGAACATTCCGTGGCAAAATATTCCACAAGGAGGAAATGAAAAACAACAATGAAAATCTGCAAAGGGAAGAAATTCATTAAAGGAGAAACCAAGTCAAGTTAAAAACCAAAACTAAACAAAAATGGCCGGAAATACAAGTCATATCTTAATAATAACCCTGAGTGTTAATGGCCTGAAATCACCAATCAAAAGATATAGACTGGTAGATTGGTTAAAAAACAACAAGAACAACAATATGCTGCCTTCAAGAGACTCATCTCATAGAAAAAGACATCCACAGACTAAAGGTTAAAGGTTGGGATAAAATATACCATTCACATGGTCTGAGTAAACAAGCAGGGGTTTCTATCCTCATATCAAATAAAGTAGACTTCAAGCCAAAGTTAATCAAAAGGGATAAAGATGGACATTTCATACTGCTCAAGGGAACCATACATCAATAAGACATAACAGTTAAAAATATATATGCCCCAAACAATGGAGCATCTATGTTCATCACTCAAACTCTTCTCAAGTTCAAGAGTCAAATAGACCACAACACAATAATTCTGGGTGACTTTA